TCAAAAATTGAACCTCCACCCCTTCATACAACCTCGAAACAAAAAAAAACATTCTCCTCGATTTTGGACATGCGGCTCACCAATTAACTTCCACCCCTTCAAACCCCAGTTCTCCTCGATTTTTGCAGTATGGCCTCAAAAATGAACTCCACCCCTTCAAACCCCATTCTCCTCGATTTTTTTTAGGTCGACTCACAAATGAACTCCACCCTTTTTCCAACCCCATTCTCGATCTCGGTTGTTTAGAGTTCGCATCTCATAATGATTACATCCCACCCATCCTTCAAACCCTACATTCTCCTCTGATTTTTTTAAGCGATGACTCAAAAAAATGCATATAACGATCGCATACCCCTTCGGAAACCAATGCGCCTCGATTTTTGAAGCGCCTCAAAATGACTCCACCCCTCAAACCTCCATTCTCCTCGATTTTTTGAGTCGCCTAAAAATGACTCCACCCTTCAAACCCCATCTCCTCGATTTTGAGTCGCCTTCAAAAATGAACGTCCACCCCTTCGACCCCATTCTCCTCTCCTCGATTTTTTAGTCCGCTCAAAAATGCACTCCAACCCTTCAAACCGCTCCATTCTCCTCGTTTTTGAGTCGGCCTCAAAAATGAAATCCACCCATTCAAACCCATTCTCCTCGATTTTGAGTCGCCTCAAAAATGAACTCCACCCCTTCAAACCCCATTCTCCTCGATTTTTGAGTCGCCTCAAAAATGAACTCCACCCCTTCAAACCCCATTCTCCTCGATTTTTGAGTCGCCTCAAAAATGAACTCCACCCCTTCAAACCCCATTCTCCTCGATTTTTGAGTCGCCTCAAAAATGAACTCCACCCCTTCAAACCCCATTCTCCTCGATTTTTGAGTCGCCTCAAAAATGAACTCCACCCCTTCAAACCCCATTCTCCTCGATTTTTGAGTCGCCTCAAAATGAACTCCACCCCTTCAAACCCCATTCTCCTCGATTTTTGAGTCGCCTCAAAAATGAACTCCACCCCTTCAAACCCCATTCTCCTCGATTTTTGAGTCGCCTCAAAAATGAACTCCACCCCTTCAAACCCCATTCTCCTCGATTTTTGAGTCGCCTCAAAAATGAACTCCACCCCTTCAAACCCCATTCTCCTCGATTTTTGAGTCGCCTCAAAAATGAACTCCACCCCTTCAAACCCCATTCTCCTCGATTTTTGAGTCGCCTCAAAAATGAACTCCACCCCTTCAAACCCCATTCTCCTCGATTTTTTGAGTCGCCTCAAAAATGAACTCCACCCCTTCAAACCCCATTCTCCTCGATTTTTGAGTCGCCTCAAAAATGAACTCCACCCCTTCAAACCCCATTCTCCTCGATTTTTGAGTCGCCTCAAAAATGAACTCCACCCCTTCAAACCCCATTCTCCTCGATTTTTGAGTCGCCTCAAAAATGAACTCCACCCCTTCAAACCCCATTCTCCTCGATTTTTGAGTCGCCTCAAAAATGAACTCCACCCCTTCAAACCCCATTCTCCTCGATTTTTGAGTCGCCTCAAAAATGAACTCCACCCCTTCAAACCCCATTCTCCTCGATTTTGAGTCGCCTCAAAAATGAACTCCACCCCTTCAAACCCCATTCTCCTCGATTTTTGAGTCGCCTCAAAAATGAACTCCACCCCTTCAAACCCCATTCTCCTCGATTTTTGAGTCAAAAATGAACTCCACCCCTTCAAACCCCATTCTCCTCGATTTTTGAGTCGCCTCAAAAATGAACTCCACCCCTTCAAACCCCATTCTCCTCGATTTTTGAGTCGCCTCAAAAATGAACTCCACCCCTTCAAACCCCATTCTCCTCGATTTTTGAGTCGCCTCAAAAATGAACTCCACCCCTTCAAACCCCATTCTCCTCGATTTTTGAGTCGCCTCAAAAATGAACTCCACCCCTTCAAACCCCATTCTCCTCGATTTTTGAGTCGCCTCAAAAATGAACTCCACCCCTTCAAACCCCATTCTCCTCGATTTTTGAGTCGCCTCAAAAATGAACTCCACCCCTTCAAACCCCATTCTCCTCGATTTTTGAGTCGCCTCAAAAATGAACTCCACCCCTTCAAACCCCATTCTCCTCGATTTTTGAGTCGCCTCAAAAATGAACTCCACCCCTTCAAACCCCATTCTCCTCGATTTTTGAGTCGCCTCAAAAATGAACTCCACCCCTTCAAACCCCATTCTCCTCGATTTTTTGAGTCGCCTCAAAAATGAACTCCACCCCTTCAAACCCCATTCTCCTCGATTTTTGAGTCGCCTCAAAAATGAACTCCACCCCTTCAAACCCCATTCTCCTCGATTTTTGAGTCGCCTCAAAAATGAACTCCACCCCTTCAAACCCCATTCTCCTCGATTTTTGAGTCGCCTCAAAAATGAACTCCACCCCTTCAAACCCCATTCTCCTCGATTTTTGAGTCGCCTCAAAAATGAACTCCACCCCTTCAAACCCCATTCTCCTCGATTTTTGAGTCGCCTCAAAAATGAACTCCACCCCTTCAAACCCCATTCTCCTCGATTTTTGAGTCGCCTCAAAAATGAACTCCACCCCTTCAAACCCCATTCTCCTCGATTTTTGAGTCGCCTCAAAAATGAACTCCACCCCTTCAAACCCCATTCTCCTCGATTTTTTAGTCGCCTCAAAAATGAACTCCACCCCTTCAAACCCCATTCTCCTCGATTTTTGAGTCGCCTCAAAAATGAACTCCACCCCTTCAAACCCCATTCTCCTCGATTTTTGAGTCGCCTCAAAAATGAACTCCACCCCTTCAAACCCCATTCTCCTCGATTTTTGAGTCGCCTCAAAAATGAACTCCACCCCTTCAAACCCCATTCTCCTCGATTTTTGAGTCGCCTCAAAAATGAACTCCACCCCTTCAAACCCCATTCTCCTCGATTTTTGAGTCGCCTCAAAAATGAACTCCACCCCTTCAAACCCCATTCTCCTCGATTTTTGAGTCGCCTCAAAAATGAACTCCACCCCTTCAAACCCCATTCTCCTCGATTTTTGAGTCGCCTCAAAAATGAACTCCACCCCTTCAAACCCCATTCTCCTCGATTTTTGAGTCGCCTCAAAAATGAACTCCACCCCTTCAAACCCCATTCTCCTCGATTTTTGAGTCGCCTCAAAAATGAACTCCACCCCTTCAAACCCCATTCTCCTCGATTTTTGAGTCGCCTCAAAAATGAACTCCACCCCTTCAAACCCCATTCTCCTCGATTTTTGAGTCGCCTCAAAAATGAACTCCACCCCTTCAAACCCCATTCTCCTCGATTTTTGAGTCGCCTCAAAAATGAACTCCACCCCTTCAAACCCCATTCTCCTCGATTTTTGAGTCGCCTCAAAAATGAACTCCACCCCTTCAAACCCCATTCTCCTCGATTTTTGAGTCGCCTCAAAAATGAACTCCACCCCTTCAAACCCCATTCTCCTCGATTTTTGAGTCGCCTCAAAAATGAACTCCACCCCTTCAAACCCCATTCTCCTCGATTTTTGAGTCGCCTCAAAAATGAACTCCACCCCTTCAAACCCCATTCTCCTCGATTTTTGAGTCGCCTCAAAAATGAACTCCACCCCTTCAAACCCCATTCTCCTCGATTTTTGAGTCGCCTCAAAAATGAACTCCACCCCTTCAAACCCCATTCTCCTCGATTTTTGAGTCGCCTCAAAAATGAACTCCACCCCTTCAAACCCCATTCTCCTCGATTTTTGAGTCGCCTCAAAAATGAACTCCACCCCTTCAAACCCCATTCTCCTCGATTTTTGAGTCGCCTCAAAAATGAACTCCACCCCTTCAAACCCCATTCTCCTCGATTTTTGAGTCGCCTCAAAAATGAACTCCACCCCTTCAAACCCCATTCTCCTCGATTTTTGAGTCGCCTCAAAAATGAACTCCACCCCTTCAAACCCCATTCTCCTCGATTTTTGAGTCGCCTCAAAAATGAACTCCACCCCTTCAAACCCCATTCTCCTCGATTTTTGAGTCGCCTCAAAAATGAACTCCACCCCTTCAAACCCCATTCTCCTCGATTTTTGAGTCGCCTCAAAAATGAACTCCACCCCTTCAAACCCCATTCTCCTCGATTTTTGAGTCGCCTCAAAAATGAACTCCACCCCTTCAAACCCCATTCTCCTCGATTTTTGAGTCGCCTCAAAAATGAACTCCACCCCTTCAAACCCCATTCTCCTCGATTTTTGAGTCGCCTCAAAAATGAACTCCACCCCTTCAAACCCCATTCTCCTCGATTTTTGAGTCGCCTCAAAAATGAACTCCACCCCTTCGAACCCCATTCTCCTCGATTTTTGAGTCGCCTCAAAAATGAACTCCACCCCTTCAAACCCCATTCTCCTCGATTTTTGAGTCGCCTCAAAAATGAACTCCACCCCTTCAAACCCCATTCTCCTCGATTTTTGAGTCGCCTCAAAAATGAACTCCACCCCTTCAAACCCCATTCTCCTCGATTTTTGAGTCGCCTCAAAAATGAACTCCACCCCTTCAAACCCCATTCTCCTCGATTTTTGAGTCGCCTCAAAAATGAACTCCACCCCTTCAAACCCCATTCTCCTCGATTTTTGAGTCGCCTCAAAAATGAACTCCACCCCTTCAAACCCCATTCTCCTCGATTTTTGAGTCGCCTCAAAAATGAACTCCACCCCTTCAAACCCCATTCTCCTCGATTTTTGAGTCGCCTCAAAAATGAACTCCACCCCTTCAAACCCCATTCTCCTCGATTTTTGAGTCGCCTCAAAAATGAACTCCACCCCTTCAAACCCCATTCTCCTCGATTTTTTGAGTCGCCTCAAAAATGAACTCCACCCCTTCAAACCCCATTCTCCTCGATTTTTGAGTCGCCTCAAAAATGAACTCCACCCCTTCAAACCCCATTCTCCTCGATTTTTGAGTCGCCTCAAAAATGAACTCCACCCCTTCAAACCCCATTCTCCTCGATTTTTGAGTCGCCTCAAAAATGAACTCCACCCCTTCAAACCCCATTCTCCTCGATTTTTGAGTCGCCTCAAAATGAACTCCACCCCTTCAAACCCCATTCTCCTCGATTTTTGAGTCGCCTCAAAAATGAACTCCACCCCTTCAAACCCCATTCTCCTCGATTTTTGAGTCGCCTCAAAAATGAACTCCACCCCTTCAAACCCCATTCTCCTCGATTTTTGAGTCGCCTCAAAAATGAACTCCACCCCTTCAAACCCCATTCTCCTCGATTTTTGAGTCGCCTCAAAAATGAACTCCACCCCTTCAAACCCCATTCTCCTCGATTTTTGAGTCGCCTCAAAAATGAACTCCACCCCTTCAAACCCCATTCTCCTCGATTTTTGAGTCGCCTCAAAAATGAACTCCACCCCTTCAAACCCCATTCTCCTCGATTTTTGAGTCGCCTCAAAAATGAACTCCACCCCTTCAAACCCCATTCTCCTCGATTTTTGAGTCGCCTCAAAAATGAACTCCACCCCTTCAAACCCCATTCTCCTCGATTTTTGAGTCGCCTCAAAAATGAACTCCACCCCTTCAAACCCCATTCTCCTCGATTTTTGAGTCGCCTCAAAAATGAACTCCACCCCTTCAAACCCCATTCTCCTCGATTTTTGAGTCGCCTCAAAAATGAACTCCACCCCTTCAAACCCCATTCTCCTCGATTTTTGAGTCGCCTCAAAAATGAACTCCACCCCTTCAAACCCCATTCTCCTCGATTTTTGAGTCGCCTCAAAAATGAACTCCACCCCTTCAAACCCCATTCTCCTCGATTTTTGAGTCGCCTCAAAAATGAACTCCACCCCTTCAAACCCCATTCTCCTCGATTTTTGAGTCGCCTCAAAAATGAACTCCACCCCTTCAAACCCCATTCTCCTCGATTTTTGAGTCGCCTCAAAAATGAACTCCACCCCTTCAAACCCCATTCTCCTCGATTTTTGAGTCGCCTCAAAAATGAACTCCACCCCTTCAAACCCCATTCTCCTCGATTTTTGAGTCGCCTCAAAAATGAACTCCACCCCTTCAAACCCCATTCTCCTCGATTTTTGAGTCGCCTCAAAAATGAACTCCACCCCTTCAAACCCCATTCTCCTCGATTTTTGAGTCGCTCAAATGAATCCACCCTTAACCCATTCTCCTCGATTTTTGAGTCGCCTCAAAAATGAACTCCACCCCTTCAAACCCCATTCTCCTCGATTTTTGAGTCGCCTCAAAAATGAACTCCACCCCTTCAAACCCCATTCTCCTCGATTTTTGAGTCGCCTCAAAAATGAACTCCACCCCTTCAAACCCCATTCTCCTCGATTTTTGAGTCGCCTCAAAAATGAACTCCACCCCTTCAAACCCCATTCTCCTCGATTTTTGAGTCGCCTCAAAAATGAACTCCACCCCTTCAAACCCCATTCTCCTCGATTTTTGAGTCGCCTCAAAAATGAACTCCACCCCTTCAAACCCCATTCTCCTCGATTTTTGAGTCGCCTCAAAAATGAACTCCACCCCTTCAAACCCCATTCTCCTCGATTTTTGAGTCGCCTCAAAAATGAACTCCACCCCTTCAAACCCCATTCTCCTCGATTTTTGAGTCGCCTCAAAAATGAACTCCACCCCTTCAAACCCCATTCTCCTCGATTTTTGAGTCGCCTCAAAAATGAACTCCACCCCTTCAAACCCCATTCTCCTCGATTTTTGAGTCGCCTCAAAAATGAACTCCACCCCTTCAAACCCCATTCTCCTCGATTTTTGAGTCGCCTCAAAAATGAACTCCACCCCTTCAAACCCCATTCTCCTCGATTTTTGAGTCGCCTCAAAAATGAACTCCACCCCTTCAAACCCCATTCTCCTCGATTTTTGAGTCGCCTCAAAAATGAACTCCACCCCTTCAAACCCCATTCTCCTCGATTTTTGAGTCGCCTCAAAAATGAACTCCACCCCTTCAAACCCCATTCTCCTCGATTTTTGAGTCGCCTCAAAAATGAACTCCACCCCTTCAAACCCCATTCTCCTCGATTTTTGAGTCGCCTCAAAAATGAACTCCACCCCTTCAAACCCCATTCTCCTCGATTTTTGAGTCGCCTCAAAAATGAACTCCACCCCTTCAAACCCCATTCTCCTCGATTTTTGAGTCGCCTCAAAAATGAACTCCACCCCTTCAAACCCCATTCTCCTCGATTTTTGAGTCGCCTCAAAAATGAACTCCACCCCTTCAAACCCCATTCTCCTCGATTTTTGAGTCGCCTCAAAAATGAACTCCACCCCTTCAAACCCCATTCTCCTCGATTTTTGAGTCGCCTCAAAAATGAACTCCACCCCTTCAAACCCCATTCTCCTCGATTTTTGAGTCGCCTCAAAAATGAACTCCACCCCTTCAAACCCCATTCTCCTCGATTTTTTGAGTCGCCTCAAAAATGAACTCCACCCCTTCAAACCCCATTCTCCTCGATTTTTGAGTCGCCTCAAAATGAACTCCACCCCTTCAAACCCCATTCTCCTCGATTTTTTGAGTCGCCTCAAAAATGAACTCCACCCCTTCAAACCCCATTCTCCTCGATTTTTGAGTCGCCTCAAAAATGAACTCCACCCCTTCAAACCCCATTCTCCTCGATTTTTGAGTCGCCTCAAAAATGAACTCCACCCCTTCAAACCCCATTCTCCTCGATTTTTGAGTCGCCTCAAAAATGAACTCCACCCCTTCAAACCCCATTCTCCTCGATTTTTGAGTCGCCTCAAAAATGAACTCCACCCCTTCAAACCCCATTCTCCTCGATTTTTGAGTCGACTCAAAAATGAACTCCACCCCTTCAAACCCCATTCTCCTCGATTTTTGAGTCGCCTCAAAAATGAACTCCACCCCTTCAAACCCCATTCTCCTCGATTTTTGAGTCGCCTCAAAAATGAACTCCACCCCTTCAAACCCCATTCTCCTCGATTTTTGAGTCGCCTCAAAAATGAACTCCACCCCTTCAAACCCCATTCTCCTCGATTTTTTAGTCGACTCAAAAATGAACTCCACCCCTTCAAACCCCATTCTCCTCGATTTTTGAGTCGCCTCAAAAATGAACTCCACCCCTTCAAACCCCATTCTCCTCGATTTTTGAGTCGCCTCAAAAATGAACTCCACCCCTTCAAACCCCATTCTCCTCGATTTTTGAGTCGCCTCAAAAATGAACTCCACCCCTTCAAACCCCATTCTCCTCGATTTTTGAGTCGCCTCAAAAATGAACTCCACCCCTTCAAACCCCATTCTCCTCGATTTTTGAGTCGCCTCAAAAATGAACTCCACCCCTTCAAACCCCATTCTCCTCGATTTTTGAGTCGCCTCAAAAATGAACTCCACCCCTTCAAACCCCATTCTCCTCGATTTTTGAGTCGCCTCAAAAATGAACTCCACCCCTTCAAACCCCATTCTCCTCGATTTTTGAGTCGCCTCAAAAATGAACTCCACCCCTTCAAACCCCATTCTCCTCGATTTTTGAGTCGCCTCAAAAATGAACTCCACCCCTTCAAACCCCATTCTCCTCGATTTTTGAGTCGCCTCAAAAATGAACTCCACCCCTTCAAACCCCATTCTCCTCGATTTTTGAGTCGCCTCAAAAATGAACTCCACCCCTTCAAACCCCATTCTCCTCGATTTTTGAGTCGCCTCAAAAATGAACTCCACCCCTTCAAACCCCATTCTCCTCGATTTTTGAGTCGCCTCAAAAATGAACTCCACCCCTTCAAACCCCATTCTCCTCGATTTTTGAGTCGCCTCAAAAATGAACTCCACCCCTTCAAACCCCATTCTCCTCGATTTTTGAGTCGCCTCAAAAATGAACTCCACCCCTTCAAACCCCATTCTCCTCGATTTTTGAGTCGCCTCAAAAATGAACTCCACCCCTTCAAACCCCATTCTCCTCGATTTTTGAGTCGCCTCAAAAATGAACTCCACCCCTTCAAACCCCATTCTCCTCGATTTTTGAGTCGCCTCAAAAATGAACTCCACCCCTTCAAACCCCATTCTCCTCGATTTTTGAGTCGCCTCAAAAATGAACTCCACCCCTTCAAACCCCATTCTCCTCGATTTTTGAGTCGCCTCAAAAATGAACTCCACCCCTTCAAACCCCATTCTCCTCGATTTTTGAGTCGCCTCAAAAATGAACTCCACCCCTTCAAACCCCATTCTCCTCGATTTTTGAGTCGCCTCAAAAATGAACTCCACCCCTTCAAACCCCATTCTCCTCGATTTTTGAGTCGCCTCAAAAATGAACTCCACCCCTTCAAACCCCATTCTCCTCGATTTTTGAGTCGCCTCAAAAATGAACTCCACCCCTTCAAACCCCATTCTCCTCGATTTTTGAGTCGCCTCAAAAATGAACTCCACCCCTTCAAACCCCATTCTCCTCGATTTTTGAGTCGCCTCAAAAATGAACTCCACCCCTTCAAACCCCATTCTCCTCGATTTTTGAGTCGCCTCAAAAATGAACTCCACCCCTTCAAACCCCATTCTCCTCGATTTTTGAGTCGCCTCAAAAATGAACTCCACCCCTTCAAACCCCATTCTCCTCGATTTTTGAGTCGCCTCAAAAATGAACTCCACCCCTTCAAACCCCATTCTCCTCGATTTTTGAGTCGCCTCAAAAATGAACTCCACCCCTTCAAACCCCATTCTCCTCGATTTTTGAGTCGCCTCAAAAATGAACTCCACCCCTTCAAACCCCATTCTCCTCGATTTTTGAGTCGCCTCAAAAATGAACTCCACCCCTTCAAACCCCATTCTCCTCGATTTTTGAGTCGCCTCAAAAATGAACTCCACCCCTTCAAACCCCATTCTCCTCGATTTTTTGAGTCGCCTCAAAAATGAACTCCACCCCTTCAAACCCCATTCTCCTCGATTTTTGAGTCGCCTCAAAAATGAACTCCACCCCTTCAAACCCCATTCTCCTCGATTTTTGAGTCGCCTCAAAAATGAACTCCACCCCTTCAAACCCCATTCTCCTCGATTTTTGAGTCGCCTCAAAAATGAACTCCACCCCTTCAAACCCCATTCTCCTCGATTTTTTAGTCGCCTCAAAAATGAACTCCACCCCTTCAAACCCCATTCTCCTCGATTTTTGAGTCGCCTCAAAAATGAACTCCACCCCTTCAAACCCCATTCTCCTCGATTTTTGAGTCGCCTCAAAAATGAACTCCACCCCTTCAAACCCCATTCTCCTCGATTTTTGAGTCGCCTCAAAAATGAACTCCACCCCTTCAAACCCCATTCTCCTCGATTTTTGAGTCGCCTCAAAAATGAACTCCACCCCTTCAAACCCCATTCTCCTCGATTTTTGAGTCGCCTCAAAAATGAACTCCACCCCTTCAAACCCCATTCTCCTCGATTTTTGAGTCGCCTCAAAAATGAACTCCACCCCTTCAAACCCCATTCTCCTCGATTTTTGAGTCGCCTCAAAAATGAACTCCACCCCTTCAAACCCCATTCTCCTCGATTTTTGAGTCGCCTCAAAAATGAACTCCACCCCTTCAAACCCCATTCTCCTCGATTTTTGAGTCGCCTCAAAAATGAACTCCACCCCTTCAAACCCCATTCTCCTCGATTTTTGAGTCGCCTCAAAAATGAACTCCACCCCTTCAAACCCCATTCTCCTCGATTTTTGAGTCGCCTCAAAAATGAACTCCACCCCTTCAAACCCCATTCTCCTCGATTTTTGAGTCGCCTCAAAAATGAACTCCACCCCTTCAAACCCCATTCTCCTCGATTTTTTGAGTCGCCTCAAAAATGAACTCCACCCCTTCAAACCCCATTCTCCTCGATTTTTGAGTCGCCTCAAAAATGAACTCCACCCCTTCAAACCCCATTCTCCTCGATTTTTTGAGTCGCCTCAAAAATGAACTCCACCCCTTCAAACCCCATTCTCCTCGATTTTTGAGTCGCCTCAAAAATGAACTCCACCCCTTCAAACCCCATTCTCCTCGATTTTTGAGTCGCCTCAAAAATGAACTCCACCCCTTCAAACCCCATTCTCCTCGATTTTTGAGTCGCCTCAAAAATGAACTCCACCCCTTCAAACCCCATTCTCCTCGATTTTTGAGTCGCCTCAAAAATGAACTCCACCCCTTCAAACCCCATTCTCCTCGATTTTTGAGTCGCCTCAAAAATGAACTCCACCCCTTCAAACCCCATTCTCCTCGATTTTTGAGTCGCCTCAAAAATGAACTCCACCCCTTCAAACCCCATTCTCCTCGATTTTTGAGTCGCCTCAAAAATGAACTCCACCCCTTCAAACCCCATTCTCCTCGATTTTTGAGTCGCCTCAAAAATGAACTCCACCCCTTCAAACCCCATTCTCCTCGATTTTTGAGTCGCCTCAAAAATGAACTCCACCCCTTCAAACCCCATTCTCCTCGATTTTTGAGTCGCCTCAAAATGAACTCCACCCCTTCAAACCCCATTCTCCTCGATTTTTGAGTCGCCTCAAAAATGAACTCCACCCCTTCAAACCCCATTCTCCTCGATTTTTGAGTCGCCTCAAAAATGAACTCCACCCCTTCAAACCCCATTCTCCTCGATTTTTGAGTCGCCTCAAAAATGAACTCCACCCCTTCAAACCCCATTCTCCTCGATTTTTGAGTCGCCTCAAAATGAACTCCACCCCTTCAAACCCCATTCTCCTCGATTTTTGAGTCGCCTCAAAAATGAACTCCACCCCTTCAAACCCCATTCTCCTCGATTTTTGAGTCGCCTCAAAAATGAACTCCACCCCTTCAAACCCCATTCTCCTCGATTTTTTAGTCGCCTCAAAAATGAACTCCACCCCTTCGAACCCCATTCTCCTCGATTTTTGAGTCGCCTCAAAAATGAACTCCACCCCTTCAAACCCCATTCTCCTCGATTTTTGAGTCGCCTCAAAAATGAACTCCACCCCTTCAAACCCCATTCTCCTCGATTTTTGAGTCGCCTCAAAAATGAACTCCACCCCTTCAAACCCCATTCTCCTCGATTTTTTAGTCGACTCAAAAATGAACTCCACCCCTTCAAACCCCATTCTCCTCGATTTTTGAGTCGCCTCAAAAATGAACTCCACCCCTTCAAACCCCATTCTCCTCGATTTTTGAGTCGCCTCAAAAATGAACTCCACCCCTTCAAACCCCATTCTCCTCGATTTTTGAGTCGCCTCAAAAATGAACTCCACCCCTTCAAACCCCATTCTCCTCGATTTTTGAGTCGCCTCAAAAATGAACTCCACCCCTTCAAACCCCATTCTCCTCGATTTTTGAGTCGCCTCAAAAATGAACTCCACCCCTTCAAACCCCATTCTCCTCGATTTTTGAGTCGCCTCAAAAATGAACTCCACCCCTTCAAACCCCATTCTCCTCGATTTTTGAGTCGCCTCAAAAATGAACTCCACCCCTTCAAACCCCATTCTCCTCGATTTTTTAGTCGCCTCAAAAATGAACTCCACCCCTTCGAACCCCATTCTCCTCGATTTTTGAGTCGCCTCAAAAATGAACTCCACCCCTTCAAACCCCATTCTCCTCGATTTTTGAGTCGCCTCAAAAATGAACTCCACCCCTTCAAACCCCATTCTCCTCGATTTTTGAGTCGCCTCAAAAATGAACTCCACCCCTTCAAACCCCATTCTCCTCGATTTTTGAGTCGCCTCAAAAATGAACTCCACCCCTTCAAACCCCATTCTCCTCGATTTTTGAGTCGCCTCAAAATGAACTCCACCCCTTCAAACCCCATTCTCCTCGATTTTTGAGTCGCCTCAAAAATGAACTCCACCCCTTCAAACCCCATTCTCCTCGATTTTTGAGTCGCCTCAAAAATGAACTCCACCCCTTCAAACCCCATTCTCCTCGATTTTTGAGTCGCCTCAAAATGAACTCCACCCCTTCAAACCCCATTCTCCTCGATTTTTGAGTCGCCTCAAAAATGAACTCCACCCCTTCAAACCCCATTCTCCTCGATTTTTGAGTCGCCTCAAAAATGAACTCCACCCCTTCAAACCCCATTCTCCTCGATTTTTGAGTCGCCTCAAAAATGAACTCCACCCCTTCAAACCCCATTCTCCTCGATTTTTGAGTCGCCTCAAAAATGAACTCCACCCCTTCAAACCCCATTCTCCTCGATTTTTGAGTCGCCTCAAAAATGAACTCCACCCCTTCAAACCCCATTCTCCTCGATTTTTGAGTCGCCTCAAAAATGAACTCCACCCCTTCAAACCCCATTCTCCTCGATTTTTGAGTCGCCTCAAAAATGAACTCCACCCCTTCAAACCCCATTCTCCTCGATTTTTTAGTCGACTCAAAAATGAACTCCACCCCTTCAAACCCCATTCTCCTCGATTTTTGAGTCGCCTCAAAAATGAACTCCACCCCTTCAAACCCCATTCTCCTCGATTTTTTGAGTCGCCTCAAAAATGAACTCCACCCCTTCAAACCCCATTCTCCTCGATTTTTGAGTCGCCTCAAAAATGAACTCCACCCCTTCAAACCCCATTCTCCTCGATTTTTGAGTCGCCTCAAAAATGAACTCCACCCCTTCAAACCCCATTCTCCTCGATTTTTGAGTCGCCTCAAAAATGAACTCCACCCCTTCAAACCCCATTCTCCTCGATTTTTGAGTCGCCTCAAAAATGAACTCCACCCCTTCAAACCCCATTCTCCTCGATTTTTGAGTCGCCTCAAAAATGAACTCCACCCCTTCAAACCCCATTCTCCTCGATTTTTTAGTCGACTCAAAAATGAACTCCACCCCTTCAAACCCCATTCTCCTCGATTTTTGAGTCGCCTCAAAAATGAACTCCACCCCTTCAAACCCCATTCTCCTCGATTTTTGAGTCGCCTCAAAAATGAACTCCACCCCTTCAAACCCCATTCTCCTCGATTTTTGAGTCGCCTCAAAAATGAACTCCACCCCTTCAAACCCCATTCTCCTCGATTTTTGAGTCGCCTCAAAAATGAACTCCACCCCTTCAAACCCCATTCTCCTCGATTTTTGAGTCGCCTCAAAAATGAACTCCACCCCTTCAAACCCCATTCTCCTCGATTTTTGAGTCGCCTCAAAAATGAACTCCACCCCTTCAAACCCCATTCTCCTCGATTTTTGAGTCGCCTCAAAAATGAACTCCACCCCTTCAAACCCCATTCTCCTCGATTTTTTAGTCGCCTCAAAAATGAACTCCACCCCTTCAAACCCCATTCTCCTCGATTTTTGAGTCGCCTCAAAAATGAACTCCACCCCTTCAAACCCCATTCTCCTCGATTTTTGAGTCGCCTCAAAAATGAACTCCACCCCTTCAAACCCCATTCTCCTCGATTTTTGAGTCGCCTCAAAAATGAACTCCACCCCTTCAAACCCCATTCTCCTCGATTTTTGAGTCGCCTCAAAAATGAACTCCACCCCTTCAAACCCCATTCTCCTCGATTTTTGAGTCGCCTCAAAAATGAACTCCACCCCTTCAAACCCCATTCTCCTCGATTTTTGAGTCGCCTCAAAAATGAACTCCACCCCTTCAAACCCCATTCTCCTCGATTTTTGAGTCGCCTCAAAAATGAACTCCACCCCTTCAAACCCCATTCTCCTCGATTTTTGAGTCGCCTCAAAAATGAACTCCACCCCTTCAAACCCCATTCTCCTCGATTTTTGAGTCGCCTCAAAAATGAACTCCACCCCTTCAAACCCCATTCTCCTCGATTTTTGAGTCGCCTCAAAAATGAACTCCACCCCTTCAAACCCCATTCTCCTCGATTTTTTAGTCGCCTCAAAAATGAACTCCACCCCTTCAAACCCCATTCTCCTCGATTTTTGAGTCGCCTCAAAAATGAACTCCACCCCTTCAAACCCCATTCTCCTCGATTTTTGAGTCGCCTCAAAAATGAACTCCACCCCTTCAAACCCCATTCTCCTCGATTTTTGAGTCGCCTCAAAAATGAACTCCACCCCTTCAAACCCCATTCTCCTCGATTTTTGAGTCGCCTCAAAAATGAACTCCACCCCTTCAAACCCCATTCTCCTCGATTTTTGAGTCGCCTCAAAAATGAACTCCACCCCTTCAAACCCCATTCTCCTCGATTTTTGAGTCGCCTCAAAAATGAACTCCACCCCTTCAAACCCCATTCTCCTCGATTTTTGAGTCGCCTCAAAAATGAACTCCACCCCTTCAAACCCCATTCTCCTCGATTTTTTAGTCGACTCAAAAATGAACTCCACCCCTTCGAACCCCATTCTCCTCGATTTTTGAGTCGCCTCAAAAATGAACTCCACCCCTTCAAACCCCATTCTCCTCGATTTTTGAGTCGCCTCAAAAATGAACTCCACCCCTTCAAACCCCATTCTCCTCGATTTTTGAGTCGCCTCAAAAATGAACTCCACCCCTTCAAACCCCATTCTCCTCGATTTTTGAGTCGCCTCAAAAATGAACTCCACCCCTTCAAACCCCATTCTCCTCGATTTTTGAGTCGCCTCAAAAATGAACTCCACCCCTTCAAACCCCATTCTCCTCGATTTTTTAGTCGCCTCAAAAATGAACTCCACCCCTTCAAACCCCATTCTCCTCGATTTTTGAGTCGCCTCAAAAATGAACTCCACCCCTTCAAACCCCATTCTCCTCGATTTTTTAGTCGCCTCAAAAATGAACTCCACCCCTTCGAACCCCATTCTCCTCGATTTTTGAGTCGCCTCAAAAATGAACTCCACCCCTTCAAACCCCATTCTCCTCGATTTTTGAGTCGCCTCAAAAATGAACTCCACCCCTTCAAACCCCATTCTCCTCGATTTTTGAGTCGCCTCAAAAATGAACTCCACCCCTTCAAACCCCATTCTCCTCGATTTTTGAGTCGCCTCAAAAATGAACTCCACCCCTTCAAACCCCATTCTCCTCGATTTTTTAGTCGCCTCAAAAATGAACTCCACCCCTTCAAACCCCATTCTCCTCGATTTTTGAGTCGCCTCAAAAATGAACTCCACCCCTTCAAACCCCATTCTCCTCGATTTTTTAGTCGACTCAAAAATGAACTCCACCCCTTCGAACCCCATTCTCCTCGATTTTTGAGTCGCCTCAAAAATGAACTCCACCCCTTCAAACCCCATTCTCCTCGATTTTTGAGTCGCCTCAAAAATGAACTCCACCCCTTCAAACCCCATTCTCCTCGATTTTTGAGTCGCCTCAAAAATGAACTCCACCCCTTCAAACCCCATTCTCCTCGATTTTTGAGTCGCCTCAAAAATGAACTCCACCCCTTCAAACCCCATTCTCCTCGATTTTTGAGTCGCCTCAAAAATGAACTCCACCCCTTCAAACCCCATTCTCCTCGATTTTTTAGTCGACTCAAAAATGAACTCCACCCCTTCGAACCCCATTCTCCTCGATTTTTGAGTCGCCTCAAAAATGAACTCCACCCCTTCAAACCCCATTCTCCTCGATTTTTGAGTCGCCTCAAAAATGAACTCCACCCCTTCAAACCCCATTCTCCTCGATTTTTGAGTCGCCTCAAAAATGAACTCCACCCCTTCAAACCCCATTCTCCTCGATTTTTGAGTCGCCTCAAAAATGAACTCCACCCCTTCAAACCCCATTCTCCTCGATTTTTGAGTCGCCTCAAAAATGAACTCCACCCCTTCAAACCCCATTCTCCTCGATTTTTTAGTCGCCTCAAAAATGAACTCCACCCCTTCGAACCCCATTCTCCTCGATTTTTGAGTCGCCTCAAAAATGAACTCCACCCCTTCAAACCCCATTCTCCTCGATTTTTGAGTCGCCTCAAAAATGAACTCCACCCCTTCAAACCCCATTCTCCTCGATTTTTGAGTCGCCTCAAAAATGAACTCCACCCCTTCAAACCCCATTCTCCTCGATTTTTTAGTCGCCTCAAAAATGAACTCCACCCCTTCAAACCCCATTCTCCTCGATTTTTGAGTCGCCTCAAAAATGAACTCCACCCCTTCAAACCCCATTCTCCTCGATTTTTTGAGTCGCCTCAAAAATGAACTCCACCCCTTCAAACCCCATTCTCCTCGATTTTTGAGTCGCCTCAAAAATGAACTCCACCCCTTCAAACCCCATTCTCCTCGATTTTTGAGTCGCCTCAAAAATGAACTCCACCCCTTCAAACCCCATTCTCCTCGATTTTTGAGTCGCCTCAAAAATGAACTCCACCCCTTCAAACCCCATTCTCCTCGATTTTTGAGTCGCCTCAAAAATGAACTCCACCCCTTCAAACCCCATTCTCCTCGATTTTTGAGTCGCCTCAAAAATGAACTCCACCCCTTCAAACCCCATTCTCCTCGATTTTTGAGTCGCCTCAAAAATGAACTCCACCCCTTCAAACCCCATTCTCCTCGATTTTTGAGTCGCCTCAAAAATGAACTCCACCCCTTCAAACCCCATTCTCCTCGATTTTTGAGTCGCCTCAAAAATGAACTCCACCCCTTCAAACCCCATTCTCCTCGATTTTTGAGTCGCCTCAAAAATGAACTCCACCCCTTCAAACCCCATTCTCCTCGATTTTTGAGTCGCCTCAAAAATGAACTCCACCCCTTCAAACCCCATTCTCCTCGATTTTTGAGTCGCCTCAAAAATGAACTCCACCCCTTCAAACCCCATTCTCCTCGATTTTTGAGTCGCCTCAAAAATGAACTCCACCCCTTCAAACCCCATTCTCCTCGATTTTTGAGTCGCCTCAAAAATGAACTCCACCCCTTCAAACCCCATTCTCCTCGATTTTTGAGTCGCCTCAAAAATGAACTCCACCCCTTCAAACCCCATTCTCCTCGATTTTTGAGTCGCCTCAAAAATGAACTCCACCCCTTCAAACCCCATTCTCCTCGATTTTTGAGTCGCCTCAAAAATGAACTCCACCCCTTCAAACCCCATTCTCCTCGATTTTTGAGTCGCCTCAAAAATGAACTCCACCCCTTCAAACCCCATTCTCCTCGATTTTTGAGTCGCCTCAAAAATGAACTCCACCCCTTCAAACCCCATTCTCCTCGATTTTTGAGTCGCCTCAAAAATGAACTCCACCCCTTCAAACCCCATTCTCCTCGATTTTTGAGTCGCCTCAAAAATGAACTCCACCCCTTCAAACCCCATTCTCCTCGATTTTTGAGTCGCCTCAAAAATGAACTCCACCCCTTCAAACCCCATTCTCCTCGATTTTTGAGTCGCCTCAAAAATGAACTCCACCCCTTCAAACCCCATTCTCCTCGATTTTTGAGTCGCCTCAAAAATGAACTCCACCCCTTCAAACCCCATTCTCCTCGATTTTTTAGTCGCCTCAAAAATGAACTCCACCCCTTCAAACCCCATTCTCCTCGATTTTTGAGTCGCCTCAAAAATGAACTCCACCCCTTCAAACCCCATTCTCCTCGATTTTTGAGTCGCCTCAAAAATGAACTCCACCCCTTCAAACCCCATTCTCCTCGATTTTTGAGTCGCCTCAAAAATGAACTCCACCCCTTCAAACCCCATTCTCCTCGATTTTTGAGTCGCCTCAAAAATGAACTCCACCCCTTCAAACCCCATTCTCCTCGATTTTTGAGTCGCCTCAAAAATGAACTCCACCCCTTCAAACCCCATTCTCCTCGATTTTTGAGTCGCCTCAAAAATGAACTCCACCCCTTCAAACCCCATTCTCCTCGATTTTTTAGTCGCCTCAAAAATGAACTCCACCCCTTCAAACCCCATTCTCCTCGATTTTTGAGTCGCCTCAAAAATGAACTCCACCCCTTCAAACCCCATTCTCCTCGATTTTTGAGTCGCCTCAAAAATGAACTCCACCCCTTCAAACCCCATTCTCCTCGATTTTTGAGTCGCCTCAAAAATGAACTCCACCCCTTCAAACCCCATTCTCCTCGATTTTTGAGTCGCCTCAAAAATGAACTCCACCCCTTCAAACCCCATTCTCCTCGATTTTTGAGTCGCCTCAAAAATGAACTCCACCCCTTCAAACCCCATTCTCCTCGATTTTTGAGTCGCCTCAAAAATGAACTCCACCCCTTCAAACCCCATTCTCCTCGATTTTTGAGTCGCCTCAAAAATGAACTCCACCCCTTCAAACCCCATTCTCCTCGATTTTTGAGTCGCCTCAAAAATGAACTCCACCCCTTCAAACCCCATTCTCCTCGATTTTTGAGTCGCCTCAAAATGAACTCCACCCCTTCAAACCCCATTCTCCTCGATTTTTGAGTCGCCTCAAAAATGAACTCCACCCCTTCAAACCCCATTCTCCTCGATTTTTGAGTCGCCTCAAAAATGAACTCCACCCCTTCAAACCCCATTCTCCTCGATTTTTGAGTCGCCTCAAAAATGAACTCCACCCCTTCAAACCCCATTCTCCTCGATTTTTGAGTCGCCTCAAAAATGAACTCCACCCCTTCGAACCCCATTCTCCTCGATTTTTGAGTCGCCTCAAAAATGAACTCCACCCCTTCAAACCCCATTCTCCTCGATTTTTGAGTCGCCTCAAAAATGAACTCCACCCCTTCAAACCCCATTCTCCTCGATTTTTGAGTCGCCTCAAAAATGAACTCCACCCCTTCAAACCCCATTCTCCTCGATTTTTGAGTCGCCTCAAAAATGAACTCCACCCCTTCAAACCCCATTCTCCTCGATTTTTGAGTCGCCTCAAAAATGAACTCCACCCCTTCAAACCCCATTCTCCTCGATTTTTGAGTCGCCTCAAAAATGAACTCCACCCCTTCAAACCCCATTCTCCTCGATTTTTGAGTCGCCTCAAAAATGAACTCCACCCCTTCAAACCCCATTCTCCTCGATTTTTTGAGTCGCCTCAAAAATGAACTCCACCCCTTCAAACCCCATTCTCCTCGATTTTTGAGTCGCCTCAAAAATGAACTCCACCCCTTCAAACCCCATTCTCCTCGATTTTTGAGTCGCCTCAAAAATGAACTCCACCCCTTCAAACCCCATTCTCCTCGATTTTTGAGTCGCCTCAAAAATGAACTCCACCCCTTCAAACCCCATTCTCCTCGATTTTTGAGTCGCCTCAAAAATGAACTCCACCCCTTCAAACCCCATTCTCCTCGATTTTTGAGTCGCCTCAAAAATGAACTCCACCCCTTCAAACCCCATTCTCCTCGATTTTTTAGTCGACTCAAAAATGAACTCCACCCCTTCAAACCCCATTCTCCTCGATTTTTGAGTCGCCTCAAAAATGAACTCCACCCCTTCAAACCCCATTCTCCTCGATTTTTGAGTCGCCTCAAAAATGAACTCCACCCCTTCAAACCCCATTCTCCTCGATTTTTGAGTCGCCTCAAAAATGAACTCCACCCCTTCAAACCCCATTCTCCTCGATTTTTGAGTCGCCTCAAAAATGAACTCCACCCCTTCAAACCCCATTCTCCTCGATTTTTGAGTCGCCTCAAAAATGAACTCCACCCCTTCAAACCCCATTCTCCTCGATTTTTGAGTCGCCTCAAAAATGAACTCCACCCCTTCAAACCCCATTCTCCTCGATTTTTGAGTCGCCTCAAAAATGAACTCCACCCCTTCAAACCCCATTCTCCTCGATTTTTGAGTCGCCTCAAAAATGAACTCCACCCCTTCAAACCCCATTCTCCTCGATTTTTGAGTCGCCTCAAAAATGAACTCCACCCCTTCAAACCCCATTCTCCTCGATTTTTGAGTCGCCTCAAAAATGAACTCCACCCCTTCAAACCCCATTCTCCTCGATTTTTGAGTCGCCTCAAAAATGAACTCCACCCCTTCAAACCCCATTCTCCTCGATTTTTGAGTCGCCTCAAAAATGAACTCCACCCCTTCAAACCCCATTCTCCTCGATTTTTGAGTCGCCTCAAAAATGAACTCCACCCCTTCAAACCCCATTCTCCTCGATTTTTGAGTCGCCTCAAAAATGAACTCCACCCCTTCAAACCCCATTCTCCTCGATTTTTGAGTCGCCTCAAAAATGAACTCCACCCCTTCAAACCCCATTCTCCTCGATTTTTTAGTCGACTCAAAAATGAACTCCACCCCTTCAAACCCCATTCTCCTCGATTTTTGAGTCGCCTCAAAAATGAACTCCACCCCTTCAAACCCCATTCTCCTCGATTTTTGAGTCGCCTCAAAAATGAACTCCACCCCTTCAAACCCCATTCTCCTCGATTTTTGAGTCGCCTCAAAAATGAACTCCACCCCTTCAAACCCCATTCTCCTCGATTTTTGAGTCGCCTCAAAAATGAACTCCACCCCTTCAAACCCCATTCTCCTCGATTTTTGAGTCGCCTCAAAAATGAACTCCACCCCTTCAAACCCCATTCTCCTCGATTTTTGAGTCGCCTCAAAAATGAACTCCACCCCTTCAAACCCCATTCTCCTCGATTTTTGAGTCGCCTCAAAAATGAACTCCACCCCTTCAAACCCCATTCTCCTCGATTTTTGAGTCGCCTCAAAAATGAACTCCACCCCTTCAAACCCCATTCTCCTCGATTTTTGAGTCGCCTCAAAAATGAACTCCACCCCTTCAAACCCCATTCTCCTCGATTTTTGAGTCGCCTCAAAAATGAACTCCACCCCTTCAAACCCCATTCTCCTCGATTTTTGAGTCGCCTCAAAAATGAACTCCACCCCTTCAAACCCCATTCTCCTCGATTTTTGAGTCGCCTCAAAAATGAACTCCACCCCTTCAAACCCCATTCTCCTCGATTTTTGAGTCGCCTCAAAAATGAACTCCACCCCTTCAAACCCCATTCTCCTCGATTTTTGAGTCGCCTCAAAAATGAACTCCACCCCTTCAAACCCCATTCTCCTCGATTTTTGAGTCGCCTCAAAAATGAACTCCACCCCTTCAAACCCCATTCTCCTCGATTTTTGAGTCGCCTCAAAAATGAACTCCACCCCTTCAAACCCCATTCTCCTCGATTTTTGAGTCGCCTCAAAAATGAACTCCACCCCTTCAAACCCCATTCTCCTCGATTTTTGAGTCGCCTCAAAAATGAACTCCACCCCTTCAAACCCCATTCTCCTCGATTTTTGAGTCGCCTCAAAAATGAACTCCACCCCTTCAAACCCCATTCTCCTCGATTTTTGAGTCGCCTCAAAAATGAACTCCACCCCTTCAAACCCCATTCTCCTCGATTTTTGAGTCGCCTCAAAAATGAACTCCACCCCTTCAAACCCCATTCTCCTCGATTTTTGAGTCGCCTCAAAAATGAACTCCACCCCTTCAAACCCCATTCTCCTCGATTTTTGAGTCGCCTCAAAAATGAACTCCACCCCTTCAAACCCCATTCTCCTCGATTTTTGAGTCGCCTCAAAAATGAACTCCACCCCTTCAAACCCCATTCTCCTCGATTTTTGAGTCGCCTCAAAAATGAACTCCACCCCTTCAAACCCCATTCTCCTCGATTTTTGAGTCGCCTCAAAAATGAACTCCACCCCTTCAAACCCCATTCTCCTCGATTTTTGAGTCGCCTCAAAAATGAACTCCACCCCTTCAAACCCCATTCTCCTCGATTTTTGAGTCGCCTCAAAAATGAACTCCACCCCTTCAAACCCCATTCTCCTCGATTTTTGAGTCGCCTCAAAAATGAACTCCACCCCTTCAAACCCCATTCTCCTCGATTTTTGAGTCGCCTCAAAAATGAACTCCACCCCTTCAAACCCCATTCTCCTCGATTTTTGAGTCGCCTCAAAAATGAACTCCACCCCTTCAAACCCCATTCTCCTCGATTTTTGAGTCGCCTCAAAAATGAACTCCACCCCTTCAAACCCCATTCTCCTCGATTTTTGAGTCGCCTCAAAAATGAACTCCACCCCTTCAAACCCCATTCTCCTCGATTTTTTAGTCGACTCAAAAATGAACTCCACCCCTTCAAACCCCATTCTCCTCGATTTTTGAGTCGCCTCAAAAATGAACTCCACCCCTTCAAACCCCATTCTCCTCGATTTTTTAGTCGCCTCAAAAATGAACTCCACCCCTTCGAACCCCATTCTCCTCGATTTTTGAGTCGCCTCAAAAATGAACTCCACCCCTTCAAACCCCATTCTCCTCGATTTTTGAGTCGCCTCAAAAATGAACTCCACCCCTTCAAACCCCATTCTCCTCGATTTTTGAGTCGCCTCAAAAATGAACTCCACCCCTTCAAACCCCATTCTCCTCGATTTTTGAGTCGCCTCAAAAATGAACTCCACCCCTTCAAACCCCATTCTCCTCGATTTTTGAGTCGCCTCAAAAATGAACTCCACCCCTTCAAACCCCATTCTCCTCGATTTTTGAGTCGCCTCAAAAATGAACTCCACCCCTTCAAACCCCATTCTCCTCGATTTTTGAGTCGCCTCAAAAATGAACTCCACCCCTTCAAACCCCATTCTCCTCGATTTTTGAGTCGCCTCAAAAATGAACTCCACCCCTTCAAACCCCATTCTCCTCGATTTTTGAGTCGCCTCAAAAATGAACTCCACCCCTTCAAACCCCATTCTCCTCGATTTTTGAGTCGCCTCAAAAATGAACTCCACCCCTTCAAACCCCATTCTCCTCGATTTTTTGAGTCGCCTCAAAAATGAACTCCACCCCTTCAAACCCCATTCTCCTCGATTTTTGAGTCGCCTCAAAAATGAACTCCACCCCTTCAAACCCCATTCTCCTCGATTTTTGAGTCGCCTCAAAAATGAACTCCACCCCTTCAAACCCCATTCTCCTCGATTTTTGAGTCGCCTCAAAAATGAACTCCACCCCTTCAAACCCCATTCTCCTCGATTTTTGAGTCGCCTCAAAAATGAACTCCACCCCTTCAAACCCCATTCTCCTCGATTTTTGAGTCGCCTCAAAAATGAACTCCACCCCTTCAAACCCCATTCTCCTCGATTTTTGAGTCGCCTCAAAAATGAACTCCACCCCTTCAAACCCCATTCTCCTCGATTTTTGAGTCGCCTCAAAAATGAACTCCACCCCTTCAAACCCCATTCTCCTCGATTTTTGAGTCGCCTCAAAAATGAACTCCACCCCTTCAAACCCCATTCTCCTCGATTTTTGAGTCGCCTCAAAAATGAACTCCACCCCTTCAAACCCCATTCTCCTCGATTTTTGAGTCGCCTCAAAAATGAACTCCACCCCTTCAAACCCCATTCTCCTCGATTTTTGAGTCGCCTCAAAAATGAACTCCACCCCTTCAAACCCCATTCTCCTCGATTTTTGAGTCGCCTCAAAAATGAACTCCACCCCTTCAAACCCCATTCTCCTCGATTTTTGAGTCGCCTCAAAAATGAACTCCACCCCTTCAAACCCCATTCTCCTCGATTTTTGAGTCGCCTCAAAAATGAACTCCACCCCTTCAAACCCCATTCTCCTCGATTTTTGAGTCGCCTCAAAAATGAACTCCACCCCTTCAAACCCCATTCTCCTCGATTTTTGAGTCGCCTCAAAAATGAACTCCACCCCTTCAAACCCCATTCTCCTCGATTTTTGAGTCGCCTCAAAAATGAACTCCACCCCTTCAAACCCCATTCTCCTCGATTTTTGAGTCGCCTCAAAAATGAACTCCACCCCTTCAAACCCCATTCTCCTCGATTTTTGAGTCGCCTCAAAAATGAACTCCACCCCTTCAAACCCCATTCTCCTCGATTTTTGAGTCGCCTCAAAAATGAACTCCACCCCTTCAAACCCCATTCTCCTCGATTTTTGAGTCGCCTCAAAAATGAACTCCACCCCTTCAAACCCCATTCTCCTCGATTTTTTAGTCGACTCAAAAATGAACTCCACCCCTTCAAACCCCATTCTCCTCGATTTTTGAGTCGCCTCAAAAATGAACTCCACCCCTTCAAACCCCATTCTCCTCGATTTTTTAGTCGACTCAAAAATGAACTCCACCCCTTCAAACCCCATTCTCCTCGATTTTTGAGTCGCCTCAAAAATGAACTCCACCCCTTCAAACCCCATTCTCCTCGATTTTTGAGTCGCCTCAAAAATGAACTCCACCCCTTCAAACCCCATTCTCCTCGATTTTTGAGTCGCCTCAAAAATGAACTCCACCCCTTCAAACCCCATTCTCCTCGATTTTTTGAGTCGCCTCAAAAATGAACTCCACCCCTTCAAACCCCATTCTCCTCGATTTTTGAGTCGCCTCAAAAATGAACTCCACCCCTTCAAACCCCATTCTCCTCGATTTTTGAGTCGACTCAAAAATGAACTCCACCCCTTCAAACCCCATTCTCCTCGATTTTTGAGTCGCCTCAAAAATGAACTCCACCCCTTCAAACCCCATTCTCCTCGATTTTTGAGTCGCCTCAAAAATGAACTCCACCCCTTCAAACCCCATTCTCCTCGATTTTTGAGTCGCCTCAAAAATGAACTCCACCCCTTCAAACCCCATTCTCCTCGATTTTTGAGTCGCCTCAAAAATGAACTCCACCCCTTCAAACCCCATTCTCCTCGATTTTTGAGTCGCCTCAAAAATGAACTCCACCCCTTCAAACCCCATTCTCCTCGATTTTTTAGTCGCCTCAAAAATGAACTCCACCCCTTCAAACCCCATTCTCCTCGATTTTTGAGTCGCCTCAAAAATGAACTCCACCCCTTCAAACCCCATTCTCCTCGATTTTTGAGTCGCCTCAAAAATGAACTCCACCCCTTCAAACCCCATTCTCCTCGATTTTTGAGTCGCCTCAAAAATGAACTCCACCCCTTCAAACCCCATTCTCCTCGATTTTTGAGTCGCCTCAAAAATGAACTCCACCCCTTCAAACCCCATTCTCCTCGATTTTTGAGTCGCCTCAAAAATGAACTCCACCCCTTCAAACCCCATTCTCCTCGATTTTTGAGTCGCCTCAAAAATGAACTCCACCCCTTCAAACCCCATTCTCCTCGATTTTTGAGTCGCCTCAAAAATGAACTCCACCCCTTCAAACCCCATTCTCCTCGATTTTTGAGTCGCCTCAAAAATGAACTCCACCCCTTCAAACCCCATTCTCCTCGATTTTTGAGTCGCCTCAAAAATGAACTCCACCCCTTCAAACCCCATTCTCCTCGATTTTTGAGTCGCCTCAAAAATGAACTCCACCCCTTCAAACCCCATTCTCCTCGATTTTTTAGTCGACTCAAAAATGAACTCCACCCCTTCAAACCCCATTCTCCTCGATTTTTGAGTCGCCTCAAAAATGAACTCCACCCCTTCAAACCCCATTCTCCTCGATTTTTGAGTCGCCTCAAAAATGAACTCCACCCCTTCAAACCCCATTCTCCTCGATTTTTGAGTCGCCTCAAAAATGAACTCCACCCCTTCAAACCCCATTCTCCTCGATTTTTTAGTCGACTCAAAAATGAACTCCACCCCTTCAAACCCCATTCTCCTCGATTTTTGAGTCGCCTCAAAAATGAACTCCACCCCTTCAAACCCCATTCTCCTCGATTTTTGAGTCGCCTCAAAAATGAACTCCACCCCTTCAAACCCCATTCTCCTCGATTTTTGAGTCGCCTCAAAAATGAACTCCACCCCTTCAAACCCCATTCTCCTCGATTTTTGAGTCGCCTCAAAAATGAACTCCACCCCTTCAAACCCCATTCTCCTCGATTTTTGAGTCGCCTCAAAAATGAACTCCACCCCTTCAAACCCCATTCTCCTCGATTTTTGAGTCGCCTCAAAAATGAACTCCACCCCTTCAAACCCCATTCTCCTCGATTTTTGAGTCGCCTCAAAAATGAACTCCACCCCTTCAAACCCCATTCTCCTCGATTTTTGAGTCGCCTCAAAAATGAACTCCACCCCTTCAAACCCCATTCTCCTCGATTTTTGAGTCGCCTCAAAAATGAACTCCACCCCTTCAAACCCCATTCTCCTCGATTTTTGAGTCGCCTCAAAAATGAACTCCACCCCTTCAAACCCCATTCTCCTCGATTTTTGAGTCGCCTCAAAAATGAACTCCACCCCTTCAAACCCCATTCTCCTCGATTTTTGAGTCGCCTCAAAAATGAACTCCACCCCTTCAAACCCCATTCTCCTCGATTTTTGAGTCGCCTCAAAAATGAACTCCACCCCTTCAAACCCCATTCTCCTCGATTTTTGAGTCGCCTCAAAAATGAACTCCACCCCTTCAAACCCCATTCTCCTCGATTTTTGAGTCGCCTCAAAAATGAACTCCACCCCTTCAAACCCCATTCTCCTCGATTTTTGAGTCGCCTCAAAAATGAACTCCACCCCTTCAAACCCCATTCTCCTCGATTTTTGAGTCGCCTCAAAAATGAACTCCACCCCTTCAAACCCCATTCTCCTCGATTTTTGAGTCGCCTCAAAAATGAACTCCACCCCTTCAAACCCCATTCTCCTCGATTTTTGAGTCGCCTCAAAAATGAACTCCACCCCTTCAAACCCCATTCTCCTCGATTTTTGAGTCGCCTCAAAAATGAACTCCACCCCTTCAAACCCCATTCTCCTCGATTTTTGAGTCGCCTCAAAAATGAACTCCACCCCTTCAAACCCCATTCTCCTCGATTTTTGAGTCGCCTCAAAAATGAACTCCACCCCTTCAAACCCCATTCTCCTCGATTTTTTAGTCGACTCAAAAATGAACTCCACCCCTTCAAACCCCATTCTCCTCGATTTTTGAGTCGCCTCAAAAATGAACTCCACCCCTTCAAACCCCATTCTCCTCGATTTTTGAGTCGCCTCAAAAATGAACTCCACCCCTTCAAACCCCATTCTCCTCGATTTTTGAGTCGCCTCAAAAATGAACTCCACCCCTTCAAACCCCATTCTCCTCGATTTTTGAGTCGCCTCAAAAATGAACTCCACCCCTTCAAACCCCATTCTCCTCGATTTTTGAGTCGCCTCAAAAATGAACTCCACCCCTTCAAACCCCATTCTCCTCGATTTTTGAGTCGCCTCAAAAATGAACTCCACCCCTTCAAACCCCATTCTCCTCGATTTTTGAGTCGCCTCAAAAATGAACTCCACCCCTTCAAACCCCATTCTCCTCGATTTTTGAGTCGCCTCAAAAATGAACTCCACCCCTTCAAACCCCATTCTCCTCGATTTTTGAGTCGCCTCAAAAATGAACTCCACCCCTTCAAACCCCATTCTCCTCGATTTTTGAGTCGCCTCAAAAATGAACTCCACCCCTTCAAACCCCATTCTCCTCGATTTTTGAGTCGCCTCAAAAATGAACTCCACCCCTTCAAACCCCATTCTCCTCGATTTTTGAGTCGCCTCAAAAATGAACTCCACCCCTTCAAACCCCATTCTCCTCGATTTTTGAGTCGCCTCAAAAATGAACTCCACCCCTTCAAACCCCATTCTCCTCGATTTTTGAGTCGCCTCAAAAATGAACTCCACCCCTTCAAACCCCATTCTCCTCGATTTTTGAGTCGCCTCAAAAATGAACTCCACCCCTTCAAACCCCATTCTCCTCGATTTTTGAGTCGCCTCAAAAATGAACTCCACCCCTTCAAACCCCATTCTCCTCGATTTTTGAGTCGCCTCAAAAATGAACTCCACCCCTTCAAACCCCATTCTCCTCGATTTTTGAGTCGCCTCAAAAATGAACTCCACCCCTTCAAACCCCATTCTCCTCGATTTTTGAGTCGCCTCAAAAATGAACTCCACCCCTTCAAACCCCATTCTCCTCGATTTTTGAGTCGCCTCAAAAATGAACTCCACCCCTTCAAACCCCATTCTCCTCGATTTTTGAGTCGCCTCAAAAATGAACTCCACCCCTTCAAACCCCATTCTCCTCGATTTTTGAGTCGCCTCAAAAATGAACTCCACCCCTTCAAACCCCATTCTCCTCGATTTTTGAGTCGCCTCAAAAATGAACTCCACCCCTTCAAACCCCATTCTCCTCGATTTTTGAGTCGCCTCAAAAATGAACTCCACCCCTTCAAACCCCATTCTCCTCGATTTTTGAGTCGCCTCAAAAATGAACTCCACCCCTTCAAACCCCATTCTCCTCGATTTTTGAGTCGCCTCAAAAATGAACTCCACCCCTTCAAACCCCATTCTCCTCGATTTTTGAGTCGCCTCAAAAATGAACTCCACCCCTTCAAACCCCATTCTCCTCGATTTTTGAGTCGCCTCAAAAATGAACTCCACCCCTTCAAACCCCATTCTCCTCGATTTTTGAGTCGCCTCAAAAATGAACTCCACCCCTTCAAACCCCATTCTCCTCGATTTTTGAGTCGCCTCAAAAATGAACTCCACCCCTTCAAACCCCATTCTCCTCGATTTTTGAGTCGCCTCAAAAATGAACTCCACCCCTTCAAACCCCATTCTCCTCGATTTTTGAGTCGCCTCAAAAATGAACTCCACCCCTTCAAACCCCATTCTCCTCGATTTTTTAGTCGCCTCAAAAATGAACTCCACCCCTTCAAACCCCATTCTCCTCGATTTTTGAGTCGCCTCAAAAATGAACTCCACCCCTTCAAACCCCATTCTCCTCGATTTTTGAGTCGCCTCAAAAATGAACTCCACCCCTTCAAACCCCATTCTCCTCGATTTTTGAGTCGCCTCAAAAATGAACTCCACCCCTTCAAACCCCATTCTCCTCGATTTTTGAGTCGCCTCAAAAATGAACTCCACCCCTTCAAACCCCATTCTCCTCGATTTTTGAGTCGCCTCAAAAATGAACTCCACCCCTTCAAACCCCATTCTCCTCGATTTTTGAGTCGCCTCAAAAATGAACTCCACCCCTTCAAACCCCATTCTCCTCGATTTTTGAGTCGCCTCAAAAATGAACTCCACCCCTTCAAACCCCATTCTCCTCGATTTTTGAGTCGCCTCAAAAATGAACTCCACCCCTTCAAACCCCATTCTCCTCGATTTTTGAGTCGCCTCAAAAATGAACTCCACCCCTTCAAACCCCATTCTCCTCGATTTTTGAGTCGCCTCAAAAATGAACTCCACCCCTTCAAACCCCATTCTCCTCGATTTTTGAGTCGCCTCAAAAATGAACTCCACCCCTTCAAACCCCATTCTCCTCGATTTTTGAGTCGCCTCAAAAATGAACTCCACCCCTTCAAACCCCATTCTCCTCGATTTTTGAGTCGCCTCAAAAATGAACTCCACCCCTTCAAACCCCATTCTCCTCGATTTTTGAGTCGCCTCAAAAATGAACTCCACCCCTTCAAACCCCATTCTCCTCGATTTTTGAGTCGCCTCAAAAATGAACTCCACCCCTTCAAACCCCATTCTCCTCGATTTTTGAGTCGCCTCAAAAATGAACTCCACCCCTTCAAACCCCATTCTCCTCGATTTTTGAGTCGCCTCAAAAATGAACTCCACCCCTTCAAACCCCATTCTCCTCGATTTTTGAGTCGCCTCAAAAATGAACTCCACCCCTTCAAACCCCATTCTCCTCGATTTTTGAGTCGCCTCAAAAATGAACTCCACCCCTTCAAACCCCATTCTCCTCGATTTTTTAGTCGACTCAAAAATGAACTCCACCCCTTCAAACCCCATTCTCCTCGATTTTTGAGTCGCCTCAAAAATGAACTCCACCCCTTCAAACCCCATTCTCCTCGATTTTTGAGTCGCCTCAAAAATGAACTCCACCCCTTCAAACCCCATTCTCCTCGATTTTTGAGTCGCCTCAAAAATGAACTCCACCCCTTCAAACCCCATTCTCCTCGATTTTTGAGTCGCCTCAAAAATGAACTCCACCCCTTCAAACCCCATTCTCCTCGATTTTTGAGTCGCCTCAAAAATGAACTCCACCCCTTCAAACCCCATTCTCCTCGATTTTTGAGTCGCCTCAAAAATGAACTCCACCCCTTCAAACCCCATTCTCCTCGATTTTTGAGTCGCCTCAAAAATGAACTCCACCCCTTCAAACCCCATTCTCCTCGATTTTTGAGTCGCCTCAAAAATGAACTCCACCCCTTCAAACCCCATTCTCCTCGATTTTTGAGTCGCCTCAAAAATGAACTCCACCCCTTCAAACCCCATTCTCCTCGATTTTTGAGTCGCCTCAAAAATGAACTCCACCCCTTCAAACCCCATTCTCCTCGATTTTTGAGTCGCCTCAAAAATGAACTCCACCCCTTCAAACCCCATTCTCCTCGATTTTTGAGTCGCCTCAAAAATGAACTCCACCCCTTCAAACCCCATTCTCCTCGATTTTTGAGTCGCCTCAAAAATGAACTCCACCCTTAACCCATCTCGATTTTGAGTCGCCTCAAAAATGAACTCCACCCCTTCAAACCCCATTCTCCTCGATTTTTGAGTCGCCTCAAAAATGAACTCCACCCCTTCAAACCCCATTCTCCTCGATTTTTGAGTCGCCTCAAAAATGAACTCCACCCCTTCAAACCCCATTCTCCTCGATTTTTGAGTCGCCTCAAAAATGAACTCCACCCCTTCAAACCCCATTCTCCTCGATTTTTGAGTCGCCTCAAAAATGAACTCCACCCCTTCAAACCCCATTCTCCTCGATTTTTGAGTCGCCTCAAAAATGAACTCCACCCCTTCAAACCCCATTCTCCTCGATTTTTGAGTCGCCTCAAAAATGAACTCCACCCCTTCAAACCCCATTCTCCTCGATTTTTGAGTCGCCTCAAAAATGAACTCCACCCCTTCAAACCCCATTCTCCTCGATTTTTGAGTCGCCTCAAAAATGAACTCCACCCCTTCAAACCCCATTCTCCTCGATTTTTGAGTCGCCTCAAAAATGAACTCCACCCCTTCAAACCCCATTCTCCTCGATTTTTGAGTCGCCTCAAAAATGAACTCCACCCCTTCAAACCCCATTCTCCTCGATTTTTGAGTCGCCTCAAAAATGAACTCCACCCCTTCAAACCCCATTCTCCTCGATTTTTGAGTCGCCTCAAAAATGAACTCCACCCCTTCAAACCCCATTCTCCTCGATTTTTGAGTCGCCTCAAAAATGAACTCCACCCCTTCAAACCCCATTCTCCTCGATTTTTGAGTCGCCTCAAAAATGAACTCCACCCCTTCAAACCCCATTCTCCTCGATTTTTGAGTCGCCTCAAAAATGAACTCCACCCCTTCAAACCCCATTCTCCTCGATTTTTGAGTCGCCTCAAAAATGAACTCCACCCCTTCAAACCCCATTCTCCTCGATTTTTGAGTCGCCTCAAAAATGAACTCCACCCCTTCAAACCCCATTCTCCTCGATTTTTGAGTCGCCTCAAAAATGAACTCCACCCCTTCAAACCCCATTCTCCTCGATTTTTGAGTCGCCTCAAAAATGAACTCCACCCCTTCAAACCCCATTCTCCTCGATTTTTGAGTCGCCTCAAAAATGAACTCCACCCCTTCAAACCCCATTCTCCTCGATTTTTGAGTCGCCTCAAAAATGAACTCCACCCCTTCAAACCCCATTCTCCTCGATTTTTGAGTCGCCTCAAAAATGAACTCCACCCCTTCAAACCCCATTCTCCTCGATTTTTGAGTCGCCTCAAAAATGAACTCCACCCCTTCAAACCCCATTCTCCTCGATTTTTGAGTCGCCTCAAAAATGAACTCCACCCCTTCAAACCCCATTCTCCTCGATTTTTGAGTCGCCTCAAAAATGAACTCCACCCCTTCAAACCCCATTCTCCTCGATTTTTGAGTCGCCTCAAAAATGAACTCCACCCCTTCAAACCCCATTCTCCTCGATTTTTGAGTCGCCTCAAAAATGAACTCCACCCCTTCAAACCCCATTCTCCTCGATTTTTGAGTCGCCTCAAAAATGAACTCCACCCCTTCAAACCCCATTCTCCTCGATTTTTTAGTCGACTCAAAAATGAACTCCACCCCTTCAAACCCCATTCTCCTCGATTTTTGAGTCGCCTCAAAAATGAACTCCACCCCTTCAAACCCCATTCTCCTCGATTTTTGAGTCGCCTCAAAAATGAACTCCACCCCTTCAAACCCCATTCTCCTCGATTTTTGAGTCGCCTCAAAAATGAACTCCACCCCTTCAAACCCCATTCTCCTCGATTTTTGAGTCGCCTCAAAAATGAACTCCACCCCTTCAAACCCCATTCTCCTCGATTTTTGAGTCGCCTCAAAAATGAACTCCACCCCTTCAAACCCCATTCTCCTCGATTTTTGAGTCGCCTCAAAAATGAACTCCACCCCTTCAAACCCCATTCTCCTCGATTTTTGAGTCGCCTCAAAAATGAACTCCACCCCTTCAAACCCCATTCTCCTCGATTTTTGAGTCGCCTCAAAAATGAACTCCACCCCTTCAAACCCCATTCTCCTCGATTTTTGAGTCGCCTCAAAAATGAACTCCACCCCTTCAAACCCCATTCTCCTCGATTTTTGAGTCGCCTCAAAAATGAACTCCACCCCTTCAAACCCCATTCTCCTCGATTTTTGAGTCGCCTCAAAAATGAACTCCACCCCTTCAAACCCCATTCTCCTCGATTTTTGAGTCGCCTCAAAAATGAACTCCACCCCTTCAAACCCCATTCTCCTCGATTTTTGAGTCGCCTCAAAAATGAACTCCACCCCTTCAAACCCCATTCTCCTCGATTTTTGAGTCGCCTCAAAAATGAACTCCACCCCTTCAAACCCCATTCTCCTCGATTTTTGAGTCGCCTCAAAAATGAACTCCACCCCTTCAAACCCCATTCTCCTCGATTTTTGAGTCGCCTCAAAAATGAACTCCACCCCTTCAAACCCCATTCTCCTCGATTTTTGAGTCGCCTCAAAAATGAACTCCACCCCTTCAAACCCCATTCTCCTCGATTTTTGAGTCGCCTCAAAAATGAACTCCACCCCTTCAAACCCCATTCTCCTCGATTTTTGAGTCGCCTCAAAAATGAACTCCACCCCTTCAAACCCCATTCTCCTCGATTTTTTAGTCGCCTCAAAAATGAACTCCACCCCTTCGAACCCCATTCTCCTCGATTTTTGAGTCGCCTCAAAAATGAACTCCACCCCTTCAAACCCCATTCTCCTCGATTTTTGAGTCGCCTCAAAAATGAACTCCACCCCTTCAAACCCCATTCTCCTCGATTTTTGAGTCGCCTCAAAAATGAACTCCACCCCTTCAAACCCCATTCTCCTCGATTTTTGAGTCGCCTCAAAAATGAACTCCACCCCTTCAAACCCCATTCTCCTCGATTTTTGAGTCGCCTCAAAAATGAACTCCACCCCTTCAAACCCCATTCTCCTCGATTTTTTAGTCGCCTCAAAAATGAACTCCACCCCTTCAAACCCCATTCTCCTCGATTTTTGAGTCGCCTCAAAAATGAACTCCACCCCTTCAAACCCCATTCTCCTCGATTTTTGAGTCGCCTCAAAAATGAACTCCACCCCTTCAAACCCCATTCTCCTCGATTTTTGAGTCGCCTCAAAAATGAACTCCACCCCTTCAAACCCCATTCTCCTCGATTTTTGAGTCGCCTCAAAAATGAACTCCACCCCTTCAAACCCCATTCTCCTCGATTTTTGAGTCGCCTCAAAAATGAACTCCACCCCTTCAAACCCCATTCTCCTCGATTTTTGAGTCGCCTCAAAAATGAACTCCACCCCTTCAAACCCCATTCTCCTCGATTTTTGAGTCGCCTCAAAAATGAACTCCACCCCTTCAAACCCCATTCTCCTCGATTTTTGAGTCGCCTCAAAAATGAACTCCACCCCTTCAAACCCCATTCTCCTCGATTTTTGAGTCGCCTCAAAAATGAACTCCACCCCTTCAAACCCCATTCTCCTCGATTTTTGAGTCGCCTCAAAAATGAACTCCACCCCTTCAAACCCCATTCTCCTCGATTTTTGAGTCGCCTCAAAAATGAACTCCACCCCTTCAAACCCCATTCTCCTCGATTTTTGAGTCGCCTCAAAAATGAACTCCACCCCTTCAAACCCCATTCTCCTCGATTTTTGAGTCGCCTCAAAAATGAACTCCACCCCTTCAAACCCCATTCTCCTCGATTTTTGAGTCGCCTCAAAAATGAACTCCACCCCTTCAAACCCCATTCTCCTCGATTTTTGAGTCGCCTCAAAAATGAACTCCACCCCTTCAAACCCCATTCTCCTCGATTTTTGAGTCGCCTCAAAAATGAACTCCACCCCTTCAAACCCCATTCTCCTCGATTTTTGAGTCGCCTCAAAAATGAACTCCACCCCTTCAAACCCCATTCTCCTCGATTTTTGAGTCGCCTCAAAAATGAACTCCACCCCTTCAAACCCCATTCTCCTCGATTTTTGAGTCGCCTCAAAAATGAACTCCACCCCTTCAAACCCCATTCTCCTCGATTTTTGAGTCGCCTCAAAAATGAACTCCACCCCTTCAAACCCCATTCTCCTCGATTTTTGAGTCGCCTCAAAAATGAACTCCACCCCTTCAAACCCCATTCTCCTCGATTTTTGAGTCGCCTCAAAAATGAACTCCACCCCTTCAAACCCCATTCTCCTCGATTTTTGAGTCGCCTCAAAAATGAACTCCACCCCTTCAAACCCCATTCTCCTCGATTTTTGAGTCGCCTCAAAAATGAACTCCACCCCTTCAAACCCCATTCTCCTCGATTTTTGAGTCGCCTCAAAAATGAACTCCACCCCTTCAAACCCCATTCTCCTCGATTTTTGAGTCGCCTCAAAAATGAACTCCACCCCTTCAAACCCCATTCTCCTCGATTTTTGAGTCGCCTCAAAAATGAACTCCACCCCTTCAAACCCCATTCTCCTCGATTTTTGAGTCGCCTCAAAAATGAACTCCACCCCTTCAAACCCCATTCTCCTCGATTTTTGAGTCGCCTCAAAAATGAACTCCACCCCTTCAAACCCCATTCTCCTCGATTTTTGAGTCGCCTCAAAAATGAACTCCACCCCTTCAAACCCCATTCTCCTCGATTTTTGAGTCGCCTCAAAAATGAACTCCACCCCTTCAAACCCCATTCTCCTCGATTTTTGAGTCGCCTCAAAAATGAACTCCACCCCTTCAAACCCCATTCTCCTCGATTTTTGAGTCGCCTCAAAAATGAACTCCACCCCTTCAAACCCCATTCTCCTCGATTTTTGAGTCGCCTCAAAAATGAACTCCACCCCTTCAAACCCCATTCTCCTCGATTTTTGAGTCGCCTCAAAAATGAACTCCACCCCTTCAAACCCCATTCTCCTCGATTTTTGAGTCGCCTCAAAAATGAACTCCACCCCTTCAAACCCCATTCTCCTCGATTTTTGAGTCGCCTCAAAAATGAACTCCACCCCTTCAAACCCCATTCTCCTCGATTTTTGAGTCGCCTCAAAAATGAACTCCACCCCTTCAAACCCCATTCTCCTCGATTTTTGAGTCGCCTCAAAAATGAACTCCACCCCTTCAAACCCCATTCTCCTCGATTTTTGAGTCGCCTCAAAAATGAACTCCACCCCTTCAAACCCCATTCTCCTCGATTTTTGAGTCGCCTCAAAAATGAACTCCACCCCTTCAAACCCCATTCTCCTCGATTTTTGAGTCGCCTCAAAAATGAACTCCACCCCTTCAAACCCCATTCTCCTCGATTTTTGAGTCGCCTCAAAAATGAACTCCACCCCTTCAAACCCCATTCTCCTCGATTTTTGAGTCGCCTCAAAAATGAACTCCACCCCTTCAAACCCCATTCTCCTCGATTTTTGAGTCGCCTCAAAAATGAACTCCACCCCTTCAAACCCCATTCTCCTCGATTTTTGAGTCGCCTCAAAAATGAACTCCACCCCTTCAAACCCCATTCTCCTCGATTTTTGAGTCGCCTCAAAAATGAACTCCACCCCTTCAAACCCCATTCTCCTCGATTTTTGAGTCGCCTCAAAAATGAACTCCACCCCTTCAAACCCCATTCTCCTCGATTTTTGAGTCGCCTCAAAAATGAACTCCACCCCTTCAAACCCCATTCTCCTCGATTTTTGAGTCGCCTCAAAAATGAACTCCACCCCTTCAAACCCCATTCTCCTCGATTTTTGAGTCGCCTCAAAAATGAACTCCACCCCTTCAAACCCCATTCTCCTCGATTTTTGAGTCGCCTCAAAAATGAACTCCACCCCTTCAAACCCCATTCTCCTCGATTTTTGAGTCGCCTCAAAAATGAACTCCACCCCTTCAAACCCCATTCTCCTCGATTTTTGAGTCGCCTCAAAAATGAACTCCACCCCTTCAAACCCCATTCTCCTCGATTTTTGAGTCGCCTCAAAAATGAACTCCACCCCTTCAAACCCCATTCTCCTCGATTTTTGAGTCGCCTCAAAAATGAACTCCACCCCTTCAAACCCCATTCTCCTCGATTTTTGAGTCGCCTCAAAAATGAACTCCACCCCTTCAAACCCCATTCTCCTCGATTTTTGAGTCGCCTCAAAAATGAACTCCACCCCTTCAAACCCCATTCTCCTCGATTTTTGAGTCGCCTCAAAAATGAACTCCACCCCTTCAAACCCCATTCTCCTCGATTTTTGAGTCGCCTCAAAAATGAACTCCACCCCTTCAAACCCCATTCTCCTCGATTTTTGAGTCGCCTCAAAAATGAACTCCACCCCTTCAAACCCCATTCTCCTCGATTTTTGAGTCGCCTCAAAAATGAACTCCACCCCTTCAAACCCCATTCTCCTCGATTTTTGAGTCGCCTCAAAAATGAACTCCACCCCTTCAAACCCCATTCTCCTCGATTTTTTAGTCGCCTCAAAAATGAACTCCACCCCTTCAAACCCCATTCTCCTCGATTTTTGAGTCGCCTCAAAAATGAACTCCACCCCTTCAAACCCCATTCTCCTCGATTTTTGAGTCGCCTCAAAAATGAACTCCACCCCTTCAAACCCCATTCTCCTCGATTTTTGAGTCGCCTCAAAAATGAACTCCACCCCTTCAAACCCCATTCTCCTCGATTTTTGAGTCGCCTCAAAAATGAACTCCACCCCTTCAAACCCCATTCTCCTCGATTTTTGAGTCGCCTCAAAAATGAACTCCACCCCTTCAAACCCCATTCTCCTCGATTTTTGAGTCGCCTCAAAAATGAACTCCACCCCTTCAAACCCCATTCTCCTCGATTTTTGAGTCGCCTCAAAAATGAACTCCACCCCTTCAAACCCCATTCTCCTCGATTTTTGAGTCGCCTCAAAAATGAACTCCACCCCTTCAAACCCCATTCTCCTCGATTTTTGAGTCGCCTCAAAAATGAACTCCACCCCTTCAAACCCCATTCTCCTCGATTTTTGAGTCGCCTCAAAAATGAACTCCACCCCTTCAAACCCCATTCTCCTCGATTTTTGAGTCGCCTCAAAAATGAACTCCACCCCTTCAAACCCCATTCTCCTCGATTTTTGAGTCGCCTCAAAAATGAACTCCACCCCTTCAAACCCCATTCTCCTCGATTTTTGAGTCGCCTCAAAAATGAACTCCACCCCTTCAAACCCCATTCTCCTCGATTTTTGAGTCGCCTCAAAAATGAACTCCACCCCTTCAAACCCCATTCTCCTCGATTTTTGAGTCGCCTCAAAAATGAACTCCACCCCTTCAAACCCCATTCTCCTCGATTTTTGAGTCGCCTCAAAAATGAACTCCACCCCTTCAAACCCCATTCTCCTCGATTTTTGAGTCGCCTCAAAAATGAACTCCACCCCTTCAAACCCCATTCTCCTCGATTTTTGAGTCGCCTCAAAAATGAACTCCACCCCTTCAAACCCCATTCTCCTCGATTTTTGAGTCGCCTCAAAAATGAACTCCACCCCTTCAAACCCCATTCTCCTCGATTTTTGAGTCGCCTCAAAAATGAACTCCACCCCTTCAAACCCCATTCTCCTCGATTTTTGAGTCGCCTCAAAAATGAACTCCACCCCTTCAAACCCCATTCTCCTCGATTTTTGAGTCGCCTCAAAAATGAACTCCACCCCTTCAAACCCCATTCTCCTCGATTTTTTGAGTCGCCTCAAAAATGAACTCCACCCCTTCAAACCCCATTCTCCTCGATTTTTGAGTCGCCTCAAAAATGAACTCCACCCCTTCAAACCCCATTCTCCTCGATTTTTGAGTCGCCTCAAAAATGAACTCCACCCCTTCAAACCCCATTCTCCTCGATTTTTGAGTCGCCTCAAAAATGAACTCCACCCCTTCAAACCCCATTCTCCTCGATTTTTGAGTCGCCTCAAAAATGAACTCCACCCCTTCAAACCCCATTCTCCTCGATTTTTGAGTCGCCTCAAAAATGAACTCCACCCCTTCAAACCCCATTCTCCTCGATTTTTGAGTCGCCTCAAAAATGAACTCCACCCCTTCAAACCCCATTCTCCTCGATTTTTGAGTCGCCTCAAAAATGAACTCCACCCCTTCAAACCCCATTCTCCTCGATTTTTGAGTCGCCTCAAAAATGAACTCCACCCCTTCAAACCCCATTCTCCTCGATTTTTGAGTCGCCTCAAAAATGAACTCCACCCCTTCAAACCCCATTCTCCTCGATTTTTGAGTCGCCTCAAAAATGAACTCCACCCCTTCAAACCCCATTCTCCTCGATTTTTGAGTCGCCTCAAAAATGAACTCCACCCCTTCAAACCCCATTCTCCTCGATTTTTGAGTCGCCTCAAAAATGAACTCCACCCCTTCAAACCCCATTCTCCTCGATTTTTGAGTCGCCTCAAAAATGAACTCCACCCCTTCAAACCCCATTCTCCTCGATTTTTGAGTCGCCTCAAAAATGAACTCCACCCCTTCAAACCCCATTCTCCTCGATTTTTGAGTCGCCTCAAAAATGAACTCCACCCCTTCAAACCCCATTCTCCTCGATTTTTTAGTCGACTCAAAAATGAACTCCACCCCTTCGAAACCCCATTCTCCTCGATTTTTGAGTCGCCTCAAAAATGAACTCCACCCCTTCAAACCCCATTCTCCTCGATTTTTGAGTCGCCTCAAAAATGAACTCCACCCCTTCAAACCCCATTCTCCTCGATTTTTGAGTCGCCTCAAAAATGAACTCCACCCCTTCAAACCCCATTCTCCTCGATTTTTGAGTCGCCTCAAAAATGAACTCCACCCCTTCAAACCCCATTCTCCTCGATTTTTGAGTCGCCTCAAAAATGAACTCCACCCCTTCAAACCCCATTCTCCTCGATTTTTTAGTCGACTCAAAAATGAACTCCACCCCTTCAAACCCCATTCTCCTCGATTTTTGAGTCGCCTCAAAAATGAACTCCACCCCTTCAAACCCCATTCTCCTCGATTTTTGAGTCGCCTCAAAAATGAACTCCACCCCTTCAAACCCCATTCTCCTCGATTTTTGAGTCGCCTCAAAAATGAACTCCACCCCTTCAAACCCCATTCTCCTCGATTTTTGAGTCGCCTCAAAAATGAACTCCACCCCTTCAAACCCCATTCTCCTCGATTTTTGAGTCGCCTCAAAAATGAACTCCACCCCTTCAAACCCCATTCTCCTCGATTTTTGAGTCGCCTCAAAAATGAACTCCACCCCTTCAAACCCCATTCTCCTCGATTTTTGAGTCGCCTCAAAAATGAACTCCACCCCTTCAAACCCCATTCTCCTCGATTTTTGAGTCGCCTCAAAAATGAACTCCACCCCTTCAAACCCCATTCTCCTCGATTTTTGAGTCGCCTCAAAAATGAACTCCACCCCTTCAAACCCCATTCTCCTCGATTTTTGAGTCGCCTCAAAAATGAACTCCACCCCTTCAAACCCCATTCTCCTCGATTTTTGAGTCGCCTCAAAAATGAACTCCACCCCTTCAAACCCCATTCTCCTCGATTTTTGAGTCGCCTCAAAAATGAACTCCACCCCTTCAAACCCCATTCTCCTCGATTTTTGAGTCGCCTCAAAAATGAACTCCACCCCTTCAAACCCCATTCTCCTCGATTTTTGAGTCGCCTCAAAAATGAACTCCACCCCTTCAAACCCCATTCTCCTCGATTTTTGAGTCGCCTCAAAAATGAACTCCACCCCTTCAAACCCCATTCTCCTCGATTTTTGAGTCGCCTCAAAAATGAACTCCACCCCTTCAAACCCCATTCTCCTCGATTTTTGAGTCGCCTCAAAAATGAACTCCACCCCTTCAAACCCCATTCTCCTCGATTTTTGAGTCGCCTCAAAAATGAACTCCACCCCTTCAAACCCCATTCTCCTCGATTTTTGAGTCGCCTCAAAAATGAACTCCACCCCTTCAAACCCCATTCTCCTCGATTTTTTAGTCGACTCAAAAATGAACTCCACCCCTTCAAACCCCATTCTCCTCGATTTTTGAGTCGCCTCAAAAATGAACTCCACCCCTTCAAACCCCATTCTCCTCGATTTTTGAGTCGCCTCAAAAATGAACTCCACCCCTTCAAACCCCATTCTCCTCGATTTTTGAGTCGCCTCAAAAATGAACTCCACCCCTTCAAACCCCATTCTCCTCGATTTTTTAGTCGCCTCAAAAATGAACTCCACCCCTTCAAACCCCATTCTCCTCGATTTTTGAGTCGCCTCAAAAATGAACTCCACCCCTTCAAACCCCATTCTCCTCGATTTTTTAGTCGCCTCAAAAATGAACTCCACCCCTTCGAAACCCCATTCTCCTCGATTTTTGAAGTCGCCTCAAAAATGAACTCCACCCCTTCAAACCCCATTCTCCTCGATTTTTGAGTCGCCTCAAAAATGAACTCCACCCCTTCGAAACCCCATTCTCCTCGATTTTTGAGTCGCCTCAAAAATGAACTCCACCCCTTCAAACCCCATTCTCCTCGATTTTTTAGTCGACTCAAAAATGAACTCCACCCCTTCAAACCCCATTCTCCTCGATTTTTGAGTCGCCTCAAAAATGAACTCCACCCCTTCAAACCCCATTCTCCTCGATTTTTGAGTCGCCTCAAAAATGAACTCCACCCCTTCAAACCCCATTCTCCTCGATTTTTGAGTCGCCTCAAAAATGAACTCCACCCCTTCAAACCCCATTCTCCTCGATTTTTTAGTCGACTCAAAAATGAACTCCACCCCTTCGAACCCCATTCTCCTCGATTTTTGAGTCGCCTCAAAAATGAACTCCACCCCTTCAAACCCCATTCTCCTCGATTTTTGAGTCGCCTCAAAAATGAACTCCACCCCTTCAAACCCCATTCTCCTCGATTTTTGAGTCGCCTCAAAAATGAACTCCACCCCTTCAAACCCCATTCTCCTCGATTTTTTAGTCGACTCAAAAATGAACTCCACCCCTTCAAACCCCATTCTCCTCGATTTTTGAGTCGCCTCAAAAATGAACTCCACCCCTTCAAACCCCATTCTCCTCGATTTTTTAGTCGACTCAAAAATGAACTCCACCCCTTCGAACCCCATTCTCCTCGATTTTTGAGTCGCCTCAAAAATGAACTCCACCCCTTCAAACCCCATTCTCCTCGATTTTTGAGTCGCCTCAAAAATGAACTCCACCCCTTCAAACCCCATTCTCCTCGATTTTTTAGTCGCCTCAAAAATGAACTCCACCCCTTCGAACCCCATTCTCCTCGATTTTTGAGTCGCCTCAAAAATGAACTCCACCCCTTCAAACCCCATTCTCCTCGATTTTTGAGTCGCCTCAAAAATGAACTCCACCCCTTCAAACCCCATTCTCCTCGATTTTTTAGTCGACTCAAAAATGAACTCCACCCCTTCGAACCCCATTCTCCTCGATTTTTGAGTCGCCTCAAAAATGAACTCCACCCCTTCAAACCCCATTCTCCTCGATTTTTGAGTCGCCTCAAAAATGAACTCCACCCCTTCAAACCCCATTCTCCTCGATTTTTGAGTCGCCTCAAAAATGAACTCCACCCCTTCAAACCCCATTCTCCTCGATTTTTGAGTCGCCTCAAAAATGAACTCCACCCCTTCAAACCCCATTCTCCTCGATTTTTGAGTCGCCTCAAAAATGAACTCCACCCCTTCAAACCCCATTCTCCTCGATTTTTGAGTCGCCTCAAAAATGAACTCCACCCCTTCAAACCCCATTCTCCTCGATTTTTGAGTCGCCTCAAAAATGAACTCCACCCCTTCAAACCCCATTCTCCTCGATTTTTGAGTCGCCTCAAAAATGAACTCCACCCCTTCGAACCCCATTCTCATCGATTTTTGAGTCGCCTCAAAAATGAACTCCACCCCTTCAAACCCCATTCTCCTCGATTTTTGAGTCGCCTCAAAAATGAACTCCACCCCTTCAAACCCCATTCTCCTCGATTTTTTAGTCGACTCAAAAATGAACTCCACCCCTTCAAACCCCATTCTCCTCGATTTTTGAGTCGCCTCAAAAATGAACTCCACCCCTTCAAACCCCATTCTCCTCGATTTTTGAGTCGCCTCAAAAATGAACTCCACCCCTTCAAACCCCATTCTCCTCGATTTTTGAGTCGCCTCAAAAATGAACTCCACCCCTTCAAACCCCATTCTCCTCGATTTTTTAGTCGACTCAAAAATGAACTCCACCCCTTCAAACCCCATTCTCCTCGATTTTTGAGTCGCCTCAAAAATGAACTCCACCCCTTCAAACCCCATTCTCCTCGATTTTTGAGTCGCCTCAAAAATGAACTCCACCCCTTCAAACCCCATTCTCCTCGATTTTTGAGTCGCCTCAAAAATGAACTCCACCCCTTCAAACCCCATTCTCCTCGATTTTTGAGTCGCCTCAAAAATGAACTCCACCCCTTCAAACCCCATTCTCCTCGATTTTTTAGTCGACTCAAAAATGAACTCCACCCCTTCAAACCCCATTCTCCTCGATTTTTGAGTCGCCTCAAAAATGAACTCCACCCCTTCAAACCCCATTCTCCTCGATTTTTTAGTCGACTCAAAAATGAACTCCACCCCTTCGAACCCCATTCTCCTCGATTTTTGAATCGCCTCAAAAATGAACTCCACCCCTTCAAACCCCATTCTCCTCGATTTTTGAGTCGCCTCAAAAATGAACTCCACCCCTTCAAACCCCATTCTCCTCGATTTTTTAGTCGACTCAAAAATGAACTCCACCCCTTCGAACCCCATTCTCCTCGATTTTTGAGTCGCCTCAAAAATGAACTCCACCCCTTCAAACCCCATTCTCCTCGATTTTTGAGTCGCCTCAAAAATGAACTCCACCCCTTCAAACCCCATTCTCCTCGATTTTTTAGTCGACTCAAAAATGAACTCCACCCCTTCGAACCCCATTCTCCTCGATTTTTGAGTCGCCTCAAAAATGAACTCCACCCCTTCAAACCCCATTCTCCTCGATTTTTGAGTCGCCTCAAAAATGAACTCCACCCCTTCAAACCCCATTCTCCTCGATTTTTGAGTCGCCTCAAAAATGAACTCCACCCCTTCAAACCCCATTCTCCTCGATTTTTGAGTCGCCTCAAAAATGAACTCCACCCCTTCAAACCCCATTCTCCTCGATTTTTGAGTCGACTCAAAAATGAACGCCACCCCTTCAAACCCCATTCTCCTCGATTTTTGAGTCGCCTCAAAAATGAACTCCACCCCTTCAAACCCCATTCTCCTCGATTTTTGAGTCGCCTCAAAAATGAACTCCACCCCTTCAAACCCCATTCTCCTCGATTTTTGAGTCGCCTCAAAAATGAACTCCACCCCTTCAAACCCCATTCTCCTCGATTTTTTAGTCGCCTCAAAAATGAACTCCACCCCTTCAAACCCCATTCTCCTCGATTTTTGAGTCGCCTCAAAAATGAACTCCACCCCTTCAAACCCCATTCTCCTCGATTTTTTAGTCGCCTCAAAAATGAACTCCACCCCTTCGAACCCCATTCTCCTCGATTTTTGAGTCGCCTCAAAAATGAACTCCACCCCTTCAAACCCCATTCTCCTCGATTTTTGAGTCGCCTCAAAAATGAACTCCACCCCTTCAAACCCCATTCTCCTCGATTTTTGAGTCGCCTCAAAAATGAACTCCACCCCTTCAAACCCCATTCTCCTCGATTTTTGAGTCGCCTCAAAAATGAACTCCACCCCTTCAAACCCCATTCTCCTCGATTTTTGAGTCGACTCAAAAATGAACTCCACCCCTTCAAACCCCATTCTCCTCGATTTTTGAGTCGCCTCAAAAATGAACTCCACCCCTTCAAACCCCATTCTCGATTTTTTAGTCGACTCAAAAATGAACTCCACCCCTTCGAACCCCATTCTCCTCGATTTTTTTAGTCGACTCAAAAATGAACTCCACCCCTTCAAACCCCATTCTCCTCGATTTTTGAGTCGCCTCAAAAATGAACTCCACCCCTTCAAACCCCATTCTCCTCGATTTTTGAGTCGCCTCAAAAATGAACTCCACCCCTTCAAACCCCATTCTCCTCGATTTTTGAGTCGCCTCAAAAATGAACTCCACCCCTTCAAACCCCATTCTTGATTTTTTAGTCGACTCAAAAATGAACTCCACCCCTTCGAACCCCATTCTCCTCGATTTTTTAGTCGACTCAAAAATGAACTCCACCCCTTCAAACCCCATTCTCCTCGATTTTTGAGTCGCCTCAAAAATGAACTCCACCCCTTCAAACCCCATTCTCCTCGATTTTTGAGTCGCCTCAAAAATGAACTCCACCCCTTCAAACCCCATTCTCCTCGATTTTTGAGTCGCCTCAAAAATGAACTCCACCCCTTCAAACCCCATTCTCCTCGATTTTTGAGTCGCCTCAAAAATGAACTCCACCCCTTCAAACCCCATTCTCGATTTTTGAGTCGCCTCAAAAATGAACTCCACCCCTTCGAACCCCATTCTCCTCGATTTTTGAGTCGCCTCAAAAATGAACTCCACCCCTTCAAACCCCATTCTCCTCGATTTTTTAGTCGACTCAAAAATGAACTCCACCCCTTCGAACCCCATTCTCCTCGATTTTTGAGTCGCCTCAAAAATGAACTCCACCCCTTCAAACCCCATTCTCCTCGATTTTTGAGTCGCCTCAAAAATGAACTCCACCCCTTCAAACCCCATTCTCGATTTTTGAGTCGCCTCAAAATGAACTCCACCCCTTCAAACCCCATTCTCCTCGATTTTTGAGTCGACTCAAAAATGAACTCCACCCCTTCAAACCCCATTCTCCTCGATTTTTGAGTCGCCTCAAAAATGAACTCCACCCCTTCAAACCCCATTCTCCTCGATTTTTGAGTCGCCTCAAAAATGAACTCCACCCCTTCAAACCCCATTCTCCTCGATTTTTGAGTCGACTCAAAAATGAACTCCACCCCTTCAAACCCCATTCTCCTCGATTTTTGAGTCGCCTCAAAAATGAACTCCACCCCTTCAAACCCCATTCTCGATTTTTTAGTCGACTCAAAAATGAACTCCACCCCTTCGAACCCCATTCTCCTCGATTTTTTAGTCGACTCAAAAATAAACTCCACCCCTTCAAACCCCATTCTCCTCGATTTTTGAGTCGCCTCAAAAATGAACTCCACCCCTTCAAACCCCATTCTCGATTTTTGAGTCGACTCAAAAATGAACTCCACCCCTTCAAACCCCATTCTCCTCGATTTTTGAGTCGACTCAAAAATGAACTCCACCCCTTCAAACCCCATTCTCCTCGATTTTTGAGTCGCCTCAAAAATGAACTCCACCCCTTCAAACCCCATTCTCGATTTTTGAGTCGACTCAAAAATGAACTCCACCCCTTCAAACCCCATTCTCCTCGATTTTTGAGTCGACTCAAAAATGAACTCCACCCCTTCAAACCCCATTCTCCTCGATTTTTGAGTCGCCTCAAAAATGAACTCCACCCCTTCAAACCCCATTCTCGATTTTTTAGTCGACTCAAAAATGAACTCCACCCCTTCGAACCCCATTCTCCTCGATTTTTGAGTCGACTCAAAAATGAACTCCACCCCTTCAAACCCCATTCTCCTCGATTTTTGAGTCGCCTCAAAAATGAACTCCACCCCTTCAAACCCCATTCTCGATTTTTTAGTCGACTCAAAAATGAACTCCACCCCTTCGAACCCCATTCTCCTCGATTTTTTAGTCGACTCAAAAATGAACTCCACCTCTTCAAACCCCATTCTCCTCGATTTTTGAGTCGCCTCAAAAATGAACTCCACCCCTTCAAACCCCATTCTCGATTTTTGAGTCGACTCAAAAATGAACTCCACCCCTTCAAACCCCATTCTCCTCGATTTTTGAGTCGACTCAAAAATGAACTCCACCCCTTCAAACCCCATTCTCCTCGATTTTTGAGTCGCCTCAAAAATGAACTCCACCCCTTCAAACCCCATTCTCCTCGATTTTTTAGTCGCCTCAAAAATGAACTCCACCCCTTCAAACCCCATTCTCCTCGATTTTTGAGTCGCCTCAAAAATGAACTCCACCCCTTCAAACCCCATTCTCCTCGATTTTTTAGTCGACTCAAAAATGAACTCCACCCCTTCAAACCCCATTCTCCTCGATTTTTGAGTCGCCTCAAAAATGAACTCCACCCCTTCAAACCCCATTCTCCTCGATTTTTTAGTCGACTCAAAAATGAACTCCACCCCTTCAAACCCCATTCTCCTCGATTTTTGAGTCGCCTCAAAAATGAACTCCACCCCTTCAAACCCCATTCTCGATTTTTTAGTCGACTCAAAAATGAACTCCACCCCTTCAAACCCCATTCTCCTCGATTTTTGAGTCGCCTCAAAAATGAACTCCACCCCTTCAAACCCCATTCTCGATTTTTTAGTCGACTCAAAAATGAACTCCACCCCTTCGAACCCCATTCTCCTCGATTTTTTAGTCGACTCAAAAATGAACTCCACCCCTTCAAACCCCATTCTCCTCGATTTTTTAGTCGACTCAAAAATGAACTCCACCCCTTCAAACCCCATTCTCCTCGATTTTTGAGTCGCCTCAAAAATGAACTCCACCCCTTCAAACCCCATTCTCCTCGATTTTTGAGTCGCCTCAAAAATGAACTCCACCCCTTCAAACCCCATTCTCCTCGATTTTTTAGTCGCCTCAAAAATGAACTCCACCCCTTCAAACCCCATTCTCCTCGATTTTTGAGTCGCCTCAAAAATGAACTCCACCCCTTCAAACCCCATTCTCGATTTTTTAGTCGACTCAAAAATGAACTCCACCCCTTCGAACCCCATTCTCCTCGATTTTTTAGTCGACTCAAAAATGAACTCCACCCCTTCAAACCCCATTCTCCTCGATTTTTGAGTCGCCTCAAAAATGAACTCCACCCCTTCAAACCCCATTCTCGATTTTTGAGTCGACTCAAAAATGAACTCCACCCCTTCAAACCCCATTCTCCTCGATTTTTGAGTCGACTCAAAAATGAACTCCACCCCTTCAAACCCCATTCTCCTCGATTTTTGAGTCGCCTCAAAAATGAACTCCACCCCTTCAAACCCCATTCTCGATTTTTTAGTCGACTCAAAAATGAACTCCACCCCTTCGAACCCCATTCTCCTCGATTTTTGAGTCGACTCAAAAATGAACTCCACCCCTTCAAACCCCATTCTCCTCGATTTTTGAGTCGCCTCAAAAATGAACTCCACCCCTTCAAACCCCATTCTCCTCGATTTTTGAGTCGACTCAAAAATGAACTCCACCCCTTCAAACCCCATTCTCCTCGATTTTTGAGTCGCCTCAAAAATGAACTCCACCCCTTCAAACCCCATTCTCGATTTTTTAGTCGACTCAAAAATGAACTCCACCCCTTCGAACCCCATTCTCCTCGATTTTTTAGTCGACTCAAAAATGAACTCCACCCCTTCAAACCCCATTCTCCTCGATTTTTTAGTCGACTCAAAAATGAACTCCACCCCTTCAAACCCCATTCTCGATTTTTTAGTCGACTCAAAAATGAACTCCACCCCTTCGAACCCCATTCTCCTCGATTTTTTAGTCGACTCAAAATGAACTCCACCCCTTCAAACCCCATTCTCCTCGATTTTTGAGTCGCCTCAAAAATGAACTCCACCCCTTCAAACCCCATTCTCCTCGATTTTTGAGTCGACTCAAAAATGAACTCCACCCCTTCAAACCCCATTCTCCTCGATTTTTGAGTCGCCTCAAAAATGAACTCCACCCCTTCAAACCCCATTCTCGATTTTTTAGTCGACTCAAAAATGAACTCCACCCCTTCGAACCCCATTCTCCTCGATTTTTGAGTCGACTCAAAAATGAACTCCACCCCTTCAAACCCCATTCTCCTCGATTTTTGAGTCGCCTCAAAAATGAACTCCACCCCTTCAAACCCCATTCTCGATTTTTGAGTCGCCTCAAAAATGAACTCCACCCCTTCAAACCCCATTCTCCTCGATTTTTGAGTCGCCTCAAAAATGAACTCCACCCCTTCAAACCCCATTCTCCTCGATTTTTGATTCGCCTCAAAAATGAACTCCACCCCTTCAAACCCCATTCTCCTCGATTTTTGAGTCGCCTCAAAAATGAACTCCACCCCTTCAAACCCCATTCTCCTCGATTTTTTAGTCGACTCAAAAATGAACTCCACCCCTTCAAACCCCATTCTCCTCGATTTTTGAGTCGCCTCAAAAATGAACTCCACCCCTTCAAACCCCATTCTCGATTTTTTAGTCGACTCAAAAATGAACTCCACCCCTTCGAACCCCATTCTCCTCGATTTTTTAGTCGACTCAAAAATGAACTCCACCCCTTCAAACCCCATTCTCCTCGATTTTTGAGTCGCCTCAAAAATGAACTCCACCCCTTCAAACCGCATTCTCGATTTTTGAGTCGACTCAAAAATGAACTCCACCCCTTCAAACCCCATTCTCCTCGATTTTTGAGTTGACTCAAAAATGAACTCCACCCCTTCAAACCCCATTCTCCTCGATTTTTTAGTCGCCTCAAAAATGAACTCCACCCCTTCAAACCCCATTCTCGATTTTTTAGTCGACTCAAAAATGAACTCCACCCCTTCGAACCCCATTCTCCTCGATTTTTGAGTCGACTCAAAAATGAACTCCACCCCTTCAAACCCCATTCTCCTCGATTTTTGAGTCGCCTCAAAAATGAACTCCACCCCTTCAAACCCCATTCTCGATTTTTTAGTCGACTCAAAAATGAACTCCACCCCTTCGAACCCCATTCTCCTCGATTTTTGAGTCGCCTCAAAAATGAACTCCAACCCTTCAAACCCCATTCTCCTCGATTTTGAGTCGCCTCAAAAATGAACTCCACCCCTTCAAACCCCATTCTCGATTTTTGAGTCGACTCAAAAATGAACTCCACCCCTTCAAACCCCATTCTCCTCGATTTTTGAGTCGACTCAAAAATGAACTCCACCTCTTCAAACCCCATTCTCCTCGATTTTTGAGTCGCCTCAAAAATGAACTCCACCCCTTCAAACCCCATTCTCCTCGATTTTTGAGTCGCCTCAAAAATGAACTCCACCCCTTCAAACCCCATTCTCCTCGATTTTTGAGTCGCCTCAAAAATGAATTCCACCCCTTCAAACCCCATTCTCCTCGATTTTTGAGTCGACTCAAAAATGAACTCCACCCCTTCAAACCCCATTCTCCTCGATTTTTGAGTCGCCTCAAAAATGAACTCCACCCCTTCAAACCCCATTCTCGATTTTTTAGTCGACTCAAAAATGAACTCCACCCCTTCGAACCCCATTCTCCTCGATTTTTTAGTCGACTCAAAAATGAACTCCACCCCTTCAAACCCCATTCTCCTCGATTTTTGAGTCGCCTCAAAAATGAACTCCACCCCTTCAAACCCCATTCTCGATTTTTGAGTCGACTCAAAAATGAACTCCACCCCTTCAAACCCCATTCTCCTCGATTTTTGAGTCGACTCAAAAATGAACTCCACCCCTTCAAACCCCATTCTCCTCGATTTTTGAGTCGCCTCAAAAATGAACTCCACCCCTTCAAACCCCATTCTCGATTTTTGAGTCGACTCAAAAATGAACTCCACCCCTTCAAACCCCATTCTCCTCGATTTTTGAGTCGACTCAAAAATGAACTCCACCCCTTCAAACCCCATTCTCCTCGATTTTTGAGTCGCCTCAAAAATGAACTCCACCCCTTCAAACCCCATTCTCGATTTTTTAGTCGACTCAAAAATGAACTCCACCCCTTCGAACCCCATTCTCCTCGATTTTTTAGTCGACTCAAAAATGAACTCCACCCCTTCAAACCCCATTCTCCTCGATTTTTGAGTCGCCTCAAAAATGAACTCCACCCCTTCAAACCCCATTCTCGATTTTTGAGTCGACTCAAAAATGAACTCCACCCCTTCAAACCCCATTCTCCTCGATTTTGAGTCGCCTCAAAAATGAACTCCACCCCTTCAAACCCCATTCTCGATTTTTGAGTCGACTCAAAAATGAACTCCACCCCTTCAAACCCCATTCTCCTCGATTTTTGAGTCGACTCAAAAATGAACTCCACCTCTTCAAACCCCATTCTCCTCGATTTTTGAGTCGCCTCAAAAATGAACTCCACCCCTTCAAACCCCATTCTCCTCGATTTTTGAGTCGCCTCAAAAATGAACTCCACCCCTTCAAACCCCATTCTCCTCGATTTTTGAGTCGCCTCAAAAATGAATTCCACCCCTTCAAACCCCATTCTCCTCGATTTTTGAGTCGCCTCAAAAATGAACTCCACCCCTTCAAACCCCATTCTCCTCGATTTTTGAGTCGCCTCAAAAATGAACTCCACCCCTTCAAACCCCATTCTCGATTTTTTAGTCGACTCAAAAATGAACTCCACCCCTTCGAACCCCATTCTCCTCGATTTTTTAGTCGACTCAAAAATGAACTCCACCCCTTCAAACCCCATTCTCCTCGATTTTTGAGTCGCCTCAAAAATGAACTCCACCCCTTCAAACCCCATTCTCGATTTTTGAGTCGACTCAAAAATGAACTCCACCCCTTCAAACCCCATTCTCCTCGATTTTTTAGTCGACTCAAAAATGAACTCCACCCCTTCAAACCCCATTCTCCTCGATTTTTGAGTCGCCTCAAAAATGAACTCCACCCCTTCAAACCCCATTCTCGATTTTTTAGTCGACTCAAAAATGAACTCCACCCCTTCGAACCCCATTCTCCTCGATTTTTTAGTCGACTCAAAAATGAACTCCACCCCTTCAAACCCCATTCTCCTCGATTTTTGAGTCGCCTCAAAAATGAACTCCACCCCTTCAAACCCCATTCTCAATTTTTTAATCGACTCAAAAATGAACTCCACCCCTTCGAACCCCATTCTCCTCGATTTTTTAGTCGACTCAAAAATGAACTCCACCCCTTCAAACCCCATTCTCCTCGATTTTTGAGTCGCCTCAAAAATGAACTCCACCCCTTCAAACCCCATTCTCGATTTTTGAGTCGACTCAAAAATGAACTCCACCCCTTCAAACCCCATTCTCCTCGATTTTTGAGTCGACTCAAAAATGAACTCCACCCCTTCAAACCCCATTCTCCTCGATTTTTGAGTCGCCTCAAAAATGAACTCCACCCCTTCAAACCCCATTCTCCTCGATTTTTGAGTCGCCTCAAAAATGAACTCCACCCTTTCAAACCCCATTCTCCTCGATTTTTTAGTCGCCTCAAAAATGAACTCCACCCCTTCAAACCCCATTCTCGATTTTTTAGTCGACTCAAAAATGAACTCCACCCCTTCGAACCCCATTCTCCTCGATTTTTGAGTCGACTCAAAAATGAACTCCACCCCTTCAAACCCCATTCTCCTCGATTTTTGAGTCGCCTCAAAAATGAACTCCACCCCTTCAAACCCCATTCTCGATTTTTTAGTCGACTCAAAAATGAACTCCACCCCTTCGAACCCCATTCTCCTCGATTTTTTAGTCGACTCAAAAATGAACTCCACCCCTTCAAACCCCATTCTCGATTTTTTAGTCGACTCAAAAATGAACTCCACCCCTTCAAACCCCATTCTCCTCGATTTTTGAGTCGACTCAAAAATGAACTCCACCCCTTCAAACCCCATTCTCCTCGATTTTTGAGTCGCCTCAAAAATGAACTCCACCCCTTCAAACCCCATTCTCCTCGATTTTTGAGTCGCCTCAAAAATGAACTCCACCCCTTCAAACCCCATTCTCGATTTTTGAGTCGACTCAAAAATGAACTCCACCCCTTCAAACCCCATTCTCCTCGATTTTTGAGTCGACTCAAAAATGAACTCCACCCCTTCAAACCCCATTCTCCTCGATTTTTTAGTCGCCTCAAAATGAACTCCACCCCTTCAAACCCCATTCTCCTCGATTTTTGAGTCGCCTCAAAAATGAACTCCACCCCTTCAAACCCCATTCTCCTCGATTTTTGAGTCGCCTCAAAAATGAACTCCACCCCTTCAAACCCCATTCTCCTCGATTTTTGAGTCGCCTCAAAAATGAACTCCACCCCTTCAAACCCCATTCTCCTCGATTTTTGAGTCGCCTCAAAAATGAATTCCACCCCTTCAAACCCCATTCTCCTCGATTTTTGAGTCGACTCAAAAATGAACTCCACCCCTTCAAACCCCATTCTCCTCGATTTTTGAGTCGCCTCAAAAATGAACTCCACCCCTTCAAACCCCATTCTCGATTTTTTAGTCGACTCAAAAATGAACTCCACCCCTTCGAACCCCATTCTCCTCGATTTTTTAGTCGACTCAAAAATGAACTCCACCCCTTCAAACCCCATTCTCCTCGATTTTTGAGTCGCCTCAAAAATGAACTCCACCCCTTCAAACCCCATTCTCGATTTTTGAGTCGACTCAAAAATGAACTCCACCCCTTCAAACCCCATTCTCCTCGATTTTTGAGTCGACTCAAAAATGAACTCCACCCCTTCAAACCCCATTCTCCTCGATTTTTGAGTCGCCTCAAAAATGAACTCCACCCCTTCAAACCCCATTCTCGATTTTTGAGTCGACTCAAAAATGAACTCCACCCCTTCGAACCCCATTCTCCTCGATTTTTTAGTCGACTCAAAAATGAACTCCACCCCTTCAAACCCCATTCTCCTCGATTTTTGAGTCGCCTCAAAAATGAACTCCACCCCTTCAAACCCCATTCTCAATTTTTTAATCGACTCAAAAATGAACTCCACCCCTTCGAACCCCATTCTCCTCGATTTTTTAGTCGACTCAAAAATGAACTCCACCCCTTCAAACCCCATTCTCCTCGATTTTTGAGTCGCCTCAAAAATGAACTCCACCCCTTCAAACCCCATTCTCGATTTTTGAGTCGACTCAAAAATGAACTCCACCCCTTCAAACCCCATTCTCCTCGATTTTTGAGTCGACTCAAAAATGAACTCCACCCCTTCAAACCCCATTCTCCTCGATTTTTGAGTCGCCTCAAAAATGAACTCCACCCCTTCAAACCCCATTCTCGATTTTTTAGTCGACTCAAAAATGAACTCCACCCCTTCGAACCCCATTCTCCTCGATTTTTTAGTCGACTCAAAAATGAACTCCACCCCTTCAAACCCCATTCTCCTCGATTTTTGAGTCGCCTCAAAAATGAACTCCACCCCTTCAAACCCCATTCTCGATTTTTTAGTCGACTCAAAAATGAACTCCACCCCTTCGAACCCCATTCTCCTCGATTTTTTAGTCGACTCAAAAATGAACTCCACCCCTTCAAACCCCATTCTCCTCGATTTTTTAGTCGACTCAATAATGAGCTGCACCCCTTCAAACCCCATTCCCCTCTCACGTGCTCTATATTCATAAAGCGCTCCCCGTGGTCTCCTCCTTCCATTTCTCCCGTTCAACCCCCTATCCCCCCCTCACCTTCTCTACAAACATCAATGCATATCCCTGTTTTGAAACACCTTACTATCGGACCTAATTCACCTGTTCAGAGGTGACTTTTGAGTCGACTCAAAAGTCATCTTTTGAAACACCTTACTATCGGACCTAACTCACCTGTTCAGAGGTGACTTTTGAGTCGACTCAAAAGTCATCTTTTGAAACACCTTAATATCGGACCTAACTCACCTGTTCTAGAGTCATAAACGCCTTCCCCTTGGTCTCCGCCTTCCACTGCTCCACCGTAGATTTCGCCGCCAATCCGACGGCCTCAAACGACAGGAAGGGCAGGCGCATCATGGTGTGTTCCATCGTAGGGTCTAGGAACGGGTCGAATGTAAATGGTCTTGTGTGCAGGCGAGAAGCTATATCTCTTTCGAATGTGTACTCCCCATTAGACCCTATGCTGGTGTGTGCGAGTGGGGAGCAGGAAGAGGGGGGGAAAGGGCAGGCGCATCATGGTGTGTTCCATCGTAGGGTCTTGAAACGGATCGAAGGTGAAGGGACGGGTGTGCAGGCGAGAGGCAATGTCCCTCTCAAACGTTCACTCCCCATTGGATCGGATCCTATGCTGGAGTGTGTGTGGGGGGTGGGGGAAGCGCAAGGGCAGACTCGAGCTCGCGTGTGAGTGGAGAAACAGGAATGACTTTTGAGAATTCTCAAAAGTCACTCCCAAGGGCAGACTCGAGCTCGAGCTCGCGTGTGAGTGGAGAAACAGGAAGGGCAGGCGCAGCGGCAGCGCATCATTGTGTGTTCCATCGTAGGGTCTAGGAATGGATCGATGGCCTTGTGTGCAGGCGCAGCATGGTGTGTTGTGTCTGCCCTTCCCTCCCGACGTGCTGGATCGAGGAACGGATCAAATGTACATGGCCTTGTGTGCAGGCGAGAGGCAATGTCCCTCTCAAAAGTGTACTCCCCGTTGGACCCTATCATCTCCTGTCTCGATGTGACTTTTGAGTCGACTCAAAAGTCACCCCGTTTGACCCTATCATCTCCGTCTCCTGTCTCTTTCCAGCCCCTCACCATATTTGAGACGAGGGCGAGAGGATGGTAAGGGGCAGGAGACGGAGAGCAGGGGAGGTGTGGGAGGGTTGATAAGACACGATAGGCAGTCGTAGCTGTAGATGATAGGCAGTCGTACCTGTAGATGATTAATAGGCAGTCATACCTGTAGATGATAGGCAGTCATACCTGTAGATGACTGTGTTTTCTGGAATGAAAGACTTCATGTTGCATATCCACTGCACAGAGAGAGAGAGTGGAGAAGTAGGGAGGGAGGAAGGAAGAAAAGAGGACTTTGAGGAGAGGCGCTTCTGGACTGAAAGACTTCATGTTGCATATCCCCTGTACACGAAAATGAGTGCAGGGCGGGGGCCGCGGAGGGGGAAAACGTAAGTGAAGATAAAAACGAGAAAGGGAGTAGAAGAGTGTGGGGGAAGAGAAAGCAAGATGGGGGAAGGGAAGGAAGTTGTGGAGACAGAGAGGACGGAAACGTATGAAGGGATGCTTACATCCCTTAAACGGATGTACGTTTCCGTCTGAGACATCCTTTAGCCCCCAGTGTAGTAAGTCGATTTTTGAGTCGACTCAGCCGTCGTATGTACGTTTCCGTCTGAGACATCCTTTAGCCCCCAGACGGAAACGTGTGAAGGGAATGCTGCACGTACATGTCGCAAAACAGAGAGAATGGAAAGGACGGGCAGGGAACCAGTCCGTTTTTTTTAACTCCTAGTGACCCAACCGCTCCCATATGGTATTCCCAAACCAGCACACTCCCAACACAGTACCCCTCACCTTCCCCCCATTCTTTTGACGCGCCTCAAGAACTGAGCCACTGCAACCCCGAGATTCACCCACCTTCCCTTTCCCTCGCCTCGAAATCCCCATACCTCTCCCCTGTCCGCCCAGATCCCGATTCGCTCCTCCATGGGGCAGGCAGGGGAGCGTCGCCAGCAGCACACATGCCATGGGGCAGCAAGCAAGGTACGGGCCCATTCTCATAACCCCCCGGTATGCAAACCCACCTTCCCCTCATCCGCCCAGATCCCTAAACGCTCCTCCATGGGGCAGGCAGGGGGACGCCGCCTCCATCACACTCTCCAGCTCCTGCCGCATTCTCCCATGCCCGTTACCAGTTTACAACCATCTTATACGATACTCTTATCCTCTCACCTTTCCCGCGTCCGCCCATATCCCTCACCTTCCCCCGTCCGTCCAGATGCCCAGGCGCTCCTCCATGGGGCAGGGCAGGGGTATACCGCCACCGCCACCATCACACTCTCCAGCTCCCTCCCTCCATGCATACATACCTCCCCATACATACCTTCCCATACATACCTTCCCATACATACCTTCCCATACATACCTTCCCATACATACCTTCCCATACATACCTTCCCATACATACCTTCCCATACATACCTTCCCATACATACCTTCCCATACATACCTTCCATACATACCTTACCGCATACATACATTCCATACATCCTTCCATGACATACGCTTCATACATACCTTCCCATACATACCTTCCATACATACCTTCCCATACATACCTTCCCATAACCATTAAACCTTCCCATACATACCTTCCCATACATACCTTCCAGACATGAACTTCCATACATACCTTCCCATACATCCTTCCTAACATACTTCCATACATACATTCCCTACATAACTCCCCATAATACCTTCCGCATACATACCTTCCAATACCATACCTTCCCATACATACCTTCCCATACATGACTCCATACATCCTTCCCATACTACCTTCCATACATACCTTCCATACATACCTTCCCATACATACCTTCCCTACATACCTTCCCATACATAACCTTCCCATACATACCTTCCCATACATACCTTCCCAGACATACCTTCCCATACATACCTTCCATACATACCTTCCCATACATACCTTCCCATACATTACCTTCCCATACATACCTTCCATACATAACCTTCCCATAACAGACCTCCCATAACATACCTTCCCATACAGACCTTCCCAGACATACCTTCCATACATACCTTCCCATACTACTTCCCATACATACCTTCCCATACATCCCATACATACCTTCCCATACATACCTCCCCATACATACCTCCCCATACATACCTTCCCATACATACCTTCCCATACATACCTTCCCATACATACCTTCCCATACATACCTTCCCATACATACCTTCCCATACATACCTTCCCATACATACCTTCCCATACATACCTTCCCATACATACCTTCCCATACATACCTTCCCATACATACCTTCCCATACCTTCCATACATACCTTCCCATACATACCTTCCCATACATACCTTCCCATACATACCTTCCCATACATACCTTCCCATACATACCTTCCCATACATACCTTCCCATACATACCTTCCCATACATACCTTCCCATACATACCTTCCCATACATACCTTCCCATACATACCTTCCCATACATACCTTCCCATACATACCTTCCCATACATACCTTCCCATACATACCTTCCCATACATACCTTCCCATACATACCTTCCCATACATACCTTCCCATACATACCTTCCCATACATACCTTCCCATACATACCTTCCCATACATACCTTCCCATACATTACATACCTTCCCATACATACCTTCCCATACATACCTTCCCATACATACCTTCCCATACATACCTTCCCATACATACCTTCCCATACATACCTTCCCATACATACCTTCCCCATACATACCTTCCCATACATACCTTCCCATACATACCTTCCCATACATACCTTCCCATACATACCTTCCCATACATACCTTCCCATACATACCTTCCCATACATACCTTCCATACATACCTTCCCATACATACCTTCCCATACATACCTTCCCATACATACCTTCCCATACATACCTTCCCATACATACCTTCCCATACATACCTTCCCATACATACCTTCCCATACATACCTTCCCATACATACCTTCCCATACATACCTTCCCATACATACCTTCCCATACATACCTTCCCATACATACCTTCCCATACATACCTTCCCATACATACCTTCCCATACATACCTCCCACCTTCCCATACATACCTTCCCATACATACCTTCCCATACATACCTTCCCATACATACCTTCCCATACATACCTTCCCATACATACCTTCCCATACATACCTTCCCATACATACCTTCCCATACATACCTTCCCATACATACCTTCCCATACATACCTTCCCATACATACCTTCCCATACATACCTTCCCATACATACCTTCCCATACATACCTTCCCATACATACCCTTCCCATACATACCTTCCCATACATACCTTCCATACATACCTTCCCATACATACCTTCCCATACATACCTTCCCATACATACCTTCCCATACATACCTTCCCATACATACCTTCCATACATACCTTCCCATACATACCTTCCCATACATACCTTCCCATACATACCTTCCCATACATACCTTCCCATACATACCTTCCCATACATACCTTCCCATACATACCCTTCCCATACATACCTTCCCATACATACCTTCCCATACATACCTTCCCATACATACCTTCCCATACATACCTTCCCATACATACCTTCCCATACATACCTTCCCATACATACCTTCCCATACATACCTTCCCATACATACCTTCCCATACATACCTTCCCATACATACCTTCCCATACATACCTTCCCATACATACCTTCCCATACATACCTTCCCATACATACCTTTCCCATACATACCTTCCCATACATACCTTCCCATACATACCTTCCCATACATACCTTCCCATACATACCTTCCCATACATACCTTCCCATACATACCTTCCCATACATACCTTCCCATACATACCTTCCCATACATACCTTCCCATACATACCTTCCCATACATACCTTCCCATACATACCTTCCCCATACATACCTTCCCATACATACCTTCCCATACATACCTTCCCATACATACCTTCCCATACATACCTTCCCATACATACCTTCCCATACATACCTTCCCATACATACCTTCCCATACATACCTTCCCATACATACCTTCCCATACATACCTTCCCATACATACCTTCCCATACATACCTTCCCATACATACCTTCCCATACATACCTTCCCATACATACCTTCCCATACATACCTTCCCATACATACCTTCCCATACATACCTTCCCATACATACCTTCCCATACATACCTTCCCATACATACCTTCCCATACATACCTTCCCATACATACCTTCCCATACATACCTTCCCATACATACCTTCCCATACATACCTTCCCATACATACCTTCCCATACATACCTTCCCATACATACCTTCCCATACATACCTTCCCATACATACCTTCCCATACATACCTTCCCATACATACCTTCCCATACATACCTTCCCATACATACCTTCCCATACATACCTTCCCATACATACCTTCCCATACATACCTTCCCATACATACCTTCCCATACATACCTTCCCATACATACCTTCCCATACATACCTTCCCATACATACCTTCCCATACATACCTTCCCATACATACCTTCCCATACATACCTTCCCATACATACCTTCCCATACATACCTTCCCATACATACCTTCCCATACATACCTTCCCATACATACCTTCCCATACATACCTTCCCATACATACCTTCCCATACATACCTTCCCATACATACCTTCCCATACATACCTTCCCATACATACCTTCCCATACATACCTTCCATACCTTCCATACATACCTTCCCATACATACCTTCCCCATACATACCTTCCCATACATACCTTCCACATACATACCTTCCCATACATACCTTCCCATACATACCTTCCCATACATACCTTCCCATACATACCTTCCCATACATACCTTCCCATACATACCTTCCCATACATACCTTCCCATACATACCTTCCCATACATACCTTCCCATACATACCTTCCCATACATACCTTCCCATACATACCTTCCCATACATACCTTCCCATACATACCTTCCCATACATACCTTCCCATACATACCTTCCCATACATACCTTCCCATACATACCTTCCATACATACCTTCCCATACATACCTTCCCATACATACCTTCCCATACATACCTTCCCATACATACCTTCCCATACATACCTTCCCATACATACCTTCCCATACATACCTTCCCATACATACCTTCCCATACATACCTTCCCATACATACCTTCCCATACATACCTTCCCATACATACCTTCCCATACATACCTTCCCATACATACCTTCCCATACATACCTTCCCATACATACCTTCCCATACATACCTTCCCATACATACCTTCCCATACATACCTTCCCATACATACCTTCCCATACATACCTTCCCATACATACCTTCCCATACATACCTTCCCATACATACCTTCCCCCCGTCCGCCCATATCCCCAGGCGCTCCTCCATGGGGCAGGGGTAGACCGCCACCAGCACACTCTCCAGCTCCTGCCGCATCTCCAAATCCAACGGCTGAGATCGCCCACCAAAGAACTCCGATCTACGGCGCATGTTGTCCTGCAGGTTGAGAAGCAACGGAGAAGCGGGAAGGGGGTGGGTGGGGGGGAGGAAGGGGGGGTGGGTCGGGGGACGTGGCGGGAGGAGGGGGGAAGGAGGCTGAAATCTAGTGTGTGAGGAGGCGAAATGGGAGAGAGAGGAGGGGGGGGGGGGACTGTGGTTGCATGAAAATCACTTTTGCGAAGTGATTTCCGTGTGTGAGGGGCGAAATGGAAGCGAGGGGGGGGCTGGGGGTTGGGGGGTGGGGAGTGGGGGGGTTTTGGGGGACATTGGGTGTGACCAGGATATAAATTTCCAACTTGAGGCTTGGAGGGTTTTTTTCATAACCTGATTAACAGCCTCGGCATGTTCCCAACCTAGGGCACAGCTTCGGCAATCCCCGTACCTGGTACACAGTCTCGGCATGTAGCAGCATCTCTCGCTCCACCCATAAGTCCACTTTAAACTCCTCCCCTCCTCCCACGCCGCCATTCCCGCCGCGAGCCACGCCGCCAATCACGCCGCCACTCCCCAACGATCCTCCACGGTGACTAATCCCACCGCCGGCGACCGAGTCGCGACTAGGAACATCACCGCCTCTTAAAGCCAGTAGCGACGCGAGACAGATAATCATGTCGCAGGCGCCCGCTAAAAGCGCCGGGAGAACCGGACGAAGCCACGCGAAGATACGGAGAGACGCGAACGCGTTAAGGAGGGAGAGGAACGCGCGGCCCGCATTGGTGAAAGAGGACACTAACGAGCGGTTTTCGGGAACCCATCGCGATTCGAGCGCTCGAAGCGCGTCGACTATGTGGTACGGGTCGGGATAGGGACGCGGCTCGGACTCTGGCGGTGGGCTGCTGGCCGGCATTGCTGGTTTATAGACGTCTCAGACCAGCCTCGCTGTTTCACCTCTGATTTTTCCGGTCGTTAATTGACCAATGTGAACAATAAGCCCTGTCAATTCAGCAATTTGAGCCCGAGCTTTCCACCTAGGTCACCAGCATTCGACTTAGAAGAAAAATGAATTAATGGGGTCGGTCTGTGGGTGTATTCAATCCCGAGCCGCGGAGCGAGCGGCTGAATCTACAATGGTGAGAATGCCATGCCGGAAACAGAGTCGCGACTCGCGACTTACGCGTCAGCTCTGCAACTAGCTTACCAGCTATTTGTTCCTGCCACCTAGCACACACAAGAGCTACTCCATCACAGACATGTAACGTACTAAGTGAAAAGCGAGAAATACGAGGGAGTGCCGCCATTAATGGGGGGAAACTGTGTTTGCACGAACCCATCAAGGAAATCAGCGGGAAATGAGCAGGCACAGTGTTTGACAGGTGAGGTGAGTGCTGCTGTGCCGCCTGTGGCTCCACATGGAATTTGTGTCGTTTGCGAAATATTTGCGTTATGGTGTGGTTGACTTTCAGTGAGGCAAAGCTACACGTCCGACCAGAGGGGTCAGTCTATAATAAATACGGTCATTCTGATGTCAGCCTCCAACCTTGTTAAACATAATTGAGACCTTCAAATCAGGAATAGCTATGCAATACATTATTTAATTCAATAAAAAAATATCTTTTATTTATTTTTGGCAATCTCAAGGACTCGGATTGGGGGATTGTAATGTCAAACGTATCGTCACTTGTAAGCAGTTTCTGGATGATTCGGAACACGCTGTATGAAGTATCGAGTTAAAGCTGCCACGAAATCTGCCACGAAAGGATCTCAAAACCTGACGCCACTGATTGTCCACGTTAGCGAGAGCGGGTTGGCAGGCGACGATTAGACCTGCTTCGCACGCCACGTCGCGCGGTCAATCTGAAATATCGTTACGCAGCGAAAGGGTATTGATCTTCGCCGATAGGCTGTGGAATGCATTCCACATGCCGATTGGCTTGGCAATTGGGATGGTCGGTCGACTGCGTCAGTCAGGTGGTCGCTGCTGGCGATGGCGCTTCGATGCTGAACGGCGGCTGCCCGTGTCAGATCCTTTCTTCAAGTGATTCGCACACGCGCAAGCGAGCTTCGCACAACCATCTCAACGACCTGGCTGCCAGCATGCATAAAGCGGAACCACCTGGCAAATAGAGGACCGAAACTTTTCAGTCTGCTCCACTGTTGTTCAAGACCATGAGGTGAGGCGGAATGTAGTTGCTGACAAAAGGGCCCTAGAAATAATATTCAGAATTGTCGCCCCTACCTCAACGCTTTCTATCTTCATTTCTTACAGCTGATGCTTGCACCCGTTTTCCTGCGACCATTGGTGATTATTCCCGTTGCTGTCGTATCTACTCCAGCAGGTGTGGATCGTGATTAGCGTCGACATGGTGGTCTCCGACCTTTCATCCATCCATGTCCCAGACAAGAGCGCGCTAATGAGGGACGACGCTCCTTGTGATTGCGCTGGCTGTACCAGAGAAGGAGAGACGCCGGGTGGCCTTGTGGCAAAGGCTCTAGAGGTACTAAGGTCGCATTCATGGCTCTTAAATGACTCCGCCTTGCTCGCGCCATTCCGGTCGTGACCAAGTTACCATCGTCAACTGTGTGCAGCTGAACGGCTTCCCGAAGGACCTGATGCCCGCGCATCACATACGACATTGTTACGGCGATGCGACTGGCCCCTTCCGTATATACCTGGATCAAATTGTTGAGAAGGAGATTTGCGGATATCCCATTCGCTTCGAAACCGAGATTAGCGGGACCATTGAGAAAGGCTGGATTCGAAAGCTGCAGGTAAGAGGCGCCCCGCTGAAATGCCATGTTACCAGGGTTTGGTAATTGAAACTGACAGCGTATGGCCACTGGATGTATGTCTGTCCCAACGCAGGGTATTCGTGTAAGACCTCTGATCACGTGGAAGGCAGTAGATACGCTACAAACAGGGGCGTCCTGCTACGGAAGAGTTTATTTCTACGTGGGTTATTTATTTAGGAGCTTTCTAGCAACAGAGTTCGATGGAATTTGGTCCATGGATGATCAGGAGGAGAATGGTGACAAGGAGGGATGCAGCGATGAGGATGGGAGTTTTAGATTGGAAGGCTGACTTCTTATGAATTTTACGAATACCTTCTCAGCTGGATGTGGCAGGAGAATATTTCTAGTTTAGTTTGTCAATGGCTTGGCTATGCATGTTCTCATGCTACACAATATGTATATTCAAAACTTCATATTATTCTTTTTTCTTGCAACATTCCAGTAACAAAAAAATAGACAAGAACTTGGACAAAGCAAAGTGGGCACACCACTTGTGAACTTGCTCTAATCTCACTCCTCCATCCTCATTGTTCCCCTCTCCAACTCCTTGATTCTTTTCTTAGCTTCGTCAAGCTGCTGTGCCAGAGCTGCTTTATGTTGTCTTTCTCCATCCAGAAGATTCTGAACCAGCAGGCAAAGGCCTAGTGTTGGAACTTTCATCCTGCCAGCACATGTACTCCATCAGAGGTCAAACATTATATCAGAGACTACCTACATTGCATTGTCCTTTCTTGCCCGTACCAAACATCAGGAGACTGGAGCTTCGTATTTGTGGTAGGAAAAACATCCTGTAAGGCCCATGTACATGTCATAAGGTCAGACAAAACTGAGGAACCAGAGTGAAGCTGTATGAGATAAGAAAGGTGAGCTTACCTCACGCATGTTTCCGAGAAAGGCAAGGGTCTGCAACAGAAACGAGGTTGCAAGGTATTAGTTCGCACGCAAAAAAATGTAAACAAGATCCTACCATATAAACCCAAAGCCTACCTCAAGCATGCTTCCTGCAGAGATGTCGTCAAGGTCCAGGACACCATTTACAGTTCGCTGCTCTATCTCCTGCAGGTAAGATGGAGTGGGACTTTAATGCTTCATATAATAACAGCAGGAATCACTGTTTAGCAAGTTCAGCTTACAGCATAAAACTGTCGCTTCCTTCTTTTGAAAGCGCTGATAGCGTTTGAAACATCAGTGCCAGATTTGTGCTTCTTCGCCTCTTCATAATCAAGATCTGTATAATCCAGTCTCTTTCTCTTAGTGACAAAGTCACCCTCCAGTGTTTGTGCCAACACAAACTGCATCCAACAAAAGCAGTCAGAACAATACCATGCACCAAAAATGCCGGTCGTTGCAATCCATACCTCAACATCTCCTTCCTCAGTTTCCTTGAATCCAGCAACAATAGCATCTGCAGAAAACATGTTAGACAAGCTGACAAAGTGCAAGGTGGAATGGACATAAGACTCCATGTCACACCTGATATGGACGATGCTAAGGCCGGATCAGGATTGGCTGCCATGCTAGATGGACTGACTTCGATGTCAGCAGTTGCATTTGCGGCACTCATGTACTTCCGCCTCTCTTCAAAGCCCAACTGTTCCCACTCCTTGGAAAGCTCTTGTTGAATATCTGCCAAAGTAGCTCCTTCCCCCAGTCCCTCCTCAACCCGGCTCCGATTTTCAAGGCAGAAGACAATAAATCCTGAAAACAAAAAGTAGCTGAACACGATTGTTTCATTTGTGCGTGCATGCAGTGCGTGTGACACATACCATCTTGAAGGATTCCTTGAGCAGGCTTTGAGTTTGGTTGACCATGTCTTCCCAAACGAGGCTTATCATTATCATTTCTGGATTTAGACTTAGTTGTAGCTTTAGCATTCGTTTTTTTTCCTGCAACGAAAACCCAGACACAGGCTTTGTGTTTGAGCATAAAATACAGCAAAAATCAACCAGGTTGAAAAGTAACAACACAAAGTAAGCCCTTGTCGGAACATAACTTGTACCTTTGTGTGTGGAGAGTGGCCCATCCGTGTTACCCTGTTCTAGTCCAAGCTTGGCCTTTTCCACCTCTGCCTTATCCTCGTAGGTCTGGAAGTGGCAGTTATAAGAACGTATGATACATGACTTTCTCACATACCCTCATAGTTAGCCACCTCACCTTTTTCTCCTCTTTGGGCAGGTTCCGCCATTGTTCACCGATTGCCTGCAAAAAAAAAAGTGCAGCAGTTTCACAACTCTCACTCCCAGCCTTGAATGGTCGATATTCTTTCCACAAAGAGGTCCTGCAACTGCTCACCTTCATAATGTCTGTTGGCTTCATGTCAGGATTCCTCTGTTTGATGGACTCGCGGATGTCATTGCTGCACAAACTCACATGAGTTGAGTTGAGACGGTCTGTTATGGAAAGGTACCATCAACTAAGCATGGGGAATCCTCAATACGTACGAGAATATAATATAGGGCGTAGGAGCCCTTGGTGGTTTGCCATCTCCTTGGCGTTTGTGGGACTTTCCCGATGATGACTCCTTCTTGGATAACTTCTTCGCACTTGAACTCTTGGCTTCTTCAACATGGTCAGTGTCTTCCTCGGGTGCATTCTTATCCTTGTCTCCAACCTCCGCACGTTTGACAGGTTCAGCGGAACTGTCATCTTTCTGTGCGTCAGCGTCAGAACCGTTAACGACTGCTGCAGCTACTGTTGTTTCTGCCATAACAAATCCTAATGAGTCTCTATCCAGGAGCACTAGCGTTCAGATCGGGATTTTCTGACCAGGGTTATACTTACCTTCTTTTGATGGTCCAGCAGCATCACTGGCTGACTTGACAGCATAATTTGTCTCAACCTTCGAGTTTTGGTCGGGTTGCTTTGGTCCATCACTCATCGGTATTTCAGGAAATCTGAAACAATTAATGCGCTGGTCAAGTGCTCACGAAAGGCTTACTGTGCATACTACGTGTGCTCTTGTCACAAGACTTACTTTGGCTCTTCGTCAGAGTGTGCCTTCTCCGTCGGTACAGGGGTCGCTCCTGCAAATTCCATGGACTGTGAGTACGACGTCATCAAATCAGACTTTCAGATGCCAACGTCGCATATTAGTCATACCTTTCTTCGACTGACTCTGTGAGCCACGTGGACTTATGACATTTTCCGCACCATCAAGGTTTGAAGTCATGGCATCCACAGTCTTCAATGCGTCATTAACCTCCAGCAGGGACCTTGAGTCATTGTTCTTTGAATCCACCTTGTCGTTCAGCTCCTCAAGGGTTGGGTTGGTTGGGTTGGTGGCCTGTGCAGTGTCTTCTGGTTGGGCCTTCGCCAATACTTTTTTCTCGGACTGAACTTCGATGTCAGTGTCTACCTTGATTTCTTTCCCGTTCTCAGTCGTGCTAGAGCCCGACGAGCTTGATGAGCTGAAGCATGGAGACAGTGATGAAAAATTGAAAAACAAATCAGGCGTTCAACGCGCAAATGATACTTACGCAGCAGGAGACTTCGCTTTTCCCTTGTCTTCAACTCCACCCTTGGCAGCATCTGGGTGAATGGAGTAGCGCAATGGACTTAACCGTTAGGATTTTAGTTTAAACAAATGCGTGTAATCATGAGCGTCGAACATACCAGGAGTCGAGCATTTTGATGGCTCTGGTGCCTGATTCGTCGCACCATCTACAGAAGGAGGTCGTGGCACGGATGTAACTTCGTCTCCCTTGCATTCCTTTGTCACAGCTGCTGTTGTGTCGGAGCTTGAGCTTGAGGAGCCTGAGCTGGATGAACTGCAATAGTCGACAACAGTTGTGGGCGTTCAGCATCGCCGGAACGTTGTCTATTACGGATATTCAAGAATGCGGGATTTTGACACAGAAAACCAGACCTCGAAGAACCGCTAGGCGCTTTCGTCGGCGTCTTCTTTTCCTCAGCTTGCTTCTCCTGCGGAGGAGGCGATTTTAGCGTCGCGACCTGGAAGCCCGTGCGTTTCTTCATGGTGGATAGCAGAACTGATTCCAACTTCTCGACAAACGGGAAGCGAAACCTGGACTATGTCCGTGCAACGAGCTTATGTTTATGAGCTGGAGCCTCGAGTGCAAGACCTATGGAACCGAGGGAATGTCGGAGTTTTTGCCTGTTCAAAGCTCAAATTGGTCCCTTCGGAACTTCAATCGCGGATGTGCAACTTTAATAAAAATCATTCACTTCACCCACAGTATTGTGAACACGTAATATGCTGTGGATAATGTGCTAACAGGAGGGAAAACTGGTGAAATTTTTTTGTATTGCTTCGTTGCCATCTAAATTTTGCAGAGATCATGTAGTGTTCAGACAATGAGATCAAATTTCATGCAGATAAGTGGTCAATTGCTCCTGTTGGGCAATTACTACCAATCAGAGCACCACACGCATGTTGGGCACTTCAGCAAGGAAAGAAACACTTCTGAAACTCGACTTTCACAGTTTAAGCTATTTTGGTCCAGGCAATCTACCTAGGACAGTGCTTCTGGATACAAATGTGTGTGCCTGCCTCGCAATCCTTTCCTCTACTAGAGCTTCTGCCATTATATCAGACCCACTCAGAGCAAACCCACCTGTTGCAAACGTGAGCAAGGAAAGTGATGGACGAACGTGGTTAGACTTAATGATACAAAAACGGGAAAAAACATCAGTGTAGACAATAATGTGCAATCTACCTTGAAGAATGAACAATTTCAGGCTAGCTGCAAAGAAACCATAACAGAGGAGATGTGTACCTTTCGTTGGAGGCAGCAAACCAGCTGCAGCAGCAGAGACAGGCAGAACCCATGGAGGCAAATCATTACCACCCGGTGACCCTGCTCCTGGTGCTCCTGCCACTCCTCCTACTGTTGCCGCTGCTCCTGCCCCTGCTTCCCCTGCTGCTCCTGCTGCCCCTGCAGCTGCTGCAGCAGAATCAGCTACAGCAGCCGCTACAGCCGGAGATAGATGTCTGGGGGGGTCCATGGGTGGGAAGCCTATGGGTGCATGTGGTGCAGCGTGGGCGGCATCTGACGTGGCATCGGAGATTGTGGAGTGTGGTTTAGATGAAGGGTATGTGTTTGGCGTGAATGGCATGTGCGATGCAGCAGGTGTGTGTGATGCATGTGGTGCATGGGGTGTGTGTGATGCATGTACAGCAAGGGGTGCATGTGATGCATGTGGTGCATGGGGTGTGTGTGGTGCATGTGATGCATGGGGTGCATGTGCAGCATGGGTTGCATGGGGTGCATGGGGAGCAGACGGCATGTGCAGCAGGCTGACTCCTGAGTTCAGCTGGTGTCGAATGGCCTGCAGCTGTGCCATCGCCTGCTGCACCTCCTGCTGCAACTGCGATAAACACATTTGGGGGAAATAAAAGAACTGGGATGGAAGCTGAGGGGAACAAAGACGCTTCAATCAGCGTAACACAGCAGCTGAACCAACGCCTGCTGCCCCTCCTGCTGGAGAAAAAGACGAGATGACTTTTGAGTTGACCCAAGAGGCAGGAGGTCGAACTTTTTAGTCAACCCAACGCAATCGCCAGCTGCACCTGCTTCAGAAAAGGAAAGAGATGTCACACCACTTGAAAAGTTGCCACTTCTATAAATCTACAAGAATTCTCAAGTGTCGTACCTCGGATAACTGTGACTGGTCGGCAAAAGAGCTGAATTTGGTTCGGGCAGCATGAACAAATCCCATGGCCCGTCCCGTGAGGCGTCCAGCTGCCCGGGCTATCACAGGGATATCCTTGGGGCCTGACGAAGCAGCAACGCGAGAAACAAGCGACCAAAAATTGGGGGGCGGGGGGAGCGGGGGGGGGGGGGGAAGGGGGGGGGGGAAGAAAAAAGAGGAGGGGAATGAAAGGGGTTGAGTGCAGTTGGGAATGTATCAGAACGGAAAGAAATCATCAAAGGGGAGGCGGCTCAGACAGAGGAAATGGGTGAGGCTACGGCCTTGTGGGAAACAGAAGCACATGCATACAGAGGGGTGGGTTGCAGTGCAATGTTAGGGACAGCCAGTCGGGTTGAGGACAGGAGTAAAGTACATGATTACCTATCGTTGGGAGTGGGGTACAAGAGAGGGATGCAGCGACATTATAAGTTTCCTGAGAGAGCAGGAGAGGAATGAGGGATCTAGCCTCTGAGCACAGGACGCTTTTTAGAATTCTCAAAAACTCCCTGCAACGTAGAGGAATGTGGGATCGAGCCTCCGCAGGGTTTTTTTTAGAATTCTCAAAAACACCCTGCAGGAGAGGAATGAGGGATCGAGCCTCTGAGCACAGGACCACGGTAGCAGCGAGGGATCGGGGGAGAGTGGAGGAAGATACGTGGCAGGAATAGGAAGGGAAGGAGCATTGAGAAAGGTCGGAGCACGGAGAAATGGCGGAACGGGTTACCAAAGGCGACGATTCCCAGAAAGACGAGCAGCCCGATTTCGCCATTCGATAGGCCTAGCATCTTCGCCGCCAAGCGCTACTAGACGAGGCGACTATCTATCTAAGGCGAAATCCACCGCAAACTGAGAGGGAACTTTTGCGGCGCCTCAAAAGCCATCCAATGGGCCTACTAGCATCGTCGCCGCCAAAGCGCTAGACGAGGCGACTATGTATCTAATGTGAAATCGATCGCCCACTGAGAGGGAAATTCCGTAACGAAAAACCGGGTCGCGGTTGTGATGTCGCGAATGTTTGCGCGCCGACGATCAGCGGGTAGCGCGCTTAGCCACACGTTGCGCGATTCGTCTGGCCTTCTGAATCTGGGTGACGTGCTGAACGAGTATGCGGATACCGTGGGGCAAATTCGTCGAGGTTCTGGCTCAACTGCTGACGCGCACCGTACATAAATGGCTCGTATCGTGTTGCACCGCGCTAGAAAACAGCATCACCAGTTTACTCCAGAAATTCGTACTGCCGCGGAGCAGCTCCAGTAGAAGTGTGGAGGTTGTGGTCGTTCGAAACACACCATCTTATGGCCGTCAATATGGACCCACGGCGCACTCTTTGACAAAGGGTTTGCAAGAGTAGTAGTCTAATCGAGCTACCCGTGATTCGATATCAGCCGTGAGTCACACACATAGCGAACTAATCTTTCGCCTTTTACTAAAGAATACCGTGTGTATTTCTCATCTAGCGGCGTACAAAAAATTTTGGAGTGCCTTCTCGAAGGCACCACAATTCAATGTTGAAATGGGAATGTAAATGGAAATACCAGCCTAAGAAGCGGGAATCAGAGGGCCGTACCTGCTTACTACCGGATGGCTGATTTTAAGTGATCTGCCAACTCAGGACGAACCATGACTGTTAAGGAAAAGAAGGTTGAAAATGGCTAAATCATTGCCTCCTTGTTAGCAGCAGCACATCAGAAGTAGCCTAAATTTATGGTAGCGCACGATCACTTCAGTTTGTTCTTTTACCTAGTCTAAAATTAACATCCTCCATTATAGCTCTATTCCTAGCCTGCACCTTTGCAGCTATGCCAGGTGTTGCTTCCAGCAACACAGCACGGCCGACAGCCATCACTGCCAGAGCAGCAGCAAAGCCTGCTACATACCGGGCAGTGCGGGCAGGGCGGTAATTTATCACTGCCCTGATCTCATCCCAGCTGGCTGGGTGATGCGACATGTGAAATCAAAAGACGTGGTGGACCCAAATAAGGCCTGCAAACACACGAACGGGTCGCACAGGGTGAGAGCAACATTAGTGGGTAAAAACGAGGGGAGCAACAGAGGGTGGGAGCAACAGATGGTCAGAGCAGTAAAGGGTGAGACATACTTTCGTGAAAAGGAACACCGGTGAAAAGAATGCCCTGTGAGGGAAATGAATGTGGAAAGAATGCAGCCCTGTGTGGTCCGAAACGGTGGAAGGGCAGAGAATGGGAGCAGTGGAATGGGGAATGCGGAGCAGTGGAGTGGGGAATGGGAGCAGTGGAGTGGGGACTGAGGGCCGTGGAATGGGGAATGGGAGCAGTGGAGTGGGAATGCGGAGCAGTGGAGCGGGGAATGGGAGCAGTGGAGTGGGGAATGAGGGCAGTGGAATGGGGAATGGGAGCTGTGGAGTGGGGAATGAGAGCAGTGGAATGGGGAAGGCAGTGGAGCGGGGAATGAGGGCAGTGGAGTGGGGAATGAGGGCAGTGGAGTGGGGAATGAGGGCAGTGGAGTGGGGAAGGCAGTGGAATGGAGAATGGGAGCTGTGGAGTGTGGAGTGGGAACCGTTGGAGTAGTAGGAGGGTGAGACGCGAGGCAGAGGAAGGAGAGAGCGATGCCTGTGTGGCCAGAGAGGGAGGAAGAGCGGGAAGGGCGGTGGGGGCGGGGGGGAGCTGGGGGGAAAGGGCGGAAAGGAGGGTGGAGGCCAAGAGGGGGAAGGGGGGACGGGTGAGGGCGAAGGGCGAAGAGCGAATCACACCTAATTGACGGGGCGAGGCGACGAATGATGGATGGACGGACGAAAAGTTCGGAAAGCTTCTTTTAATGGGTTCGCGTCGCCGGAACAAGCGGCGCTGAAACTGGATTTCCGAATTGGATTCGCCGCCTTCAATAAGAAGCCAAAAGCAAAGCAATCCCCTCTGTTGATCGTTGCAAGTCCGCGATTTGCGGACAGATTCCGAACGAGCTAACGGATTTGCGACTACCGAGAAAGCTTATACGGAGATACGAAACGGTACGACTACGTAGGGCGAAGAAGAGGCTGTAGAAGCAAACAAGGACGGGACACTAGAAGGTGCATGTGAGCCGGGGCCGTTCGTTTTGTGCCAGGACGCTTCTCATCGGACTGAGGGTATTGTACCATCTGACGTGTTACGATTCACGAATCTTAGGGTTGCTTTCAAAAGAGAGGGTTGCGCCACGACTTGTCGTCACTGATATATGTTGCTAGAATCCGCGGTACCAGCGGTGCACACAACAGATAGCACCACGGGAAAAGCTGGAGAGAAACGAGTACAGAGATTCGTTATTAGCTGTGAGTCCCTTCGGCATACAACAATCTTTGGAGTCTCCAAGGCACAAAGAAGTGTCGTAAAATTCACCATCATTGATTTGTTGGGCGACAGAAGTTCTACATGGCCTACCAAATTTAAAGCCAGGATCTCAAGTAGTTTGGCTGTTTTGCAGTTAGTGAATTGTGTTAGGCTGTGATTAGTTGACGAGGTAGAGTAGTTGACGAGAGCTGAAACGAGGGATGCGAAGCAAACAAAAATCGCAGTGAACTTCCGAACCAACTAGGCACGGAAATCTGGTTGGGTTCCGAAGCTCATTTCCCAGCAATGTGTCTCACTTGCCGAAAAATCTCATGCACAGCAATTTGTTTTGCAATTGAGATTCACGGGCAAATCGGGGATCAGTCGCACACTGAACCTCCAACCCAACCACTCGATTTCGCCTAAACAAACAGGGTGACTCGAGCTGCAAGTGTTTTGCAATTGAAGCCAATTTCTCTTACTTGAGATCCTGGCCTTAACGAAGTTGTATGCTCCGTGGCGATTCCTCGTCGACGTCGCTCGCACCACAGCATGTTTCGCAACGTGATGACGTTGGCCCAAAATCCACACGTCATCCACTGTGGAGGATGCATTTTGCTGCCTTACTGTGGTTGAATACATTCCGTCTGAATGTGCCCAGCATTCGAAGTTCAACATGAGTTGTGCACGGTTTCGTACGATGCAGAACGTTGACATGCGCTGCAGTACGGTGAATGTTCACAGCCCAGCATATGAAGCATGCGAGTTCCCAAGACAAGCTAGCGTGTGGTTGTCATCTTCAACAGATGCGTCCTCCTTTCTCCGCATTTCCAGCCAGCTGTTTTCTGGGACAGGTGGAAAAGACCTTCCCTTCACCTCCCCCTCACGCACACCTTGCGCGAATCACGCTTCTACAGACTACTACTGTAGTACAACCTGTCGCCAACGGAGCTCTGGGAGGTTTGTGATTAGAAACCACCTGACTGCCACCTGAGGTTTTGCCTGATTGTCACCTGACCGCATACTCCTCCATCCAATCACAGACCTAAAATGGCGGCTCGGGTTCTTTCTCACCATATTAGCCGGCCATCGCTCATTGACCAACCTTCGCGACCTGCTAGAATTCGCAGCTCCGCAGCAGACCCTCCTGATCGAACGTACCCTTCGCAACCTACATCTAGAGTCTCTCGCGCGCTATCGTTTCCCAACTCCAACACGCCCGACGAGACGATTTTTTAGGTGTCTCAAAAGTAGACTTTCGCGCGCCGTCGCGTCTAGCTACTACCTCTGAAACAGCTGACTTCGCCACAGAGCTGCGTTATCTCGGGCCTCCTCGCGACATAGTTAACGACATCAATAAGCCGTGTCGCTCTCGGCTGCTGCCAGCCCGAGCCTGTTCTTTTCCAATACACTGCGTAAAATTGCGTCATCCAGTTTGTTTCACTCTGTATTTCGCGAAACTCGCGTGACTTTCGCTTCTCCTTCGCCGGCTCTATCTCGCCATGATGGCCGCGGCACGCGGCGCGCGTCCGCATAGGGTACCTCTCTCGCTGCTCGTCTATCTCTCCGTCGCGCTCGCGCTCTCTCACCGCGCCCTCGCTTTCACGTCCTCAGGTATGTCGATGCAATCGAGACGCCATACTAGCAGCGCAGCTTTTGTGGGTGTGCTCTCAACGGTTTGATGTCCTTCCCATCCGTGTGTTTGAAAGTCCCCCTTCTTTCCTTCCTCCCCTTCTTTCTCTCCCGCTTCCCCCCCACCCAACCTTCTTCCGGTCCTCTTCCCCGCCTTCTCTCCCCCCCCACCCTCCTCTCTCCCCGACCTCCTCACTCCCCCGCCTCCTCTCTCCCCCGCCGCCTCTCCCCCGCCTCCTTTCTCTCGCCTTCTCTCCCCCGCCTCCTCTCTCCCGCCACCTCCGCCACCTCTCTCTCGCCTTCTCTTCCCCGCCTCCTCGCGCCCGCCTCTCCCCCGCCTTCTCTCTCCACAGACGTACTCAACTACCGCGGGATCGTCTGGCGCCTCCTGGACCAATGGCCGTCCTCGGCGCGTCCACGTCAGCAATCGCCTGACCTAACGGCGATATCGTCATCTTCCGCGTCTCTGTTCGCTTCGGGGAATGAGACGTGGGGGGAGACTTCCGAGACGTCTCAAGGTTCCGCGAATGCGACGTGGGATTCCTATGAACCATCTCAAGATGCGGCTCGTACAACATGGGCGACGCGGGACGGTTCGGAAATGACGATGGGGGAGTCAACCGGCGGCGAACACGCTACGACGTCGGATGCGGAGGGAGCGGCATCGGGCCGCGCCGAAGCCGCTGCTGTTGGGATGAGCCATGGGTGGAGGAAATGGAGGGGACACGTGGTGCGCGAGGAGAGGCCGTTGGGGCAGCGCAGGCAGATGGGTGAGTGCTGCAGAATTTGAGTTGTCGTATGTGAAAAATGCTTCCTCTGCTCACTCACCCGCTTTAGCCTGGAAATGATTTCTGCATATTGTGCCTGAAGCCTATCTTCAATACCCAGTTCCTCTCATGTTCCTCCGTTGTTGTGTCTCCTCCCTTCCTTGCATTCCGTCAGCTGATTCGTGGCTGGATGGTCCCTGCTCCGACTACGTAAAAGCGCCCGTCATCAGTATATCTTCTCTCGCGGATTTCAACAAGCGACTGGACTACGGTCCCGTTACAACGGTCATCCTCGAACTACAGAGAAACCTCGTTATAAGCAAGGGAATCCTCTTCGACAGCAAGTTCTCCTGCACGATTCTGCGATCCGCGAAGACCGCCGCGAACCCGTTTCAAATCACACACATGGGAGCTAATGAACCGGTGCTGCGTATATGGAACACAAGCAACGTGCTTGTATTGAAGGTCGATTTTAGGCTCAGCGTTCGCTCCTCCTCCCCAACCTGCACGACTGTTCCCGAAATTACGGCCAAGGCGCAGTGCCCGACGATTTCCGTTATCCGTTCGTACGGAATTCAAATCGCGAAGGGGAGTGTTTTCGGGAGAATCGATCTACACCGCTCGGCGTCGTCTCGAGTGGACTCCATGCGTGTAACGGGGATTCCGACATTCAACCAGTCGCCTGGCGTGATTCAAGTGACGTACAGTGGCCACGGGCCTACACTCGCGAAATCCTTCATTGCTATAACAAACAATGAAGTGTATGGTGAGTAAAACTTCACACTTCCCGTTTTGCTCCATTAGGCCTAGCATTTGCATCTTCTCCTTGTGGCACCGTCGGCGCCATCGTGCGCAACAACTAAGTGCATAACTTCATATTCACGGGTATCCCATCCTCACCTCTCCTCTCTTGCTCTCCCCTCGTCCCCCTCCACTCCGTTTCAGGCGTGAACACACCCATTGTCGTCCACAGGGGATCCGTCGGCGTCATCGTGAGAAACAACTACGTGCACGACTTCATATTCGCGGGTATCCGCTGCGGATCTGACGTGCATTTCGCGGGCGACTGCATGCTCACGCAGATCGACCGCAACCTGGTGGTTGCATCGGGAAGAAACAGATCAGGAGACCAGGATGCAGCGGGGATTTACTACTGCGTCCACTGGTTCAGCCCTGGTGAGTCGTGAAATCTGGTTCAGTGCCGGTACAGCATGTACCGACCCAATGAAGACTGCATGCTCACTCAGATCGACCGCAACCTGGTCTTGGCCTCTGGGAGAAACCGGAGTGGGGATCAGGATGCTGCTGGGATCTACTACTGTGTGCACTGGTTCAGCCCTGGTGAGTTTTGGTTCGGCTCCGGTGAAGCTTGGTTTGGCCCCGGTGAGCCCTGGTCTGGTAAGGAGATTGAGGTGACAGGCAAAGACTGCACGCTCACGCAGATCGACCGCAACCTCATGGTCTAGTTTTGAGCGTATGTTTTTGAGAATTCTCTAAAAACAATACCCTCAAAAATGCATGCTCACGCAGATTGACCACAACCTCGTGGTGGCCTCCGGAAAGAGCCGCCCTGCTACTACCTCCTTATAAACTCCCTGCTAAACGCCCTGCCCTCTCCTACCCCCCTGCTGCAGACAACACGGCGGAGTGCAATTATGTGTTCAATGAGGACCATTGCTACAACCTTGGTGCCTGAGGTTTTTCTCTAACGAGCTCGGAGCTCCCTGCCTTTCCCCCTGCCTTACGCTATCCCTTTGCAGATAACACAGCGGAGTGCAGCTATGTGTTCAACGAGGACCATTGCTACTACCTCGATTTCGTAACACCCTATTCCCTCCTCCCCTTCCCTTCCCCTTCCCATTCCCCTCTTCTTTTCCCCCTCCGCCCTAACAGACAACACAGCAGAGTGTAACTACGTGTTCAACGGGGACCACTGTTACTACCTCGATTTCGTGACATCTGGAGTGGCGATCAAGGGAGGTGCCTGCATCAACACATACGATGGCATCAAAGTCAACAACGGAAAATGGTATGCTTGCTGCTTTTCCTTTTCAGCGTACAAGTTCTTCTTACCTCTCTCCCTCTCCTGTGCCCTCCCCGCCCCTTCCCCCAACCCCCCTTCCCCATCTCCACCCTATCCTCCTCCTCCTCCTCCTATTTTTCTCCTCTTTATATTTTTTGGCCATCTCCAAGGGGTCTTACTTGTACCATTTTTTTTATCCCCCACCCCTCCGTTCAAACCTTCAGGAACAGGGCAGAGGATGTGATTATAAAGAAGGTTCCGGGGTCCCCGGGGTGGAGTGCGTGTCTGACTCCTCTGGTGCTCAACTGCAACAAGAACCCCGGCACGTACTGGGAGCTCATGAGGAAACAATACTACGATACGCCAGTGTTTAAAGAGGTAATGATGATCAATAGCCTGGGTCACATTGAGGCACGTACTGGGAGCTGATGAGAAAACAGTACTACGATACGCCGGTGTTCAAAGAGGTGAGGAGCGGTAGGTAAGGATCAAGAGGTAAGGATCATTGACCGCTACTGTAGCATCGAGGCACGTTCTGGGAGCTCAAGATGAAACAGTACTACGATACACCGGTGTGCAAAGAGGTAAGAGAGCGCCTGAATTAGCACCTGAAAATTTATCTGAGAAGCACCGGAGGAGTGAGAGTGAGGGTAGGAGTGAGAGTGAGGGTAGGATTGTGAGAGTGAGGATAGGTAAAGATATTGCCAGTACCAACTGTGCATTAAGCATTCCAAATATTGGCAGGGTCTTTTTGTGAGGTAACTTTTTATGCAACTGACATGCTTGATGTGAGGAGCGTTATGTGAGAAAACACATCCCCCCTTGCGCATAATAATATGTTTCCGTCCCCTTGCACACCCAAACCTTCCCTTCGTCGCTGTTGACGTACCCCCATATGTATACCCCTTTCCAGAAATACCCTTTCTGGCCGGACGTTTGCGGACAAAAAACCGTCAATGGCAAGCCGTGCAACGTCAAGAGAAGAGGCACTCTGCCAGCCGAAAAAACCGGAGCATGCAGCGGCCTTCCTACAGAAAACACCCTAAACGTTGTCTTGGTTGACACAGAAGGAAGGGACGTTGGGTACAAGTACTGCGAGGTTTTACCAGCTGTGGAGGAGGGACCACTGAACGACCAGCGACAGGTAAATATCACAAATATACCAGCTGCAAGGTTTTTGGATTACGCGAACGACGATCTGGGGGTGAACACAGGATCGTCGCTGTACAGCAGCATAAAAGATTTCAAGAGCTGCCCGAGAAAAGACGTGGGGCCGCGGCGGATCGACGACGCATTTTATTTTCTGAATTTCAACCGGCCAGAGCCGGAGGTGCATAAGGTGGTGGTGGCGATGAGCATCAAGCACGTGCATGACACTGCTATCGTGAAGTTGAGTAAGCTGCCGAAAAAGAAAGGGAAGTAGACAAGAAAGCTTGTCCTGAAACAGAGTGTGAAGTAGAGCCTCTGGTGGTGTAGATGAGAAAGCACTACATTGTCACATGGATATTGTATTGTGAAGCTGTGTACTGTGAAGCTGTGTATTGTAAAGCTGTGTATTGTAAAGCTGTGTATTGTAAAGCTGTGTATTGTGAAGCTGTGTATTGTGAAGATGTGTATTGTAAAGCTGAGCAGTCTGCGGAAAAAGAAACAAGTCTATACAAATTTCTCGGCTGACCTTATTACTCCTGATGGGAATCGCCTGGTGATGTGAAATGTTGCGTTGTGGCATGTGTCGGGTCGTGCTCATTTTTGGTTCAAGACAGTACTTCCAATCCAACGACAGTACTTCCAATCCAACGACAGTACTTCCAATCCAACGACAGTACTTCCAATCCAACGACAGTACTTCCAATCCAACGACAGTACTTCCAATCCAACGACAGTACTTCCAATCCAACGACAGTACTTCCAATCCAACGACAGTACTTCCAATCCAACGACAGTACTTCCAATCCAACGACAGTACTTCCAATCCAACGACAGTACTTCCAATCCAACGACAGTACTTCCAATCCAACGACAGTACTTCCAATCCAACGACAGTACTTCCAATCCAACGACAGTACTTCCAATCCAACGACAGTACTTCCAATCCAACGACAGTACTTCCAATCCAACGACAGTACTTCCAATCCAACGACAGTACTTCCAATCCAACGACAGTACTTCCAATCCAACGACAGTACTTCCAATCCAACGACAGTACTTCCAATCCAACGACAGTACTTACCAATGGTATGCCCCATTTGTAGCCTTCCAAGGTGGGGATGAGTGATGAGCAGAAATGGATTGTGCTGATGAGTGAGACCCCTGCCATATGATCACTGCAGGACTGAATGAAAATGGGTCTAGCAGAAAATAACCTCTAAATTGATGTGCATAATGTGGTATTCGAAGGCAAATGGGAGTACTGACCATAATGTACGCATCTGAAGTCATGTAGTGCTCAAAGGCTGCTGATGTCAACTGCGATTGAGATTTATTCTTCCTTTGTTCATGTTAGACATTGAGAAAGCTTGCTTTCTGTTCTTGCAAAGGCAACGGGCTTCATTACAATTGCAGTAATAAAACATTCTCGTCCAACTATGGATGGATTATACAGATATACAACTAGGGTGGGTGGGTGGGGAGTGGAACTGCAAAGTTCCGAAATGAAGTCGTGGGTGGAGGCCGAATGGCCTCCAACCCTCGTTATGTACTCGGCGAATTGTAATTCGCCGTTGCTTTGCTTCGTGACAGTCAGCTGCGCTTTCAAAATACGCATTTTTAGAAAGTGTTACACACTTTCGAAAAATTTCATGATTATTGCATTGCTGTTGACACAGCAGAATTGCACCAGACCAGATTTATGTTGTGTACTAAAAGAGCAAATAACCAAGGAAGAAAAACTTCTGAAGCTCGGAATTCTACACTGTCCAGGCCGCTTACCTTTCTTTAGAGGGAGCAAACCAGCTGCAGCAGCAGAGACGGGCAGCACCCATGGAGGCAAATCATTGCCACCAGGTGACCCTGCTCCTGGTGCGCTTGCCACTCCTACTACTGCTGCCGCTGCTCCTGCCCCTGCTTCGCCTGCTGCTCCTGCTGCCCCTGCAGCTGCTGCAGCGGATTCAGCTACAGCAGCCGCTACAGCGGGAGACTTGTGTCTGGAATAGTCTACGGGTGGGAAGTCCATGGGTGCATGCAAGTGGTGTAGTGTGGAGGGCATCTGACATGGCACTGGTAGTTGTGAAGTGCGGCGTGGGTGAGAGTTACGTGCAGGGGGAAAAGTATGGTATGGATGGATGACATGTGGGAAAAATTAGGCGTGTGTGATGCATGGGGTGCATGTGGCGCATGGGGCGCTTGTTATGTATGTACAGCAAAGGGTGCGTGGGCAGCATGTGTGGCATGGGGTGCATGGGGGGCAGGTGATGCGTGGGGTGCATGGGCAGCATGTGATGCATGGGGAGCATGGGGAGCAGGTGGCATGTGCAGCATCGGGTGCACATGGAGCAGGTGGCATGTGCAGCATGGGTTGCATTTGCAGCATGGGTTGTATGGGGAGCATGGGGAGCAGGTGGCATGTGCAGCAGGCTGACTCCCGAGTTCAGCTGATGCCGGATGGCCTGCAGCTGTGCCATCGCCTGCTGCACCTCCTGCTGCAACTGTTATCAGGCAGCCGGGAAAAGAAATGCAAACAGGAAAAGAGAGGAGAGAGGGAGGGGGAAAAACACATTTCAGTCACTGTACCATTGCACGTTGGCCGTTGCCTGCTGCATCTCCTGCTGCAAGTCCAATAACAAAGCCCGAACAAGTTTCAGTGGGAAAAGGGAAGAAGGAGAAGGGAGGGGAGCAGGGGCGCACACACGTTTCAGTCAGCATGGCACTGCAGCTCGACAGGGGGGGGAAATGGAAATGGGGGAGGGCAGTTTGGAAGGGCACAAACAAGCGCGTTACACTCAGTGTCGCATGCCAGCTGTACAGTCGCCCGCTGTAGCTCCTGCTGCAACTACAGCCCAACAACCGGGAAAAAAGTCTGGTTTTGAGGTGCCTCAAAACTAGGCGTTACAATCAGTGTCGCATGCCAGCTGTACAGTCGCCCGCTGTAGCTCCTGCTGTAACTGCAGCCCAACAGCCGGGGAAACAAAAGGGAAAGGAAAAACAATTTGGCACAGATGTGTTACCGTCAGTACACAAGAGCTTCGTGATCACGTGATCACCTGGGTCAAAGTGTACACTCCTGCTGGGGCTTCTGCTGGGGCTTCTGCTGCGGCTTCTGCTGGAGAAAAGGACGGGACATCACACTTCTGAGTCGACTACGAGGCATTTGAGTCGACTCAAGGGTCAAAGTGTACACTTCTGCTGGGGCTTCTGTTGGGGCTTCTGTTGGGGCTTCTGCTGGAGAAAAGGACATCACACTTCTGAGTTGACTCAAAAGAAACTGCCTGCTGCACTTGCAGCAGAAAGAAACAGGACGGAAACGCCACACCTGGGACAGTTCCGTAATTAGTGAGCTTCTGGGTAATAATATTGCAGCGCCGTACCTCAGATCCGTACCTCAGATAGTTTGCGTCTGGTCCGCGAACGAACCGAATGTTGTTTTGGCAGCATGAAGGAATCCCATGGCCCGTCCCGTGAGGCGTCCAGCTGCCCGAGCTATCACGGGGACATCCTTGGGGCCTGACCGGGCAGCAACGCGAGAAACAGAAGACCCAGAAAAGGAAAATCAAGAAAAGGGAGAATGGAACGAAATTATCGAACCGAGACGCCTCAAAAGGAGGCGAAGTGTGAGGATACGGCCTTGTTGGGGAAACAGAAGCAAATGCAGAGTACAGAATGGGTGGATTGAATGTGATGTTATTTTGAGGCGCCTCAAGAATGGGTGGATTGAATGTGATGTTATTTTTGAGGCGCCTCAAGAATGGGTGGATTGAATGTGATGTTACGGACAGCTAGTTGAGGGGACAGGAGTGAGGAAGTTAGAGAGTGAGGGATTGGGGACCGTCTAACCTGAGAATAAAGCACAAGAAAGGGAAGGGGCAACATTCGATGCTCTCTCAGAAGCTGGGAGAGGAGTGAGGGAGCTGATCGTCCAACCTGAGGCACAAGACAGGGAAGGGGCGGCATTGAATGTTCTCTCAAAGAGCGGCGAGAGGAGTAAGGGAGCGATCCTCTAAGCACAGGAGCAAGGGAGCAGCGAAGGAAGGGAGGAGAGTGGAGGGAGAATACGTGCGAGGGATGGGAAGGGACGGAGCACGGATATCTTTTCCCCGATTGTTTTTGGGATAAAGGGATGGAAGACGGAGCACGGAGAAGGGATGGGATGGAAGTGGAACGAGTTGCCCGATGCGACGATTCCCAGAAAGACGAGAAGTCCAATCTCGCCATTCGATAGGCCAAGCATCGTCGCCAATCTCTTGGCGAGGCGACTCTCTAATGTGAAATCGACCGTGAAGGCAGTAGTGTTTTGAGACGTCTCAAACGCTTCACGTGGTCAAACGTGGCCTCGTTTTGAGACTTTCTTCACGTCGCCAATCGCTTGGCGAGGCGACTCTCTAATGCGAAATCGGCCCGCCCGCTGGAAGGAGATTTCGTGAGAAAGGAAACGAGGATGCGGATCGCAGGTTTGATATCGCATATTGTCGCACTTCGACGCGCTTATCGCGATACTAAACTAGCCCGTTGTTGCTTATGAGTTGGGAGGGACGGCTCGTGAGCGTGCTGAACCGAACAAGAACACGAAACGCCACGTGATGTCTTCTTCCCACAAAGCAGTCTCTACCAGACGGTTTTTGAGAGAAGTACTCAGATCTAGCTGCCGGTGATTCGATATCAGCCGTGAGTCACACACATAGCGAATTATTCTTTCGCCTTTTACTAAAGAATACCGTGTGTGTTTCTCATCAAGCGGCATACAATAATTTTTGGAGTGCCTTTTTGGAGGCACCGCAATTCAATTATAAATTGGGATATCGAGAGGCAAGACAGAGCCAAATGAAAATAAAAATATATATTAGGATGGCTAGCTGTAGCCCGACAAATTATGCAGTCAAATCAGGTGTTGGTTGTGATGGAACAATGAGGAAAACAGTTACGAAGCGAACATTTCTGACCACCTGTTTGCAGCACCACCAAGAATAGCACTAATAGCCGTCTGAATATTAACATACGGTGCACATCAGTTTGTTCTTTTACCTAGTCGAAAGTTAAAGCCAGCAGCTAAAATAGTGACCCCCCCCCTTCTAGTTGGGTCCACTAGAAAATTGAAGTACTGTTTTGTATTTTTTTTCCAGCCCCATATGATCCTGATCGAGTCTCCAAATTTCTTCTCAAACAAAAATCATCGCAAGCATGTGCAAATGCGTCGCTTGAAGGTTTGTGACGTGCGAATCTCAATTACATTCATCAGTGCCAAATTCACATCGTGAAGCATGTCCAACTCGTGCAAAGCAAGTCCAAATCACGCAAAGCAAAGACCTTAGACATGGGCCTGCTAGTGCGGCAATAACAACATGTGAAAAACAAGAGGCGTATAACAAAGAATTTCTCGAGAAGAGATTCATAGCGCAATAGAAACGAGGACGCGAGAGGAGAGATGCGTGAGAAAAGACCGCGGAATGCTAGGGGAGATAGCAAGGACAACGGAAAGGGAGGGGAGAGAACGAGGGCGACGGAAAGGGAGAGGAGAGAACGAGGGCGACGGAAAGGGAGGGGAGAGAGCGAGGGCGACGGAAAAGGAGGGGAGAGAACGAGGGCGGCGGAAAGGGAGGGGGGAGAGCAAGGGCAACGGAAAGGGAGGGGAGAGAACGAGGGTGACGGAAAGGGATGGGAGAGAGCGAGGGCGGCGGAAAGGGAGGGGAGAGAGCGAGGGCGACGGAAAAGGAGGGAAGAGAACGAGGGCGACGGAAAGGGAGGGGGGAGAGCGAGGGCGGCGGAAAGGGAGGGGAGAGAACGAGGGCGACGGAAAGGGATGAGAGAGAGCAAGGGCAACGGAAAGGGAGGGGAGAGAATGAGGGCGACGGAAAGGGATGGGAGAGAGCGAGGGCGACGGAAAGGGAGGGAAGAGAGCGAGGGCGACGGAAAGAGAGGGGGGAGAGCGAGGGCGACGGAAAGAGAGGGGGGAGAGCGAGGGCGACGGAAAGAGAGGGGGGAGAGCGAGGGCACGGAATCAAGGACCTGAAGAGGAATCGACGGGAGGGGAGGGAAGAGAAGAGGAACGACGCGAGGGGAGGTAATAATTTACGAAAGGCGGGACGGAGGGTGACGGGAGTGCGTTGGGAACGCGATCGCGATGAGACGCGAGGGCAGCGGGAGGAGAGAGAAGAAGGGCGACGGGAGAGGAAGGGCGACGGGAGACAGGAAGGGCAGCGAGAGAGAGGAAGGGCGACGGGATAGCGAACTGGCGACGGGATAGCGAACTGGCGACGGGAGTGAGGAAGGGCAACGAGAGAGGAAGGGTTGTGGGAGAGGAATGGCGACGGGATGTGTGAGGAGATCGCGAGGGCGATTGCGACGATAGGGGCGACGGGTGGGCGATTTGAGGTGCGCATGACGGCGACGAAGTGGGTGATAAGAGGGGGAGGAAGGGCGATTCAATATGAGGGCGAACAGGCGACGGAGGGAGAGCGCGAAGGCTATGGGAGGGAGAGCGCGAAGGCGACGGGAGGGAAGGGCGGACAGGCGACGGGAGGGAGAGCGCGAAGGCGACGGGAGGGAAGGGCGGACAGGCGACGGGAGGGAGAGCGCGAAGGCGACGGGAGGGAGAGCGGACAGGCGACGGGAGGGAGAGCGTACAGGCGACGGGAGGGAGAGCGGACAGGCGACGGGAGGGAGAGCGGGCAGGCGACGGGAGGGAGAGTGCGAAGGCGACGGGAGGGAGAGCGCGAAGGCGACGGGAGGGGAGCGGACAGGCGACGGGACCGTGAGCGGACAGGTGACGGGAGGGAGAGCAGACATGCGACGGGACAGTGAGCGCGAAGGCGACAGGAGGGAGAGCGCGAAGGCGAGAGGAAGAGAGGGCGGCGGGAGGGGAGGGGAGAGCAAGGGCGACGGGAGGGAGGGGAGAAAGAGAGGTCGACGGGGGAAAAGGAGAGAGAGGCGCGAAGATAACGGGAGGGGAGTGGACAGAGGACGAACGACTGGAGGGTAGCGCTTCTAGGCCACGTGTTAATACATCACGTGCTCGTGGTATCGTAAGTCGACGCACTCGTCAGTAATACCGAGCCTTTGACAGAAACGCTTATGCTCTCAGCTCTGGTTCTTAGTAAGCTAAGCGAAAAACTAGTGACTGAAGGTTTCGGAAAGCTCGAAATTGAAGTTGGGCCTGGCGACGGAAAACCATCGCCAGGGAACGGTCGTGCGGATGGAGCACGCAAAATGCGATGGCTGAAAGTTCATTTTGGCGAGAAACAACTCATTCCATTTTGGCGAGAGCCAATCACACAAGTTCACTGTGCCCATACGATTCGTTTGAAACAGTGTTTGTCAGACTGGTTTCATAACACATTTTTCAAGAGGGATGGGGTTCACTATTTTAGCTGCTGGCTTTAACATCCTCCATTATCGCTCTATTCCTGGCCTGCACCTTTGCAGCTATGCCAGGCGTTGCTTCCAGCAACACAGCACGGCCAGCAGCCATCACTGCCAGAGCCGCAGCAAAGCCTGCTATGTATGGGGCAGTGCGGGCAGGCCGATAATTTATGACTGGCCTGATCTCATCCCAGCAGGCTGGCTGATGCGACATCTGAAATGAACAGGAGAAAGAGGACCCAGATTACACCTGCAGACACAACAATGGACTTTAATGTCGACTCAACAGTCAACTCATCCCAGCTGGCTGGCTGATGCGACATCTGAAATGAACAGGAGAAAGAGGACTCAGATTACACCTGCAGACACAAGAATGGGGGCGGTGCATGATGGTTTGAAATAAGATGAGCTTCAGAGGGTGAGAACAGCAGAGGGGGGAGAAGCATAGGGTGACAGCAGCAGAGGGTGAGAGCAACAGAGGGTGAGAGCAACAAAGGGTGAGGGAAACAGAATGTGAGAGCAATAGAGGGTGAGTGCGACAGAGGGTGAGAGAATCACAGGGTGAGGTCAATAGGGGGTGAGAGCAACAGAGGGTGAGAGAAACAGAGGGTGAGCGAGACAGGGGTGAGAGTAACAGAGGGTGAGCACAGAGGGTGAGCGAAACAGACAGTGAGAAAAATAGAGGGTGAGAGCAACAGAGGGTGAGGGAAACAGAATGTGAGAGCAATAGAGGGTGAGAGCAACAGAGGGTGAGGGAAACAGAATGTGAGAGCAATAGAGGGTGAGAGCAACAGAGGGTGAGAGCAACAGAGGGTGAGGGAAACAGGGGGTGAGAGCAACAGAGGGTGAGAGAAACAGAGGGTGAGCGAGACAGGGGTGAGAGTAACAGAGGGTGAGCGAAACAGAGGGTGAGAGAAACAGAGGGTGAGAGAAACAGAGGGTAGGGAAACAGAGGGTGAGAGAAACAGAGGGCGAGAGAAACAGAGGGTGAGAGAAACAGAGGATGGGAGCAACAGAAGGTGAGAGCATCAGAGGGTGAGAGAAACAGAGGGTAGGGAAACAGAGGGTGAGAGAAATAGAGGGCGAGAGTAACAGAGGGTGAGAGAAACAGAGGATGGGAGCAACAGAAGGTGAGAGCATCAGAGGGTGAGAGAAACAGAGGGTAGTGAAACAGAGGGTGAGAGAAACAGAGGGCGAGAGAAACAGAGGGTGAGAGAAACAGAGGATGGGAGCAACAGAAGGTGAGAGCATCAGAGGGTGAGAGAAACAGAGGGTAGGGAAACAGAGGGTGAGAGAAACAGAGGGCGAGAGAAACAGAGGGTGAGAGAAACAGAGGATGGGAGCAACAGAAGGTGAGAGCATCAGAAGGTGAGAGTGGATTGGGGAGTGCGAGGCACAGGAAGGAGAGAGTGATGTCCGCCGTGCCATGTGAGAGGCCATGTGTAATAAGTGAGTTTTTGAGACGTCTCAAAGAATCACTTTTTACACGTGGAAGGAGAGAGTGATGTCCGCCGGCGGGTGGCCATGTGAGAGGAATGTTGAGATAGGCTAAGAGTAGGTAGGCTTAGGAGCCATGGCTATGGTGGCTTAGTAGCTTGAGTTCGAGGGTTCAAGAGAGTGTCGAGAAAGTTGAGAGGGAAGTGGGGTTCACTATAGCACAAGAGTACATATAGCAAACAGAGCATGCAAGGTGCACCACCAACTAGAAAGTTGTATGACTACAGTATTTTACACTACAGGCAGTTATAGAACAATATATAGAATTATATATTAGTCTGACAAGGAAGGGCGGGAAGGGCGAGGGGGAGTTGGAGACGAAGGGCGGGAAGGGCGAGGGGGAGTTAGGGACGAAGGGCGGAAAGGGCGGTGGGGGCGAAGGAGGGGACGCAGGGTGGGGGCGAAGGGCAGTGAGGGAGGTGAGGGGGAAGGGCAGAAAGTGGGGTGGGGGCGAAGGCTGGGGAGGGGGTTTGGGGGTGAAGGGGCAGGGAGGGAGTTGGGGGTGAAGGCGTGAACAGTAAGTACACGAAGGAAGAAGTGGGCGGGGGCGAGCCTAAAAAACAAAACAGAAAATATTATTTTATACGAAGGAAGGAAACAAAAACCAGAAAGAAACAAAAGAGGGCGGGGACGTGAAAAGGAACACAGCAGGAAAAAGCAACATGAGCATAGAAACGACACATGCTGCGTCAGTCTCGAAATGGCGGAGGCCGAATCTGCTGCGGGTCGCACCTGACTATTGGAGGGGCGAGGCGTTGGAAAGTCTGGACAAACCTTCAATATGTTTGCCGGAACAAGCAGAGAATTCGCCGTCTTTACTTTGTCGCCAAAAGCAAGCGATCCATCTGTTGCTCGTTGCAAGACCGCAATTCGCGGAGAGGTTCGGAAACGAGCGAGAAAGCTAATACGGAGTTGCGAAAGAATGCTATGGCATAGTGTGAGAACGAACGGCAGAAGAAGCAAGCAACGACTGCAAGAATGCATCTAGTCGTTCCGCCGTTTCGTTCGTTCCGTGCCAGGGCGCCGCGAACTAAATTCCCTGTGCTGCAAAACGGTTATTCCTATACAGGTCGTGACACTTTCGATGGCACGATACTCGTTATTAGCTGTCAGTGTTACGACATTGAAAGAGGGTGTGAAGTTCGTCTTCATACATCCTTCTCGTTGGGCGAAGAAGATGTAAACGGTAACAGAGGCTTGGTGTCGCAAATACTCGCTTAGATATGTAATATCGCCTACGAGGTCTAGCGAATTCCTCATCCATTCCTTGTCAATTCCTCGTCGGTGTCGCTTGCACCACGTCACGTTTCGCAACGTGATGGAGTTGCCATCCTGCACGATGGATGGAGGATGCATATTTGGCTACCTTCCGAAAGTTGCCAAACATTTGAATGATGGGAAAAACACGGTTCTGTGCGTCTCAGAACGTTTCAGTGTGCTTCAGCATGGTGAAAACTAAAAAACGAGCAGATGTAGCACGCTGAGCTCCAAACCAAATGCTAGGTTTCGTGTGGTGTGGTCAACAAATACGGCGCCATTGACGCGCTTCTCTTTGCATCTCCAGCCAGCTGTTACCTGGGACAGGTGGGGTGGGGAGGGGAACACCATTCCGATCCTCCCTCTCCCCGCCCTCACCCTCTGACATGCCGTACATTGCACTCCACATAAGCGTGAATAACGCTTTTTGTGCGCACGGATAAAGTAGTACCACCTATCACCTGCAGACGGAATAGAAACAACCTGACTGCCACTTGAGGCTCTACCATCTATCACCTGACCGCATTTTCCTCCATCCGATCACAGACCTATGATGGCGGCTCGGGTTCTTTCCTACCACATTGACCGGCCAGCACGCATTGACAAACCTTCGCGACCTGCTAGAATACGCAGCTCTGCAGCAGACCCTCCAAATCGAACGTACGCTTCGCAACCTACAAGTAGAGTCTCTGCGCGCCATCGTTTACGAACACCACGCGTCCGATGAGACGATTCTTGACAGTTCTGAAACTGCTGCTCTTTCCACAAAGTTGCGCAATCTACGACTGCTACGCGAAAGAGTTGTTCACCAATCAGGTGTCACACGACACGGTATCGCTCTCGCCTGCGGCTTCGATTCCGCGCCTGCGCTTTTGCAATACTGCTACGTATAATCGCGTTATCCAGATTGCTCCACTCTCTACCGCCGGCTGTATCTCGCCATGATGGTGGCGACACGTGGCGCGCATCCACATAATAGGGTTCTCCTCTCGCTGCTCGTCTGTCTCTCCGTCTCGCTCGCTCTCTCTCCCAGCGCGCTCGCCTTCACGCCCTCAGGTATGTCGATGCAATAGAGACGCCTTAGTGGGTGTGCTCTTAGCGGGTGTTCTCTTAGCGGGTGTGCTCTTAGCGGGTATGCTCTCCTCCTTCCGAGGGTGTGCTCTCGACGGTTTGCAAGTCCCCACCTTTCTTCCTTGCTCTTTCTCTCCCGCTTCCCTCCCACCCAACCTTCTTCCGGTCCTTTCTCCCAGCCTCCTCGTTCCCGCCTCCTCGCCCCCGGCTCCTCTCCCCCGCCTCCTCGCCCCTGCCTCCTCTCCCCCGCCTCCTCACCCCCGCCTCCTCTCTCTCGCCACCCCGTCTCCTCCTCGCTTCCTCCCCCCCCCGCCTTCTTTCTTCTCAGCCGTGCTCAATCACCGCGGGCTTGTGTGGCGCCTCCTTTTGAGACGTCTCAAAATCCTCCTCTCTATCGCTGCTCCGCCTCCTCCTCGATTCCTCCCCCCCCCCCGTCTCGCCCTCGCTTCCTTCCCCCTCGTCTCGCCCTCGCTTCCTCCCCCCTCGTCTCGCCCTCGCTTCCTCCCCCCCCGTCTCGCCCTCGCTTCCTCCTCCCCACCTTCTTTCTCCTCGGCCGTGCTCAATCACCGCGGGCTTGTGTGGCGCCTCCTTTTGAGACGCCTCAAAAGCCTCCTCTCTCTTGCCGCTCTGTCTCCTCCTCACTTCCTCCCCCCCCGCCTTCTTTCTCCTCAGCCGTGCTCAATTACCGCGGGCTTGTGTGGCGCCTCCTTCACAATGGCAATCGTTTGACCTAACGGCGACATCGTCGCCGTCCGCTTCTGTGTTCGCCGCAGGCAACGAGACGCGGGAGGGGTCTTCTGAGACGTCTCAAGACTCGGGGAATGCGAGGTGGGATTTTTATGAACCGTCTCAAGATTCTCAAGTTGCGGCTCGCACAACGTGGGAGACTCGGCGCGATTCGAAAACGACGAGGGGGGAGTCAACTTGGGAGTCAACTGGAGAGTCAACTAAGAGCGAACGCACCGCGACGTCGGATGTGGAGGGAGTGGGGTCGGTCCGTGCCGAAGCTGCTGCTGTTGGGATGAGCCGTGGGTGGAGGAAATGGAGGGGACACGTGGCGCGCGAGGAGAGGCCGATGGGGCAGCGCCGGCAGATGGGTGAGTCTCTTCGGGGCTACCTTGGCCAGGCTTGACCTTTTTCTTTCTGTGCTCGGTTCGGTACCTAATCTTATTCTCTGTCCCATTGTTGCTCCCTTTCTTGCATTCCGTCAGCTGATTCGTGGCTGGATGGTCCGCGCTCCGACTACGCAAAAGCGTCTGTCATCAATATATCTACTCTCGCGGATTTCAGCAAACGATTGAGTTTTACACCCATTACAACGGTCATCCTCGAACTACAGAGAAAACGCGTTATCAGCAAGGGGATCCTGTTTGACGGCACTTTCTCGTGCACGATTCTCCGATCAGCGAAAACCACCGCGACCCCGTTTCAGATCACTCACATGGGAGCGAGCGAGCCAGTACTGCGTATGTCGAACACGAGCAACATGCTTGTATTAGGCGCTTAACATGCTCGATTTCAAGCTGAGCGTTCGCTCGTCCTCCCCATCATACACCACTGTCACACCTCCCACGCCCAGCGTACCACTCACGAAGCTGCTGGGGCGACAGGGTCTCACGAGAACGCTGCTGCTACTGGCGCTGGCCACCACCAAAGCCTCCACGCTGCACTGCGCCACCCCGACCAGCACCACCGCCGCCGCCACCCCCACTGCCGCTGCCGCCGCCGCCTCCACCCCCACCACTGCCACCGAAGCCCCCACTCCCACCACCACCCCCACCTCCACCCCCACCCCCTCCGCCGCTTCCACCGCCACCACCGCCGCCCCCGCCGTCTCCTCCCGCACCCTTGCCCCCCTTGCTCCTGCCGCTGCGGCGCCTCCCACTAGGAGCAGACGCAGTGCCGACCGACTCGGTGCCAACGAGGTCGACAGCAGCAGCAGAGGCAACAGAAGGCAAAAGGGGAACGGGGGAGCACCCCTCAAAGAAAGGGGCACAAGGGTCACCACGAGAGGCTCCTAAAGCGACTATACTCTTCTCAGCTGCAAGGAGGCGCTCCTTGAGGAGGTCAATGGTGAGCGTGGTGGGGCAAAGGGAGAGGAAGTGGTCCCTGACCGAGCGAAGGGAGTCAGGGAGCCGGGTAACGAGGTAGTAGAGAGTGATGTACATAGGGGGGGGGTTCTTGGCGCAGAACTCGGCAGGAAGCGCAGCGCGGTAGCGGGTGTCACTAGTGCGGAGGTGCGTAATGAGGACAGTGACTGTGGCAAAAGCAGCTAGGTCAGGGAAGAGGTACGGCAGCATGAGGCGGCTAAGGGCAGCAGTGGCAGGGGAGGAGTAGCGCGCAACAACAACGTCGTACAAAGTTCTAGCGGTCTTGTACTACCTAAAGTGCGCGCGCTCAGCAGACGGCGGGTGACTACGAACAGCAAGACAGGCAGCAGCATCGCGCGTGGTCCACTGCGAGCGAACAGCACTGTCAGCATCGGCAGCAGGTGCAGCAGAGACGCCGGACATGTGATCGAACAGTGAGACTCCGTCCTTAGAATCGCACTGCAGAAACAGCTGCAGATCATCGACCCAGACCTAGAAATCAACTGCCCGACCCTCAGCATCGAAGGTAAATACATTAGGGGTAGCCATGACAGCAGTCGCAGTAGCAGTAGCAGTAGCAGCAGCAGCAGCAGGAGCAGCGCGACTCGGCAGGGCAGCGCGGCTCGGTAGGGCGGCGCGGCTCGGCAAGGCTGCGTAGCTCGGCAGGGCGGCGCGGGTGCGGCGGTGCGCTTACCAGGGTGGGATCAGGGTAGGGCCGCAACTGGAAGGGCAGGGCCGCGGCGCGCCGGCAGGTCAGGGCCGTGTCAGGCAGGGCCGCGACGAGGCGGCAGTGTAGGGCGGCGGCGCGGGCGCAGGGTAGAGCCGCAACAACGGCGGCTGTAGGCAGGGCCGCAACAGCGGCGGTAGGCAGGGCCGCAACTCCGGCCGTAGGAAGGGCCGCTGCGGCGGCAGGCAGGGCCGCGATGGCGCCAGGCAGGGCCGCAACGGCTCCAGGCAGGGCCGCGACGGCAGGGCGGCAGGGGCCGCGACGAGAGGGCAGGGCCGCTACGGCAGGGCGGCAGGGCCACAACGGTAGGGCGGTAGGGCCGCGACGGCGTCAGGGAGGGCCGCGACAGCAGGGCGGCAGGGCCGCAACGGTAGGGCGGCAGGGCCGCGACAGCAGGGCAGGGCCGCGACGGCGTCAGGGAGGGCCGCGACGGTAGGGCGGCAGGGCCGCGACGGCAGGGCGGCAGGGCCGCGACGGCAGGGGCCGCGACGGCAGGGGCCGCGACTGCAGGGGCCGCGACGGCAGGGGCCGCGACCGCTTCAGGCAGGGCCGCGACGGCAAGGCCGCGACGGTAGGGTAGGCGCACGGGGCGCAGGTGAGGCAGGCGCGAGGCGAGCGACAGGGCAGGAGCGCGCTTCGGGCAGGGCATGAATTTTTTTTTTTAAGTGGTGGACCCAAAAAAACGGTCCCACTAGGGAACCCGCTCTATACCATGTGAGAAAAGTATGAGAAATGATGTGAACTAGAAACGAGATGGGTACAAGTAGGAAAACCTAGACAAGCTGTACCCCATAATGTCTACCCCACTATAGCCTACACATGCTATATCATATATGTTTGACAAACCCTTGTGTTCTATCCTAAAACCCTAGGTTCTGTTGGGCTGAGTGCCCCTTAGGATCTTTGGTAGGGTTAAACTCTGGGTAGAGTGATGTAGTAGCGGAAGCGTTTAGATGAAGTCCTTGAACCACCTTGCGCTGGTATGTGAGGGCAAAGTAAGTTGATTAAAACAAGCAAGTACAAAGGTTTATATAAGAGTACAAAGAATACGAAGAGATATAATTAAACTGTTTTACTGTTGCGGTTCGATACAGTGCGACTCGGGCAACTGCTCAATGTCGAGTCAGTTGTGTGTCCTTGCTGTCGCGCTGCATTTGTCAAGTCAAAGGTCGCTGACCTTTGACTTTCGCGTAACCTCCAGCGGTTACTTCAACCTCCGAGGGTTGACTCGCTGGTGCCTCGATATGCTCTGCTTCGCTTGTGCCTTGGTGTTTCGACACGACAGAGGCGCTCAAGATTGTTTGTTCCCAACAGGCTCCTAGTCCTAGGTTATGCTTAGTATTCTGACATGGTATCAGAGCGAGGTTTCTCCTAGGACCTGTCTCATAGGGCCCACCACTACGCTTCCGCTGATGGGCCTCTCTGCTGCCCGTCGCACGCCCGTGGCGCGCGTCGATTTTCTGCTCGTCGCGCGCCCCGGGGTGCGGCGATTTCGTCCTCGTCGCGCGTCTGCCCGTCGGGCCAGCGGTGCATGGTTTGGTGAAACAGTGCGCGTGAAGTCGGCGAAGCCCCGTTAGCTGTAACGGGCGAACAACGGCTGCTGCTGTACGCGATGTTGCCGGATGCGCTAAGGAATATCGAGAAAAATCCTTACACCACTACCTGTAAACTACACTCTATTTGAATTCTTTCATGTCCTGTGCATTCTCACGGCAATCTCTAGGTGAAAAAAATGTTGAATTGTGGTTTGTGAAGGTGTTCGTACTGCGTGCTCTAGTTTTATTGGACGGAGGACCTTTCCCAATCATGCTCTACTCGTAGCCTTCTACCTAGTTTCTATTCGAGGGTGATGAGTGACGAGCAGAAAGAGAATGTGCTGGTGCGGCCCCTTGCCTGGCATTTGATCACTGCAGGATTGAGTGAAATACAGGTCTAGCATTAGTCCAAAGCTAAAACCACTACTCGGTTGTTTTTCTATGCTCATACTGGTACCACATATGCCATGGTACCATAATAAATTATATACACCAGATACTATGTACTGATGCCTACTGCCATGTCATTATGCATGTCTAGAGAACGCAATCAAAACACACAGAAAATATACAGTGCTGTCTACACTACAGTATCATCGGAAGGCACACACTTCTTTAGCTCACGGTCGTACATAAACCCCGGTGCACAAACAGGCACGCACGCCGTTGTGTTGGGGTCGTAGTAAAACCCAGCCGGGCAGCTGTTGTCATCCGCCTTCAAAACTTTTCCTGCTGCCCAAGCCACCGCCTGCTGCCACCACGTACGCTTGGGCTCGTGGAAAGAACCCTGGAGCAAGGGAAGCATAAGCAAACACAACAACAGAAGAGAGTGAATCTTATTACACGCCTAAAAAGCGTCGCTGGAACAAGACGACAGTCACAGCAGGCGAAAGAAGAGACAGCAGGGACAGAAACAAAAAAATGGTTGCACATGATCCGGATTCAGAGTCGAGAAAAAAACGTTATGATCTGCCAGCTTCAAGGTATTAAGCCCGCAGTGGCCGTTGCAGCAAGCAATCAACTGCTCCCTCTGATACTGCTGCAGGTTGGACAAGTCCGCAGCCTTAGACTGACCGAGATTATTGGACCACGTGAGGGGCTCAGGTCAGGTCAGACACTCACCTTAGGCAGCACACAGGAGTCCAGGGACGCATTCTACAAGTACCCCTGGTCGCACTTGTGGTTGGGCATGCGCCGCCCGCCCTTGAGCACGTAGCCTTCCCACCAAGGTACTTCCATTCCCCTCACAGTCAACCCGAGACACTCAAGCACTCACCTGAGGCAGCACACAGGCATCAAGCGAGGCGTTATACGAGTACCCCTGGTCACACTCGTGGTTGGGCACACACCGCCCGGCCTTGAGCACATAGCCCTCCCAATAGGAAGCATTTGTTCCCCTCGCACTCAACCCGAGACACTCAAATGCTCACCAGTGGCAGCACGCAGGCATCAAGCGAGGTGTCATACGAGTACCTCTGGTCGCACTCGTGGTTGGGCACACACCGCCCGCCCTTGAGCATGAAGCCCTCGCCACGTGCAAATCCCAGCCAAGGCAACCAAGGCAGCAATGCGCCACAATCTTAGCACCACTCCACACCTGAGGCGCCTACTCAAGCACTCACCTGTGGCAGCACGCAGGCATCGAGAGACGCATCATAAGAGTACCCCTGGTCGCACTCGTGGTTGGGCACACACCGCCCGCCCTTGAGCACGAAGCCTTCCCCGCACGCGGGCATGATGCGCACGCACGACTTGGTGTCATAGTCGTATGAGTACCCCGGCTTGCAGATGTACACGCATGCTTGGGCATTTGGGTCCAGGTACTTCCCGGGGCCGCATGGGTTGGAGGGATAGACACGCTCTGCTAGAACCTTGACCAGCCTGTGGGGGCGAGACATGGAAAAAAAGAGAAGGGGGATGGAATGCGGTGTTGTTTCTGGGGTTGCTGGGGCCGAACCCAGCCCAATCTGGGTAATTGGTGTGCACGCGGCGCACGCACGCACGACTTGGTGTCGCAGTCGTATGAGTACCCCGGCTTGCATATGTACACGCACGCCTGCACGTTTGGGTCCAGGTACTTGCCGGGGCCACATGGGTTGGAGGGATAGACACGTTCAGCTAACACATTAACCAGCCTGCAGGGGAGAACACAGGTAGGGGAAGGGAAGGGGTGAACAATCACGGCTTGCAGATATGCACGCACGCCTGCACGTTCGGATCCAGGTACTTGCCGGGCCCACATCGGTTGGAGGGGTAGAAACGCTCAGCTAGCACTTTAACCAGCCTGGATTAGACGGGGGAGATGTGCGGAAATATATGGACGGCTGAGATGTATCAGAACATGTTGGGCTCGCACGGGTAGGAGGGATACACGCGCTCAGCTAATACCTTGACCAGCCTGGAAGGAAAGAGACGGACGGGAATGGTGGGTGAGATGGAAACCGGGGTTGTGCCTCGGGAAGAATACGAGGTCCTTGACGAGGGTGGAGGTACATTCCGAGCCCGAACGACTTGAAGAGGTACACGCGACCAGCTTGTGGGCAAGCGAGCGGGGAAGGGGGAATGAGTGGACGGATTGAAGATAAGGAATCCCAGGTTGTGTCTAAAAAAAGTATGAGGAAATGCGTGTGCGTGACAGGCGACACGACGTGCGAGATTAAAACGGGTTGTTGGGTTACTTAGTTTGGATTGTATAAATACATACCATGCAGGAACGGCAGTCCAGTCAACGAAAGCTTGAGAAGTCATGGCGCCGCCCCGTTGCCGACATCTTTGGTCTGATTTTCGCCCAACACCCTTCGGTTTTGACTGCAATAAAGAAGTCTGAGGAAGGCGAAACGGCGCTAGATTAACTCGGCAGGAAGCTGTCCCGGTTACAAAGGTAGTCCCGAGGGATCTAGAGGAAAGACTAGTGGGTGGTCGCGCTAATACGACAGTCGTGGCAGCCATGGATGAGAAAGGAGAGGAAGCGCGAGGGATACTGTATGAAACTGACGAGGAGCCAAATTCTGGATGCAAAAAATGGATGGGTGATTGGTAAACGAATGTAGGAAAGCTTGAAAGCAAGGGGGGAGGGGAGCTGAAATGGGGAGATGGAAGAATGGAACAAACGGATCATAGAGGAGTTGAAAAAAGAAAGGCAGGAATGTGATGGTGTATAAAGGAAATGTAAGGAGAAGGTGGGGGAGGGGAAGGAGGGTGTGGTTCTGCCCTAACTACATTTTCTGGTGCCGATAGCGAAGATGAACGAAAACAAAAATAAAAGGGTAACCAGAAACATGTGTCGCTTCTCTGTGAACTTCCAACTGGTCAGGCTGAGACGAATCAGGAGTGCACACGAACTTGCGAGTCATTCTTGTAACAGGCAATGCGAAGCAAGTAGCGCCAAACCCCGAATCAAGTTCTTCCCTTCCGACTGCATCTTCACGGATTTCAAACCAGCAGACTTTTTTTGTAGCTCCTAGGTGTACATTCATTTTCACACCTCCTAGGTCAACATTTGCTCGGTCCATTTATTGATCATCAGTGCATCCTCCCCAACGTGCAGCGCTCAGAGCATTGGCCTAAGGCTTTGCTGGAGGGAGGATACCATCGAATCTTTAAAGCGGATATTTTTTTAGGGGCTGCATATATCATCCAGCTGCTACCATGTCGCAAGGTCAGCGGCTGACTGTTGTGCCTACTGTGACTGTTTTGACGGTCATCAAGGCCCGGCTTATTGGTGCTACGAAAGGACATCAGCTGCTGAAGAAGAAGAGCGATGCGTTGACGATGCAGTTCAGGCAAATATTGAAGAAGATCATGGAGACGAAGGAGAGTATGGGTGACATCATGAAGTCTTCAGCCTTCGCGCTGACTGAAGCAAAATACGCTGCTGGAGACAGGGTCAAGCACGTTGTTTTTGAGAACGTCGATCAGGCCATTATCAAGGTTCGCGCGAAGCAGGACAATGTCGCTGGCGTGAAGCTGCCGAAATTTGAGCATTTCGCCGAGGCAGGCGACAGCAAGAACGATCTGACTGGTTTGGGTCGAGGAGGACAGCAGATCCAGCTTGCGAGGTCGGCATTCGTCCGTGCTATTGAGTTGCTGGTTGAACTGGCATCTCTGCAGACATCCTTCTTGACACTGGACGAGGCCATTAAGACAACCAACCGCCGTGTCAATGCGCTTGAGAATGTGGTGGTGCCTCGCCTGGAGAACACGATTTCGTACATCAAGGGAGAGCTTGATGAGTTGGAGCGTGAGGACTTTTTCCGCCTGAAAAAGGTGCAGGCTTACAAGAAGAGGGAGGCTGACAAGCTGAAGAAGTTGAAGGAGGAAAGAGAAGCCGAGGAGGCCAAGGGCCCCAGGGCGATTGCGGACAAGTCCTGGTCTGCAACAGCCACCGAAGAGGATGTTATCTTTTAGTATGCAGCTTCGCGTGTGCATCTTCTCGTGTGCAGTGCTTGATAGGCTGCTCCTTCAATATTGGGTGTCCTGGAGCATCAGTGAGCGGCAATGCGCAGCACCCGCAGAGGCCTTGTGATTGCAACCGAAGGAATGCTCAGTATTGCAGTGGCTCTGTGCTTATACAATTAGAGGACTAAAATGGTCTGTGTAAAGTCTTGAAGAGTTGATCTGACCCTGTTTTCATTCTTGTTTTGACACCAGTTCATAGCGAGTACTAAAGATTCTTTGACCTCAGCGCCTTGGAGCATTGCACGCTGGAAGTGTCGAGGCAGAACGCAGCATGTGATTGGTCAGTTCGACTCCCAAACACGTCAGTCTTGCCTCCAGACAGCAAGGCTGTCCCCGCTTGTATCAGCTCCAGCAGGTTTAGTTAGTTTTTCTCCTTGTCAGCCTAGATGTTAGCACACGTGGCAGTCTCGGGATGTATGTCTAAGTCCCTTCACACTTCGCCCTGGACCTCGTGTTGCGCTCTTCGTCCTTGCTTCTTATTCAAAGTCTTGCTTTCTCGGAATCCACGTTATCCGCGTCATCCTCGTAGTTCTCGAAGCGCAAGGCGGGACGCGCTCCTCCTCGCCACTATCTCCCAAAAGCTCTCCTCCGGTCTTGGTTGCCGAGTTCGCGAATTCGCCCGATTCAGGTGGAACAGCAGTTCCATAGCAACACAATGATTACCGTTATTGCTCTATTGTAAGCACAGAAGCTGGGACTGAGCCTGTGCCAACCTTCGAACATCCCAAAATCACTCGTACTACTCGTGTCGTCTTCGCTTACACGGCCTGCCATCTCTCTCCACCATCCCACCGCCGTCTCCGTGTCCCGTAGCCACAGTCGTCTCAGCCCGTGCAGTCGTCTCTGCTCGTGCAGTCTCCGTCGATATCCCAGCCAGTTCCGCGCCTCGCTATCCTGGTCATCCGAACCAGCAATCTAGTCAGCCAGTCTCGTAATCTCATTGTCCCCAGGTCTTTTTCTTCCTCTCAAACGTTTGAGCGAACACCGGCGAGATGGCGACTACCTCGATGGCGACAGCCTTCGCCTCGCCTTTCGCCGCAACCCCCTCGTCCGCATCCCTTCGCCGGTCCACGCAGCAGAGGTTCCGTTCCAGTTTTAGCTCGTCTCGCCTCGCACCCATCCTGCAACGACACGTGGACCTGCGCCACGTAGACCACGCCGGCGCGGCCCACGTCAGCAGACCGTCCGGCGGCGGCGCTCTCGTGTGCACGGCCATGTCGAAGCGCCACCACCACCACCATAAGACGCAGCAGGAGCGGGCGGAAGAGGAGGGGGAGGAAGAGAGGAAACAGTCAGACGAAGCGGGAGCGTCTGGTGGGGTGGTGGAGACGACAAGAGGGGGGACAGCTGTGGCGCAAAAGACGAGGCTCGTCAATCTCACGTGGGTCCTCCGTTTTGAAATGCCTAGGAGAGTTTGGATGGAAGGTTTGAGGATCCAGTGTAGCTGTGAAGGGTGATTGGTTGTTTCCTGGCTCATACGCGTTTGAGTCTCTCTTTGCAATCTTTATTATCTTCATTCTCTCCTATCGTTCCTTTCCCTTTGCGTCACTTCCTCTCTTCACCTGTTCATCACCCCCACTCCCTGCGGGGAGTGACATTTGAGTCACTCTTTTTCGCCACTTCCTTTTACCCCCTGTTCATCCCGTCTTGCAGGGTGCACGGAGTGACGGATGAGTCGGACCTCCCCTGGTGAGTCTGTGACTCCATGGCATGGGATGGGATGGCATGGCATGGCATGGGATGGATGGGATGGGATGGGATGGGATGGGATGGGATGGGATGGGATGGGATGGGATGGGATGGAATGGGATGGGATGGGATGGGATGGGATGGGATGGGATGGGATGGGATGGGATGGGATGGGATGGGATGGGATGGGATGGGATGGCGTGGGATGGCATGGCAGTTTTTTAGAAGAATCAAGTTCTCAACACTCTCTGTTTTGCGCAAATTTTCACGACCCCATGTCTCGACTCAAAAGCATGATAATTTGTGCCTGTGTCTCACTCTTTCCCCGACCTTTCCCACCATTTCCCTGCCTCCTCGTCCCACCCCCGCTCCCCCCACCCTCCCTGTTCCCGCCCGCCTTTCAGGTTGGAAGATCAGTTGTTACAGCTGCCAGGGGTCACGTCCGTCCAAACCCTGCCGCCCACCCTGCGCACGGGCGGGCTGAGGGGCGGGAAGGTGGGGGTGGTGGTGGAGGCGGAGAGGGGGGTGGCAGTGAGAGATTTGGTTGCGGCAGTGCATGGGGTGGAAGAACGGCTGTTGGCTCTCCCGTTTAGATCACACTCGTGGATGTGGAGGTGAGTGAATGCAAATGTATATGCTTGTGCATGCGCAACTACATAAGGTAGTGGTACGATGGAGTGGTGGTGGAGGCGGAGAGGGGAGTGGCAGTGAGGGACCTTGTCGCTGCAGTGCATGGGGTGGAAGAGAGGCTGCTGGCACTCCCGTTTAGATCACACTCGTGGATGTGGAGGTGAGTGGGTGGAACCTGGTCTCCCTTTTATGAGTCTTCACTTGATCCCAAGAGAGAAGTGAGTCGAAGAGTGGTGGTGGAGGCGGAGAGGGGAGTGGCAGTGAGGGACCTGGTCGCTGCAGTGCATCGGGATGAGGAGAGGTTGCTGGCTCTTCCTTTCAGATCACACTCGTGGATGTGGAGGTGCGCAAATCAAGGGCTGATTTCAACTGCTTTCAAAAGGATCAGTGCTTGTTGCTTGCACTCGCAGTGGATGGGTATCCACTCTCATGTGTAGTCTGCCTGTATCTTATCTCTCTCATTTCCACCCATTCTCCTGTCAATCTCTCTCTCTCTCGAACGGTCCGTCGTATTAGTAGCAGCAATGGACAGGCAAGGCTCGGCAACATCTCAGAGCACAACAAGGCAAGGCTACTATAATCAACATCTCTCTCTCTCTCTCTCTCTCTCTCTCTCTCTCTCTCTCTCTCTCTCTCTCTCTCTCTCTCTCTCTCCCTCTCGTTTGATAAGTCGATTTTTGAGTTGACTCAAAAAGTTGACTAAAAAATCATCGTCTTTCTCTCACTCCCACCCATTCTCAAGTCAATCTCTCTCGTTCCAACCCGTCGCCTCTCCATCAGGGGTCACCGCATTCTCTATGCCGTGGCAGGGTGTGGCAAACCCGTCATTTCAAGTCTGCTGCCTGTGCATCTCTCTGCCCCATCCACACATTACGCTCTAACATTTGCCACACTCCCCACCCTTCCCCACCGTTCTCCACACTTCCGCAGGGGTCATCGCATTCACTATGCTGTGGCAGGGTGTGGCAAACCCGTCATCCTTGTGCATGGCTTTGGTATGCTCTCGGACCCCCCCCTTTCGAGGTGACTCTAGATGTACTCGTATCACAACAAACAGGAATGCGTGCATCGTTGCACTACAGCGTGACAAAAAATGACGCTGCCTACTCATGCACCGCTTAGGATAAGCGATGTAGTGTGAGCGGATCCGGATGAGTACGGCCTAAGGCCGTGCAAGGTGATATGGGGCTCCTGATAAAGATCACCTTGCACGGCCATGGGCCGTACTCATCCAGTTTCGCCCACACTGCATCGCCTATTCTAAGCGGTGCATGAGGAGGCAGCGCCATTTTCTATCACACTGCAACGACGGCTCTTAGATCCTGCTTTCAAACAGCCAGCACTTTCAGTTGCTTGTCCTTCCCACCCCTTTTCCAACCCTCTTCTTCCCCTCTCCCTCTTGCTCCTCCTCCCAACACTACAGGAGGTAGTGCAGGGCACTTTCGCAACCTTATAGCCCATCTCGCAGTCCACCATAAGGTGTACGCCGTCGACCAGCTCGGGATCATATAGTGCCATTGCTGACATGTTCCTCACCCCCTTCATTGACTTTGTCCTTCACCCTCTTCCTCTCTTCGTTCTTCCTATCTGCACTTTCCCCCCTCCTCTCTCCCCTCCCCCCCTGGCACCCCTCGTCCTGCTTTCTCCAATTACCACAGGAGGCAGTGCAGGGCACTTCCGCAACCTTATAGCGCATCTCGCAGACCACCATAAGGTGTATGCTGTGGACCTCTTGGGATTCGGGGACTCTGACAAGCCGGGTGGCATCGAGTATGGACCCGAGCTGTGGGCTGACATCATCAACGGTAGGTGCTGACATCATCAACGGTAGGTGCTGACATCATCAACGGTAGGTGCTGATATCATGGTCATCATCTTGCAGACCACCATAAGGTGTATGCCTGGGCTTTGGGGACTCTGACAAAGCCGGGCGGCATTGAGTATGGACCTGAGCTCTGGGCTGACATCATCAACAGTAGGTGCTGACATCATCAACGGTGGGTGCTGACAACATAAACGTGAGGGTCTATCACAATCAACGCAGGTGCTGGCGTGCATCATCCACAGTAGTGGTTGGGCATCTGGCAGATCACCAGCATCTGGCAGATCACCAGCATCTGGCAGATCACCATAAGGTGTACACCGTTGACCGGCTAGGGTTTGGCGACTCTGACAAGCCGGGCGGCATCGAGTACGGGTCAGAGCTCTGGGCTGACATCATCAACGGTAGGTGCTGACATCATCAACGGTAGGTGCTGTCATCATCGACAGTGGGTGCTGACATCATCATCATCATCATCTTGCAGACTACCATAAGGTGTATCCTGTTGACTTTGTTGACCGGCTAGGGTTTGGCGACTCTGACAAGCCGGGCGGCATCGAGTACAGGCCTGAGCTCTGGGCTGACATCATCAACGGTAGGTGCTGACATCATCAATGGTAGGTGCTGACATTATCAAGGTAGGTGCTGACATCATCAAGGTAGGTGCTGACATCATCAACTGCAGGTGCTGACACTGTCTTTCCAGTCACAGCCCCCTCCTCTTTCTCCTTCCTCTCCTCACTCTTGTTTCTCACCTACGTCACCCCTCTCACCTCTCTCACTGCTGCTCCTTGCTCTCCCTGCTTTCCCCCATGTCCACCCCGCATCACCCCCCTCCCTCCTACCTACAGATTTCATGCTCGAGTTTTCACGGACGAGCCTGCTGCAGTGCTGATTGGCGATTCCATAGGCTCCCTCACCTCGCTCACTGCTGCCGCTTCCCGTTCCTGCCCCGCTTCCAACCCTTTTCTTGCCCATGGCCCCCCATTCACTCACAGATTTCATGCTCGAGTTCACGGACGAGCCTGCTGTGCTGATAGGCAACTCTATCTGCTCTCTCACCTCACTCATTGCTCTCTCACTGCTGTTCCCTGCTCCCCTCACTCCTTCGCCCCCCTCCCTCCTACCTACAGATTTCATGCTCGAGTTCACGGACGAGCCAACAGTGCTTATAGGCAATTCCATCGGCTCCCGCACCTCCCTCACTGCTGCCACCTCCTTCCTTCCTACCCCCCATACTGACCCCCCCCCCCCCCCCCCCCCGCCCCCCCCCTGTGCAGACTTCATGCTCGAGTTCACAGATGAACCCGCCGTGCTCATTGGCAACTCCATTGGCTCCCTCACCTCCCTCACTGCTGCTGCCTCCTCTGCTGCGCCTCTCTCGCTCTCAGACGGGGAGGGGCAGAGCGAAGGCGAGGGGGAGGGGAGCATTGTGCGGAGGGCAGAGAAGGGGAAGATCAGGTGAGTGATGTTTGCTTGTTTTTTGCATCTCAATGCTTGGTGTGTTTAATCCTTTTAAACTCTATTTTTTTACTGTTGCCAGTAAAAAAAAAATAGAGAATGGATGAAAAGAACCTTTTTTTATAATATACAGATGCAAATTGGCTCACATAAAAGGGCACTCTGGTTGAGTATTCTCAGCAGCTCTTTTGAACTGTCATGTGTAAAACCTGTCCCGTGTACTCCAGGGGTTTGGTGGTGCTGAACGTGGCTGGAGTCATGAACAGGAAGGGGCTGATGCGCGATGATGCGCTCCAGGTTAGCTGGTCGCAGCCAAGTAGCATCAAGTAGCAGCATGCGTCTCATCGTCTTCCCTTTCTCCTCCCCCCTTCTCCCTTCCCCCGTCGCTCACTCCACCCCCCCAGGGGTCTGGTGCTGCTGAACGTGGCGGGAGCAATGAACAGGAAGGGGCTGATGCGAGATGATGCGGTGCTGACAGCGCTGTCTTGGTCCAGTAACCATGCTTTTTCGTTTTTCGTATACCCTTCCTTGCCCCGTTCCATTAGGGGTCTGGTGCTGCTGAACGTGGCGGGAGCAATGAACAGGAAGGGGCTGATGCGAGATGATGCGGTGCTGACAGCGCTGTCTTGGTCCAGTAACCATGCTTTTTCGTTTTTCGTATGCCCTTCCTTGCCCCGTTCCATTAGGGGTCTGGTGCTGCTGAACGTGGCGGGAGCAATGAACAGGAAGGGGCTGATGCGGGACGATGCGGTGCTGACAGCGCTGTCGCCCATGTTTGTGGCCATTGAGTATCTGCTGCAGAAACCCAAAATTGCCTCATTTCTCTTTGAGCGGTGAGTGTGTTGATTTGGATGTGAGTGGAATACAGTCCAAGCTATGTTTATTATGTCTATGTTTTGTTGTCTATAGCTGTTCTTTCATGTCTTTTTTAATCATATCCTCGTTATTGCAGGTTTCGCAACAAGGCCAATGTGCGCAAGATACTCAGTGAGCAGGTGTACCGAGATGGCTCACAAGTCTGCGATCGGCTGGTAAGTGCTGGCCTTACCCATTTTTCCTGTTTTTTTTTTCCATGGGATTGAGGGTACATTCCTGTGTCATCATTTGTGTCTCAATCCCCTTTTCCCGAGTCGCGTCGAAACATTTTGTCAATCTCGCATCACAAAAAATGAATGTATCGCGAAACTAGGCAACTAGGCGAAATGCACAGTTGGGTTCATTTGATTGGGTGACACAAATGATTGTACACCCGTTTCTTCAACCGCTTGGCTGGGGTGTGGCATCGACGCGCGGGATTGTTTCCCGCGCGAATTTGGCATTGCAGGCTGTCCAGGTGCATTGACGTTTCGAACCGCGCGCGATTTTTTAACAATGATGAGTCGGTTCACAATTCGTTGGCGACGTCAGCGCATTTCACGCTGACCAATAAAAAATGCAGTAATGGTCGCTGAAGGGCGACTCGCATTTGGGACGCACTACAGTTTATGTTGTTTTTAGGTGTCACAAAGCGATTGAGAGATTTGTGTCGACACAGGAATGTACCCTGAGTCTATCTATATTCAACATTACACCATGCTTTCTTCTTTTTTGCATCAGATTGATTCCTCTTCATGTTTTTTATTTTCCTCAAAACTTTCCCCAGGTGGACATTCTGTACGAGCCATCCACCCATGACGGTGCTCTAGACGTCTTTGTCAAGGTCTTCACCGGCGATCCAGGTCAGCATTGGGAGGGTTCAGGTCAGCATTGGGAGGGTTCAGGTCAGCATTGGGAGGGACCAGGTCAGCATTGGGAGGGACCAGGTCAGCATTGGGAGGGACCAGGTCAGCATTGGGAGGGACCAGGTCAGCATTGGGATGGGAGGGACCAGGTTAGCATTGGGACGGTCCAAATCAGTATGCTGCTGCTTCACCATGCTACCCTCTCGTTCTGCCTTCTCATTTTGCCTCAGTATTACCACTAGCTTCCTCTTGTCCTTCCTACCCTGTCCACATTCCGCCATCCGGAGGAGCTAGTGTATGTGCCCATGCTCGTGCTGTGCTGCTGGTGCTGCTGTAGATGTGCAGCTGATTCGCCACCCTCTCCTCCCACCCTCTCTTCCTACGCTTTCTTCCTACCCTCCCCCGTCCACAGGTCGCCATCCAGAGGAGCTGGTGGAGATGGTGGATGTGCCCATGCTCGTGCTGTTCGTGTTTCCGGTGCTGCTTGTGCTGCCTGGCTATGCAGCTGAATTACTGTCCTTTCTTCTCCCTACCCTGTCCACAGGTCGCCATCCAGAGGAGCTGGTGGAGATGGTGGATGTGCCCATGCTCGTGCTGTGGGGGGACAAGGACCCCTGGACGCCCATCGATGGCAAGGTGTGTTGTGATGGGTGTTGTGCGGTGCTGTGCGGAGCATGTCGGTGCGCTTCTGTGTTTCGGATGTGCCCATGCTCGTGCTGGGGGTGACAAGGACACTTGGACGCCCATTGATGGCAAGGTGTGTTGCAAGGGGTGGGGTGTGGGTGCTGTGCGGTACTCTGCGGTGCATGTCGTTGGATGTGAGTAAGCTTATGATGTGCCCATGCTCGTGCTGTGGGGGGACAAGGACCCCTGGACGCCCATCGATGGCAAGGTGTGTTGCAAGGGGTGGGGCGTGGGTGCTGTGCGGTGCTCTGCGGTGCATGTCGGTGCATGTCGGTGCGGTTATGATGTGCCCATGCTGGTGTTGTTGGGGGACAAGGACCGCTGGACGCCCATCGATGGCAAGGTGCGTGCTTTGAATGGCGATGTTGATTATGTCTGGAGCGTTTGTGTTGAGTGGCAGTGCGTTGAGAATGCATGATGAGCTTTAGCAGCTGGATGCACTTTGTGATAAGATATGTTTCCGTATCCTGTGCTTGGCCAGGTGGCTCTGCTGTTTAAGCGATTAGAGGAGCAAAGGGGAAATGACAAGGTGGCAGTGGTACCGCTCCCAGATGTTGGTCATTGCCCGCATGATGACAGGCCTGAGATTGCTGCCTCCCATATTTTGCCATGGCTTGAGAAACTGGACGGTGATAGTTCAGAGTAGACAAAAGAATGACAGAATGTAAGTGTTTTGTTGCCACTTGTTGAATTGGTCGGTATCTCTGGTGCACAGTTTCATTGATAAATAGAAAGACAATTGGATAAATAAGGTTGCTTGCACTGCTTTTCAGGTGTAGCACAATTAAATTCTTGGACTGAATCTTGTCCAACAATTTCTTCATGACAGTACCCTGGCATAATCTGGGCTCTGCTATGAGGTTTTCAAACTACTGTAGGTTCCCAGGAATACAGCTTCACAAGCTTGTGACAGAACCAACTTTATTACACCAACAGATTCTATGCAGCAGAAGATCAGAGAAATAACAAACCCCTCTAACGCAGCCTACTAAAGAACCATCGATAACTTCAAACCTCAGCCTACTAGTTCCTTTAGTGCCACAGCTGAAGCAGTGCATTGGTCATCACACCAAGGCCTGCAACAAACCACTTGGCAAAAACCAACCACCCGGCGTCATTGGGTCCTGGCTTCATTCCCTTGGCGAGAAGATGGCCAAGAGCGATAAAGATGAAGACACCAGCAGCCATGCCATTTCCGAAACCCTTGATCCACTCCCTTGCCACCTTGCCGCTGGCGGAGTCAAGAGCCAGGCCAATAGCAATGCCAGTAGGAGCAACAAGGGAAGCCCCTAAGGCATAAAAGAAGTGGTTGAGACCACTGCGGCGTGTGTCCTGTACACGAAGAGTGACACCAAGGGCCATGCCCTCGAAAAACTGCCAACACACAGAAGAATCAAAAGTTAATTTCTTACTCGCACCTAGCATGCGGAATTTCGAGTGAATGTGTCATGATTTAGTACTTTTGAGCTACCAACTTTCACGTCCCAACTTACCTCATTCACACCGATTTGTGCAGTCATGGACCAGACTTTGGAGACAGTCTGTGCAAGTCCGACAGCAATGCCCTCAAAGAAAGCATGGAAGCAGAGGCCGAAGAGCACGAGGATGACATCGACAATGGTGAGAGCCTGAATGTCAACCTTGACAACAGCAGTCTCAGCATCTGCATCAACCACCTTCTTCTCTCCAACTCCCATTGCGCCAGCAATGGTGGGTCCCAGTTCGTCCTCCTGCAAACATAAAACGAGCGTTCAGCGAATCAAGAATCCAAAAACCACGGCATGTGACACGCAGACATTGAGTATTCCAAGACTTCACTTGCAATGAGGAGTGTATTGGAAATGACGCTTACGTTATCATCGAGAGAGCCCGTGCGCTTTATCCACACAGACTTGACGATGAGGTCGCACACCCACGTCAGGTAAATACCCATCACGATGACAAGCATGCCGTACGGATAGTCTGCAACAGAAAACAACTAAGTGCTTCTTAGTTCAGAGCCTCTTGTGACAAGTGATTGATAATCCTAGAAGAAAATACGGTTCCGTTCAAAATATACGGATAGCGGCGCACTCACCGTCTCCTGCCAGCTCCTCGAACTCCTCGAACGTCTCCACAGCGAGGTATAGGAGGGACATGCCGATGAAGAGGCCAGTGGAGAAGAGAATACCGAACTTGAGAAACAGCGGGTGCACGGGGATGAAGTACGGAACCCACACGCCCAAGAAACTGCACGCGAAAAAGACGAAGATGGCGCCGGCCTTGTTGGCATTGAGAGTCTTGGTGTCATCAGGTTGCTGTCAAGCGCAACGATAAGGCAAAAAGGAAGAAGAAGCACATACGACGAACGTTAGGCCGCTTGTCGATCCACAACTGTCAAAAACTGGACGGAAGACATGAGTCGAAAAGCTTACTTCGTTTGGGTCGGATTTAGGCGTGGCAAACGCGACGGAAGCAAAGGCTGCGACGCAAACGAGAACGAGCAGAAGTCTCTTCCAGGAAGCCATGGCTGACTGGTGCTTGTGAAGGTGGCTAAGACGAGTCGGAAGGAATGAGGAGGGTCGTGAGAGTTGAGTGGAGAATGAAATCAAGGCGAAAGGGGTGAGAATGGTTTCGTTCTAACGATAAACAGTTAGGAGTAGCAGATATAAAATCTGCAGGTAGATGCAAGTCTAACCAAATGGCGCTTCTTTTGTATCACAACAGAGGGGACTAGGGTCGGCGCGCAGGGGGTCAGAAGGTCTCTCTCTCATCCCGCATACTTTGGCGGCCGACGTAGGATATAGGGGAGGTTGCATTCGGTGTGGATTACTACTTCTGAACGCAAGGCTGTCCAAGAGGATTGGTGACATGGCTGCATTGCTGGAGATAATTGGCGATTGCCTTTCCTGGAGCGCGTCCACTCTACTCGACGAGCTTGCTGGATGTTATTGCTTGGGAACTCTAGCGCTGCAGTCACGCTGTAAGAATGTGTAGAAGGCATGGATCAAATGTGGGTCACTTCAACTGGGTGCAGTGCTGCTGACGAGGCAGGTGGAAGCTTAGGTTTAGTTGAGACAAGACCGAAAAGTCCGAAAGGTATGAGAGGTGGAAACCCGGGTGCGCAATGGTGTAAAGCGGTGGAAACCTCAAACCGCGTCAAGCGAACACTTCAAGAGAAGGTATGAACCGCGCCCGAAAAGCTTTGATCGGACCTCGTATTTGGAAACCTGGCTGGCGGCGTCAAATGTTGTGTAGGAATCGTTGGTCAGGTCTGGCTCTCCACTCCAACACACCCCACCACTTCAGTATGACTTTACTCATCTCACCCCACAGCACCCCATTACACCCCCAATCCCTTTTCAAACCAGACCTCAAATCTCCCACAACACCACCACCACCTCCTACTAAACGGATTCCTACATAACACAGGAAACGACAGAACCGTAGCAAACCTGTGATTCTCACTCCCGAGCCGAACATCTCCAAGCTTCCATGACTTCCGAACCTGACCGAGCGTGAGCTGGCGTTGTCGAGTGCTGCTGACTCCGGCGTTATCTTAAAGCCAGGGTCTCATGTACAACTTTGGGCAACAACTGCAAAGCACTTGATTGAAGTGGTTACCTTGTGACTCAAAACGACGCGGGGGTTTGGTTGGAAGTACAGAAACCTACCTTGCGACACCCAAAACACACCAAGCGACTGACGCCCAACACTACTGGTCGCACGCACACTCAACCACAAACACACTCAAATGCAACTGCACAACAAGCACTGCCTTACACGAGACTATGACTGCGCCTAGTGTGAAACCTACTCGCCGCCTCCCAGGCGATTAGCGTAGCAACCCAAGCACACAAACTACTAACGACCGTCCCGACGCGCACACGTCAGGTCCACTACCTCGTGCGACAAACACATCGAAATTCGTCCAGACCAAGGCGGGGAATCAACAATGCGCCACGGGAGGCGCCGTAGGCGCAATGCACACGAAGCAGCCCACAGTCGCGCAATGACCGAAAACCAAGGTTCCAACGTGCAGGTAGGCAACGACACGACGAGTAGGCAAGCTTAGCCTAAAGTCTGGGGTACACCATCACAGAGCGACGACCCTGACCGAGCATCGTGCACATCCGCAGGAGCGTGCGCGTTCCAGCGGAAGGAGGTCCCATATCGCGCCAAGCATGCATTGCTGGACATAAAAAAAAGACCGCCGAAAGGGGAGTGCAATACAACAAGGGCTGATGCCGAGCATCTCGGACAAAAGCATACGCTAGACGGGAATGCCTATCACGCAAATGACCCAGCACCGCGCAAACCAGGCCAGCGCCGCGCATATCAGGACAGTGCCGCGCATATCTGGACAGCGCCGCGCATATCTGGACAGCGCCGCGCATATCTGGACAGCGCCGCGCATATGTGGACAGCGCCGCGCATATCTGGACAGCGCCGCGCATATGTGGACAGCGCAGCGCATATCTGGACAGCGCCGCGCATATCTGGACAGCGCCGCGCATATCTGGACAGCGCCGCGCATATGTGGACAGCGCCGCGCATATCTGGACAGCGCCACGCATATGTGGACAGCGCAGCGCATATCTGGACAGCGCCGCGCATATCTGGACATTCCCGCCTGGTCCGCACTCACACATTCCCGCCTGTCCCGCACTCTCGCTCACCCCCCTGTTCCGCGCTCTCACATTCCCCCCTGTTCCACACTCTCACATTCCCCCCTGTTCCGCACTCTCACATTCCCCCCTGTCGCTCACTCTCGCATACCCACCTGCCTGTCATAGGCACTCACACATTCCCTCGTGCCCAGCACTCTCCCATTCCCACGGGCCCAGCACCCTAACATTACCTCCTATCCCGCACTCTCACATCCCCTCCTCGCCCGCACTCTCACATCCCCTCCTCTCCCGCACTCTCTCATTCCCTCCTATCCCGCACTCTCTCATCCCCTCCTCTCCCGCACTCTCTCAATCCCTCCTATCCCGCACTCTCTCATTCCCTCCTATCCCGCACTCTCTCATTCCCTCCTATCCCGCACTCTCTCATTCCCTCCTATCCCGCACTCTCTCATTCCCTCCTATCCCGCACTCTCTCATTCCCTCCTATTCCGCCCTCCCTCATTCAGGCCTGTCCCGCACTCTCGCATACCCCTTCCTGGCCCACTCACATACCCCCTCACCCGCACTCACACATTCCCCCCTGTTCCGCACTCTCACAGTCCAGCCTGGACCGCACCGCACTCTCGCATTCCCCCCTCTTCCGCACTCTCACATACCCCCCTGTTCCGCACTCCCACCCTCCCCCCTGTTCCGCACTCTCACATTCCCCCTGTTCCGCACTCTCCCATTCCCCCCTGTTCCGCACTCTCACATTTCCTCGTGGCCAGCACTCTCCCATTCCCACGGGCCCAGCACCCTAACATTACCTCCTATCCCGCACTCTCACATCCCCTCCTCTCCCGCACTCTCTCATTCCCTCCTATCCCGCACTCTCACATCCCCTCCTCTCCCGCACTCTCTCATTCCCTCCTATCCCGCACTCTCTCATCCCCTCCTCTCCCGCACTCTCTCATTCCCTCCTATCCCGCACTCTCTCATTCCCTCCTATCCCGCACTCTCTCATTCCCTCCTATCCCGCACTCTCTCATTCCCTCCTATCCCGCACTCTCTCATTCCCTCCTATCCCGCACTCTCTCATCCCCTCCTCTCCCGCACTCTCTCATTCCCTCCTATCCCGCACTCTCTCATTCCCTCCTATCCCGCACTCTCTCATTCCCTCCTATCCCGCACTCTCTCATTCCCTCCTATCCCGCACTCTCTCATTCCCTCCTATCCCGCACTCTCTCATTCCCTCCTATCCCGCACTCTCTCATCCCCTCCTCTCCCGCACTCTCTCATTCCCTCCTATCCCGCACTCTCTCATTCCCTCCTATCCCGCACTCTCTCATTCCCTCCTATCCCGCACTCTCTCATTCCCTCCTATCCCGCACTCTCTCATTCCCTCCTATCCCGCACTCTCTCATTCCCTCCTATCCCGCACTCTCTCATTCCCTCCTATTCCGCCCTCCCTCATTCAGGCCTGTCCCGCACTCTCGCATACCCCTTCCTGGCCCACTCACATACCCCCTCACCCGCACTCACACATTCCCCCCTGTTCCGCACTCTCACAGTCCAGCCTGGACCGCACCGCACTCTCGCATTCCCCCCTCTTCCGCACTCTCACATACCCCCCTGTTCCACACTCCCAACCTCCCCCCTGTTCCGCACTCTCACATTCCCCCTGTTCCGCACTCTCCCATTCCCCCCTGTTCCGCACTCTCACATTCCCCCTGTTCCGCACTCTCACATTCCCCCCTGTTCCGCACTCTCAAATTCCCCCTGTTCCGCACTCACACATTCCCCCTTTTCCGCACACTCACATTCCCCCTGTTCCGCACACTCACATTCCCCCTGCTCCGCACACTTACATTCCCCCCTGTTCCGCACTCGCTCATTCCCGCATGTCCCTCACCGCGCCGTATACCCACCCGCCGGTCAAAGACACTCTCACATTCCCACGTGCCCTGCACTCTCACATTCCCTCGTGCCCAGCACTCTCACATTTCCTCGTGGCCAGCACTCTCCCATTCCCACGGGCCCAGCACCCTAACATTACCTCCTATCCCGCACTCTCACATCCCCTCCTCTCCCGCACTCTCTCATTCCCTCCTATCCCGCACTCTCTCATCCCCTCCTCTCCCGCACTCTCTCATTCCCTCCTATCCCGCACTCTCTCATTCCCTCCTATCCCGCACTCTCTCATTCCCTCCTATCCCGCACTCTCTCATTCCCTCCTATCCCGCACTCTCTCATTCCCTCCTATCCCGCACTCTCTCATCCCCTCCTCTCCCGCACTCTCTCATTCCCTCCTATCCCGCACTCTCTCATTCCCTCCTATCCCGCACTCTCTCATTCCCTCCTATCCCGCACTCTCTCATTCCCTCCTATCCCGCACTCTCTCATTCCCTCCTATCCCGCACTCTCTCATTCCCTCCTATCCCGCACTCTCTCATCCCCTCCTCTCCCGCACTCTCTCATTCCCTCCTATCCCGCACTCTCTCATTCCCTCCTATCCCGCACTCTCTCATTCCCTCCTATCCCGCACTCTCTCATTCCCTCCTATCCCGCACTCTCTCATTCCCTCCTATCCCGCACTCTCTCATCCCCTCCTCTCCCGCACTCTCTCATTCCCTCCTATCCCGCACTCTCTCATTCCCTCCTATCCCGCACTCTCTCATTCCCTCCTATTCCGCCCTCCCTCATTCAGGCCTGTCCCGCACTCTCGCATACCCCTTCCTGGCCCACTCACATACCCCCTCACCCGCACTCACACATTCCCCCCTGTTCCGCACTCTCACAGTCCAGCCTGGACCGCACCGCACTCTCGCATTCCCCCCTCTTCCGCACTCTCACATACCCCCCTGTTCCACACTCCCACCCTCCCCCCTGTTCCGCACTCTCACATTCCCCCTGTTCCGCACTCTCCCATTCCCCCCTGTTCCGCACTCTCACATTCCCCCTGTTCCGCACTCTCACATTCCCCCCTGTTCCGCACTCTCAAATTCCCCCTGTTCCGCACTCACACATTCCCCCTTTTCCGCACACTCACATTCCCCCTGTTCCGCACACTCACATTCCCCCTGTTCCGCACACTTACATTCCCCCCTGTTCCGCACTCGCTCATTCCCGCATGTCCCTCACCGCGCCGTATACCCACCCGCCGGTCAAAGACACTCTCACATTCCCACGTGCCCTGCACTCTCACATTCCCTCGTGCCCAGCACTCTCACATTTCCTCGTGGCCAGCACTCTCCCATTCCCACGGGCCCAGCACCCTAACATTACCTCCTATCCCGCACTCTCACATCCCCTCCTCTCCCGCACTCTCTCATTCCCTCCTATCCCGCACTCTCTCATCCCCTCCTCTCCCGCACTCTCTCATTCCCTCCTATCCCGCACTCTCTCATTCCCTCCTATCCCGCACTCTCTCATTCCCTCCTATCCCGCACTCTCTCATTCCCTCCTATCCCGCACTCTCTCATTCCCTCCTATCCCGCACTCTCTCATTCCCTCCTATCCCGCACTCTCTCATTCCCTCCTATCCCGCACTCTCTCATTCCCTCCTATCCCGCACTCTCTCATTCCCTCCTATCCCTCACTCTCTCATTCCCTCCTATCCCGCACTCTCTCATTCCCTCCTATCCCGCACTCTCTCATTCCCTCCTATCCCGCACTCTCTCATTCCCTCCTATCCCGCACTCTCTCATTCCCTCCTATCCCGCACTCTCTCATTCCCTCCTATCCCGCACTCTCTCATTCCCTCCTATCCCGCACTCTCTCATTCCCTCCTATCCCGCACTCTCTCATTCCCTCCTATCCCGCACTCTCTCATTCCCTCCTATCCCGCACTCTCTCATTCCCTCCTATCCCGCACTCTCTCATTCCCTCCTATCCCTCACTCTCTCATTCCCTCCTATCCCGCACTCTCTCATTCCCTCCTATCCCGCACTCTCTCATTCCCTCCTATCCCGCACTCTCTCATTCCCTCCTATCCCGCACTCTCTCATTCCCTCCTATCCCGCACTCTCTCATTCCCTCCTATCCCGCACTCTCTCATTCCCTCCTATCCCGCACTCTCTCATTCCCTCCTATCCCGCACTCTCTCATTCCCTCCTATCCCGCACTCTCTCATTCCCTCCTATCCCGCACTCTCTCATTCCCTCCTATTCCGCCCTCCCTCATTCAGGCCTGTCCCGCACTCTCGCATACCCCTTCCTGGCCCACTCACATACCCCCTCACCCGCACTCACACATTCCCCCCTGTTCTGCACTCTCACAGTCCAGCCTGGACCGCACCGCACTCTCGCATTCCCCCCTCTTCCGCACTCTCACATACCCCCCTGTTCCGCACTCCCACCCTCCCCCCTGTTCCGCACTCTCACATTCCCCCTGTTCCGCACTCTCCCATTCCCCCCTGTTCCGCACTCTCACATTTCCTCGTGGCCAGCACTCTCCCATTCCCACGGGCCCAGCACCCTAACATTACCTCCTATCCCGCACTCTCACATCCCCTCCTCTCCCGCACTCTCTCATTCCCTCCTATCCCGCACTCTCACATCCCCTCCTCTCCCGCACTCTCTCATTCCCTCCTATCCCGCACTCTCTCATCCCCTCCTCTCCCGCACTCTCTCATTCCCTCCTATCCCGCACTCTCTCATTCCCTCCTATCCCGCACTCTCTCATTCCCTCCTATCCCGCACTCTCTCATTCCCTCCTATCCCGCACTCTCTCATTCCCTCCTATCCCGCACTCTCTCATTCCCTCCTATCCCGCACTCTCTCATTCCCTCCTATCCCGCACTCTCTCATTCCCTCCTATCCCGCACTCTCTCATTCCCTCCTATCCCGCACTCTCTCATTCCCTCCTATCCCGCACTCTCTCATTCCCTCCTATCCCGCACTCTCTCATTCCCTCCTATCCCGCACTCTCTCATTCCCTCCTATCCCGCACTCTCTCATTCCCTCCTATCCCGCACTCTCTCATTCCCTCCTATCCCTCACTCTCTCATTCCCTCCTATCCCGCACTCTCTCATTCCCTCCTATCCCGCACTCTCTCATTCCCTCCTATCCCGCACTCTCTCATTCCCTCCTATCCCGCACTCTCTCATTCCCTCCTATCCCGCACTCTCTCATTCCCTCCTATCCCGCACTCTCTCATTCCCTCCTATCCCGCACTCTCTCATTCCCTCCTATCCCGCACTCTCTCATTCCCTCCTATCCCGCACTCTCTCATTCCCTCCTATCCCGCACTCTCTCATTCCCTCCTATTCCGCCCTCCCTCATTCAGGCCTGTCCCGCACTCTCGCATACCCCTTCCTGGCCCACTCACATACCCCCTCACCCGCACTCACACATTCCCCCCTGTTCTGCACTCTCACAGTCCAGCCTGGACCGCACCGCACTCTCGCATTCCCCCCTCTTCCGCACTCTCACATACCCCCCTGTTCCGCACTCCCACCCTCCCCCCTGTTCCGCACTCTCACATTCCCCCTGTTCCGCACTCTCCCATTCCCCCCTGTTCCGCACTCTCACATTTCCTCGTGGCCAGCACTCTCCCATTCCCACGGGCCCAGCACCCTAACATTACCTCCTATCCCGCACTCTCACATCCCCTCCTCTCCCGCACTCTCTCATTCCCTCCTATCCCGCACTCTCACATCCCCTCCTCTCCCGCACTCTCTCATTCCCTCCTATCCCGCACTCTCTCATCCCCTCCTCTCCCGCACTCTCTCATTCCCTCCTATCCCGCACTCTCTCATTCCCTCCTATCCCGCACTCTCTCATTCCCTCCTATCCCGCACTCTCTCATTCCCTCCTATCCCGCACTCTCTCATTCCCTCCTATCCCGCACTCTCTCATCCCCTCCTCTCCCGCACTCTCTCATTCCCTCCTATCCCGCACTCTCTCATTCCCTCCTATCCCGCACTCTCTCATTCCCTCCTATCCCGCACTCTCTCATTCCCTCCTATCCCGCACTCTCTCATTCCCTCCTATCCCGCACTCTCTCATTCCCTCCTATCCCGCACTCTCTCATCCCCTCCTCTCCCGCACTCTCTCATTCCCTCCTATCCCGCACTCTCTCATTCCCTCCTATCCCGCACTCTCTCATTCCCTCCTATCCCGCACTCTCTCATTCCCTCCTATCCCGCACTCTCTCATTCCCTCCTATCCCGCACTCTCTCATTCCCTCCTATCCCGCACTCTCTCATTCCCTCCTATTCCGCCCTCCCTCATTCAGGCCTGTCCCGCACTCTCGCATACCCCTTCCTGGCCCACTCACATACCCCCTCACCCGCACTCACACATTCCCCCCTGTTCCGCACTCTCACAGTCCAGCCTGGACCGCACCGCACTCTCGCATTCCCCCCTCTTCCGCACTCTCACATACCCCCCTGTTCCACACTCCCACCCTCCCCCCTGTTCCGCACTCTCACATTCCCCCTGTTCCGCACTCTCCCATTCCCCCCTGTTCCGCACTCTCACATTCCCCCTGTTCCGCACTCTCACATTCCCCCCTGTTCCGCACTCTCAAATTCCCCCTGTTCCGCACTCACACATTCCCCCTTTTCCGCACACTCACATTCCCCCTGTTCCGCACACTCACATTCCCCCTGCTCCGCACACTTACATTCCCCCCTGTTCCGCACTCGCTCATTCCCGCATGTCCCTCACCGCGCCGTATACCCACCCGCCGGTCAAAGACACTCTCACATTCCCACGTGCCCTGCACTCTCACATTCCCTCGTGCCCAGCACTCTCACATTTCCTCGTGGCCAGCACTCTCCCATTCCCACGGGCCCAGCACCCTAACATTACCTCCTATCCCGCACTCTCACATCCCCTCCTCTCCCGCACTCTCTCATTCCCTCCTATCCCGCACTCTCTCATCCCCTCCTCTCCCGCACTCTCTCATTCCCTCCTATCCCGCACTCTCTCATTCCCTCCTATCCCGCACTCTCTCATTCCCTCCTATCCCGCACTCTCTCATTCCCTCCTATCCCGCACTCTCTCATTCCCTCCTATCCCGCACTCTCTCATCCCCTCCTCTCCCGCACTCTCTCATTCCCTCCTATCCCGCACTCTCTCATTCCCTCCTATCCCGCACTCTCTCATTCCCTCCTATCCCGCACTCTCTCATTCCCTCCTATCCCGCACTCTCTCATTCCCTCCTATCCCGCACTCTCTCATTCCCTCCTATCCCGCACTCTCTCATTCCCTCCTATCCCTCACTCTCTCATTCCCTCCTATCCCGCACTCTCTCATTCCCTCCTATCCCGCACTCTCTCATTCCCTCCTATCCCGCACTCTCTCATTCCCTCCTATCCCGCACTCTCTCATTCCCTCCTATCCCGCACTCTCTCATTCCCTCCTATCCCGCACTCTCTCATTCCCTCCTATCCCGCACTCTCTCATTCCCTCCTATCCCGCACTCTCTCATTCCCTCCTATCCCGCACTCTCTCATTCCCTCCTATCCCGCACTCTCTCATTCCCTCCTATTCCGCCCTCCCTCATTCAGGCCTGTCCCGCACTCTCGCATACCCCTTCCTGGCCCACTCACATACCCCCTCACCCGCACTCACACATTCCCCCCTGTTCCGCACTCTCACAGTCCAGCCTGGACCGCACCGCACTCTCGCATTCCCCCCTCTTCCGCACTCTCACATACCCCCCTGTTCCGCACTCCCACCCTCCCCCCTGTTCCGCACTCTCACATCCCCTCCTCTCCCGCACTCTCTCATTCCCTCCTATCCCGCACTCTCGCCAAAACCCCGCCTGTCCAGCACTCACGCATTCCCCTCCTCTGCACTCTCACATTCCCCTTCCCTTGGCTCTCACATTCCCCTTCCCTGCACTCTCACATTCACCTTCCCTGCACTCTCACATTCCCCTTGCCTGCACTCACACAATCCCCTGTCCTGCAAGTCTAACTTACCAGCACATTCGGACTGCCAACCAACTCCCCACCACCAATTCCGCCAACAGGAGGGCGCCGAGCAAGAACAAACAACGCCACCAGTGGACAACGGGAGCGTGCCTGATGAACACCCGTACAAACCGGCCATGGATGCACTCGAGCAACGCACCATATCCATTGGGACCCACATGAAGATTCCCATGGCCCTCATGCGATGCGGTTTGACAGCACTAAGGGGTGGAAACCAGGTGGCGAGCACAAACGATGTGCTGCACGTGCTAGTATCGGAAGCCAGTGAGGCAGTTGCGAAGATGCTGGCAGCAGCTGCCACAGCAGGTAACAAGGGGAGGATGGGATCATTTGTGTGTGTGAGACGGTGCAGTGCCTTAGCGCCTCTAAGAAGGGAACTTTGGGGTGGCACTATCATCCTTGCCCTCCTTACCGCACTACCAGTCATGCGGTCACCAAGGGGCCATCATTGTCGCATGTTGTCCATATGGCACAATAAACAAAACCTATAGCTCAGGATCGGAGACTTGCTTGGGTGAATACAAGAGGACACAGTATCACGCAAAAGGTTGAGGGATGGGACCGCGGGACATGTCCAATGCACACACTTCTGTTACACCATCCCCCTCCTTCTGAACCATTGAATTGCAGGACCGGATGGGGAGGCGTCTCTTGCAACAGCAAAAATGCAGCTAGAGGCACAGGAACGGTCCATTCGAAAGAGAGGGGGGGTGGATGGGTCCTCTGTAAAAGACATACTGCAAAGGGTGCCAAGCCATCCCCAACCATTCACCTATAACCTACCGACATACACTTGGAATGCGGCTGGGCAGCTGGTACCTGTCAAGGGCTTCAAGCACGGAGGATCGAGAAAGGGAACAAACTATGAGACATTAAAAGGGGCAGGTACGCATGCAAGGAATGCCGCCGGCCAGGACTGCTGGTTTGGGGTGAGGGTGTAGCATGGCTGCACCTGCTGGTTGGGGGTGGTGGGGCTGGCATTGAAGCGTAGGGGATGCATGGGGAGTGTAGCATTGCTGCACCTCGTCGGGGTGGGGGTGTGGCAGCAAGCATGGAAGCGTAGGGGTTGCATGGGGGTGGTGGGGCTAGCATGGCAGCACCAGAGAGTGTAGGGGTGGTGGGGCTAGCATGGCAGCACCAGAGAGTGTAGGGGTGGTGGGGCTAGCATGGCAGCACGAGAGAGTGTAGGGGCGGTGGGGCATGCATGGCAGCACCAGAGAGTGTAGGGGCGGTGGGGCATGCATGGCAGCACCAGAGAGTGTAGGGGTGGTGGGGCTAGCATGGCAGCACCTGCTGGTTGGGGGTGGATGGCCCCGCAACTTATATTCTTACGGCATTCTTACGTGTGCTGCGGCCCCACGGGTCTAATCTGGAATACGAACCAACCAAATAGACCTCCGCGTTGGACCATATCTCCCCTATTCTTTGGGCTTGGTCCCTCGTGCAGAACCCGGGTTTCGTCCAGAAGTAGTGGAGCGGAATGGGGAAATCCAGTCTCCATGCATGGGAAGGGGAGTGTCATGCGGAGGTGACGTGGAGGGCGGAGTGGACGAGGAGGTGACTGGAGACGCCCTCGTTGGCTCTCTTGGACAGGACCCCTCCCCGCTGTCAGTTGGAGGACTGTGCGTGGACGGTGCCCCTCTTGACCACGTGGCGGGGGGCCGCGTAGCCACACCTACAGTCACAAATGCGGTCGCTCAAGCCCCAACAAATACAAGGTGAGTGCGACTGGTTTTACTACACACATGCGCAGCTCCCGTGTTGCATTTCCACCAATGGATGCCAAACAAGTATTTGCATGTGCGCCCGTACTCAATGCATGATGTACTTGAGCAGGGCAGCACCCGTGTGGTCCGACGCCCCAAGGAGTACCCTAAGACCTCAACCGGTGGCCGCAACGATGGGGATGCCGGCCGACGGCATGGTATGCCTACTCGACCCTCGGGAGATCATACGATTCTTCACGCCTGTGGGATTATGCTGCAGCTGCGGTGGAGGCTGCAAAGGCATGATGACCCGTACGTCTTGGAAACGGTCCTGGGCGTGTCTCTGTCTAACTTGGACGTGTGAGAGTTGCGGCAGAGTTCTACCATGGTGGTCCACGAAACGCGGCCGCACCACTGGTAGTGGTAGTACCAAAGGGCCGCAATCCTCCCTTTTCTTGCCAAAGTATATTGCCTCGTTTGCCCTCGCAGGCATTGGTTTCCAACAGATGTGGGAGGTGAGTCGATCGCTCGGCATCCCAACAATCGGGAAGGAGACCTTCTACAGGTACATGAGAGGTCCCAAGGGGTTATGGAAGGCGATAGAGGATGAAGCTGAGAGGTCTATGGCCGAAGTGCGGGAAGAGATGGGCAAAAGACTCGTTCCATGGGAATGGGTTTGCGTTGATGGGCGATACTCACATCCACGCGAGGCCGAATGGGGAACTGTGACCTTCATGGACCCCATCACTCGCAAAATTATGCACCAAGTGACCAAATCGAGGGTAAACGAGAAGTCTTCGTCGACTGAGCTAGAAGGGTTAGCTTTCAAAGAGGGCCTGAAGCAGTTGGCTGCGATGGGGGTGCACATAAAAGGTATTATTTCGGATGATGGCAGTTCTTTCAAGACTGCAGTGGCGGCCTTAGGAATTGCACATCAAAAAGATGTGTGGCACAAGGCAAGAGCACTTTACAAGAAGTTCCTGAAACTATTGGTAGATGTGCTACGAGATGAGATGGAAGTTGGGGCTGCTACGTGCACTGGGGATTTGTGGTTGTGCACTGCCGCACAGTTGTGGGGGTGGTTGAAAGAGCAGGGCGTGAATACGGAAGGTTTGAGTGGCAGGTCGTCGAAGACTGATCTCATTGCATCTGTATGTGCAAACCTCAAAAAGTTTGCATACGAACCGGACGCTGTGCCGACGTCAAAATGGAAATTTCCAGATTTGCGGAAGGTAATACGGATGAAGGAGCGTGGAGAGGGGGCCCTGGCCAGCGTGGCCAAGCGCCCAAACACAACGAACGAAGGGATGGGACAAGGCGATGTGGGAGCTGAACATGCTGTGACCGTGGAAGAACCCCCAGCCGTGCCGGCAGCGGTGGATGCCCCCCAGCCTGAAGGTCCCACAACTGTCGGTGCAACCACGGCTGAACGGGCCTCGAGTGTGGATGCAGCCACGGTTGCACATCCGTCTAGAGCAGCCATGCCGGAGCAAGTCTTCAACTTCCAATGGGCCGGTGTGCAACAACTCTGGGAGTTCGACCCACATCCAACGCATGGTGTTCCAGTGTCTGCGGAAGCCGAATACATGCGGCTCACAACGGATACAATGATGCATGGGAAGCCCGAATGTGGTTCAGGGGGTGGAGGAGCAGATGAAGACGGTAAGATGTCATCCAGCCATTCCCCTACTTTCCAGCAACATTCGTTCCTTGCTGTCCATCTCGTACCATCCTGCCATTCCCCTACTTTCCAGCAACCTTCGTTCTTTGCTGTCCATCTCGTACCATCCAGCTATTCCCCCTCCAACGTGTCTTGCATCGCATTGCCATTGAAGAACGGGGCACACACGCTCTCTTATGCATTTTCCATTCATGTCTGCAGATCAAGAGGAGTTGCACGCTTCAACCATGGACACGACCCAACCAGACCTCGTTGGAGACAATTTGCGTTGGACCGAAAGGGGTAGTGCCAAAAGGAAGCGTAGTGGGGCCGGGGCTGGCCTAGCCGACGAAGAAGCGTACTATGAGGTGACGCTGGCACAACGGTGGAGTACGCACTTCAACCATGTGATGGTGAATTGCAATATGATGGTGAAAGATGGTCAGACTCCGTCAGCAGACCGTGTTGCACATCAACTTGCCGTGTCTGCAGACCATTGGGCAGGGATCCACACCAGCTGCGGGCATGCGGGCGAGGTACCTCGATGCGTATCAGAGCATTGGGGACCGGAGAGTGCAGTTTACAAGCCCGGCTCTGAGGCACATGTGGCACTCCGAAAATGGCTCGCTGATCATTGCAGTGCGAAAGAAATGGAATCCTACGTGCAGGGCGCGAGTAACTGGGTGAATGAATCATTTCATTCCTTAGTAATCAAGTACGCACCGAAGGGGATCCATTTTCAAAAGAGTATGGTGCCTAGAATTGGTCTTACTGTGTTGCACTGGAACCAAACGGTGTCACGTCTTGTCGTGGCAATCAAGACGCTCGTGCGGAAGGCGACTCGGGTAAGGCGTGGTAGCAAGGAGCGAATTTTGTCGGACATGGACTGGAGCTGGTTGGACAAGCTCATGGCAGATTGGCGTGATATTGGGCTGGAACGGGACGATGCATCGCCGTCAACTCAGCGGTTCGAGGAGGCTGAGTTGACGGAGCCGCTTCATGTTGATACAACCGACCATACACCAGTTTCAGCTCACACTTTCCCCACTCTACCTGTGGATGCTGAGGCAGATCCACGTGATCTTTCATGCATACAGCCACCTCCTACTCCCCTAGCTGGAATCTCTCCCACCAATGCCGCAGTCACGCCAGCCACCCCCCCATCCACCAGCTTCATTTTTACGGCCCCTGGTGGCCACGTGACGCCAACTTCTAGGGCAGCTCGTGGCAGGAGGTCGAGACGCAATCAGGGTCAAGGGGCTGCATGCAGAACACTCTTCCGTATGTGCAAAGAAATGTGTTTTCACTGGCTCGTTGCTGTTTATATATGACGACCAGCGACGGTGCAGAATTGTAACAGTGGTATTGCTCGTGTTTGTTTTTGTCTTGACGTGTTCGCATGGGATGTTACAAATCTCAGATGAGGCAGTCCCGGTCTTACCACTTGTGCGTCGCCCCTCCAAGCGAGCTCGACAGATATCAATCCGGTATGCTATACTTCGTTTATGGGGTTTTGTGGTACCTTGCTTTGCACTTGCTACGGTCTTGCTGGTTGAGCAATCCGACTGTCTTGCTGGAAGGGCAGCATGGGAGGCTGCAGATATTGTCGGCCCATGCTTTCCGTCAACACACCCTTTCCCCCCCCCCCCCAACCTTTCACCACCTATATCAGCCCTTTTGTACTGCCATCCCCGTACGTGCACGCCCTTTTATCCTTTGTTCAGCAGCGGCATGGCATATGTGTGTGATCGTGACTCTGCGGTGGCAGCTGGATGAGGAGCATGGGAGGCAGCAGATATTGCAGCCCCAGCCACGCGCACAACACACCCTTTCCCCACCCCCACACACTTGACCCCCTTTTTGCCCCTTTGTGCTGCTATCGTCAGCAGATGCCCGCATTGAGCTTCCAGTCACCAGGCGATTTTGATTTGTGTGTGATCCCGCCACTCTACCGTGGTAGCTGGCTGAGAATTATGGGCGGATTCAGACATTGCATCCCCAGCCTCATGCAAAACACTCCCTTTCCCCACCCCCCACCCCTTTACCTCCTTTTATGCCCCATTGTGATGCCATCCCCTTGTGATGCCCGCACTGTTTTCCTATCACCAGCCGCTTTTGGGTCTGTGTGTGACCCTGTGACTCTACCGTGGTTGTTTGTGAATTCACTCGTAGGGGAGGATGCAGATACCGTGGCCCATGCCTCATGCAAAACACTCCCTCCTCCCATTCCCCACCCCTTCCACCTTTTTCATCGCTTACAAACGCCGTACATAGCCTACTGGATTATCATCTCGACGCAGATGAACCTTCTCGCAAAGTGGTTGGCAGCAAACGTGGCTCTGTACGTTCACTCCAACAGTCCCCTCTGTCTCCACGCTCATCGATTCTTGTTCATTGTGTCTAGCCGTGGGTGTTGCCGAACACATACAGATCCATATAACCCTTTTCTCCTTGCCTCTATCAAACCATGTCTCTCCACTGATGAATCCTTATCCTTGTGGCTGTTATTGTACAGGGCACGCCACTGGGACTATATGAAGCCGATTCTTAGTTACCACAATTTGTGTAAAATACTAATACTTCCAGTCATTATCAAGTCTGTAACTTGTTTTACATTGAATAAACTCTTAGTTGCGGCTAACACCCCCACAATCTGGAGTGACTATTGTAGCCTCCACCCTTGATGCAAGCTCACTTGCCTCAAAACTTGTCATGGCAAAGTCTATGTCTTCAGGTACTTCCCAGGTGCCCAAAAAGAAATCAATGTCCGCCTGTATGCAATTCTCATAGCCCTCTCCCATCTCCTCGGGGTACAATGATCCAACCAGGACGTACACTAACCATGGTAAGTTTACGCGGGCCCTTTCATCGTCACCTAGCAGGTCGGAGTAGCGAACGTAGCACCTGAATCTGTGGTTCTTGGCAAGCATTGGGCGACCCTTGTTGGATGTATGGGTGTTTTTCCCGCAGCAGATGCGTAGAACAGCTTCCACCGTTCGGGAGTTGTCGACCATGTCCCCTTGGCTCTCTTGGGCCAGCTCTAACTCCTCTATAGCCCACTTCTCGAGGACACAACTCTGCTTGGGATTGGCCCGCGCAAATTCTTCTAGGGACCAGGTTTCGCTCGCATCCAGTAAAACAGGGGGTTTGCCCGTGGGCTTTCGGGAGCGTCGCATTAGAGGCCTGTTACGGGCTAGCTGGAGGTTTGCTAGCCTTCTCCCTCTCCTCATTCCACCACCCACTAATGGGCGATTCATCCTTGACTTTCTGTGGTCTTCGCTGTCCGGATCACTCTCCAATTCATCGGTGAGCCGTGTGCCCAGAGTCAATCCCCTGTGTCGTGTGCTCCGACCCCTGTTCATCCTGGATGAGCCACAGTGGGTGGGTATGCAAATGGAGACCTCGGGACAGGACAGGGTGGAAATGAATTCGAACATTTCATGCTGAGCCGTGGATGCACCGGAGCTGTGAAACAGTGGGGGAAGGGGAGTGAGCAGTGGGGGAAGGGGTGTGAACAGTGGGAGAAGGGGAGTGAAACAGCGGGGGAAGTGGAGTGCAACAGTGGGGGAAGTGGAGTGGAAGCGTGGTGGAAGGGGAGTTGAGCCGAGGGGGATGGGGTGTGTAATGGTGGGGGATGGGGAGTGGAACGGTGGAGAATGGGGAGTGGAAGTGTGGGGGAAGGGATGTTCTGGCGTGGGGTAAGGGGAGTGGCAGCGTGGGGGAAGAGGCGTGGAAGCGTGGGGGAAGGGGAGTAGAGCCGTGGGGGTAGGGGAGTCTAACAGTGGGGGAAGGGGTGGGTAACAGTGGGGGAAGGGGTGTGAAACAATGAGGGAAGGGGAGTGAAGCAGGGGGGGAAGGGGAGTGGAACAGTGGGGGAAGGGGAGTGAAACGGTGGGGGAAGGGTTGTGAAACAGTGGGGTAAGGGGCGTGATACAGTGGGGTAAGGGGAGTGGCAGCGTGGGGGAAGAGGAGTGGAAGCGTGGGGGAAGGGGAGTAGAGCCGTGGGGGTAGGGGAGTCTAACAGTGGGGGAAGGGTTGGGTAACAGTGGGGGAAGGGGTGTGAAACAGTGAGGGAACGGGAGTGAAGCAGTGGGGGAAGGGGAGTGAAGCAGTGGGGGGGGGGGGGAGTGAAACGGTGGGGGAAGGGGAGTGAAACAGCGGGGTAAGGGGCGTGATACAGGGGGGTAAGGGGAGTGGCAGCGTGGGGGAAGAGGAGTGGAAGCGTGGGGGAAGGGGAGTAGAGCCGTGGGGGTAGGGGAGTCTAACAGTGGGGGAAGGGTTGGGTAACAGTGGGGGAAGGGGTGTGAAACAGTGAGGGAAGGGGAGTGAAGCAGTGGGGGAAGGGGAGTGAAGCAGTGGGGGGGGGGGGGAGTGAAAAGGTGGGGGAAGGGGAGTGAAACAGCGGGGTAAGGGGCGTGATACAGGGGGGTAAGGGGAGTGGCAGCGTGGGGGAAGAGGAGTGGAAGCGTGGGGGAAGGGGAGTAGAGCCGTGGGGGTAGGGGAGTCTAACAGTGGGGGAAGGGTTGGGTAACAGTGGGGGAAGGGGTGTGAAACAGTGAGGGAAGGGGAGTGAAGCAGTGGGGGAAGGGGAGTGAAGCAGTGGGGGGGGGGGAGTGAAACGGTGGGGGAAGGGGAGTGAAACAGCGGGGTAAGGGGCGTGATACAGTGGGGTAAGGGGAGTGGCAGCGTGGGGGAAGAGGAGTGGAAGCGTGGGGGAAGGGGAGTAGAGCCGTGGGGGTAGGGGAGTCTAACAGTGGGGGAAGGGTTGGGTAACAGTGGGGGAAGGGGTGTGAAACAGTGAGGGAAGGGGAGTGAAGCAGTGGGGGAAGGGGAGTGAATCAGTGGAATTTGCCGATTTCGAAGTGTGGGGGAAGGGGAGTGGAAGCGTGGAGGAAGGAGTAGTGGTTCCGAATGGGGAAGGGGGGTGGAAGCGTGGGGGAAGGGAAGTGGAAGCGTGAGGGAACCGGAGTAAGGAGTGAGATCAGAGGGGATGGGAGATGCGCAATGAGATGGGGGGAGAGGACCGAATGGGGAAGGGGAGCGGAAGCGTGGGGGAAGGGAAGTGGAATCGTGGGGGAAGGGAAGTGGAAGCGTTGGGCGGAAGGGAAGTGGAAGCGTGGGGGAAGGGAAGTGGAAGCGTGGGGGAAGGGAAGTGGAAGCGTGGGGGAAGGGAAGTGGAAGCGTGGTGGAAGGGAAGTGGAATCGTGGGGGAAGGGAAGTGGAATCGTGGGGGAAGGGAAGTGGAAGCGTTGGGCGGAAGGGAAGTGGAAGCGTGGTGGAAGGGGACTGGAAGATTGCGGGAAGGGGAGTGGCAGCGTGGGGGAAGGGGAGTGGCAGCGTGGGGGAAGGGGAGTGGCAGCGTGGGGGAAGGGGAGTGGCAGCGTGGGGGAAGGGGAGTGTAACGGTGGGGGGTGGGGAGTGGCACAGTGGGGGATGGGGAGTGGAACAGTGGGGGATGGGGAGTGGAACCCGTGGGAAGCATGGTAAAACCGAGAGGGAAAGGGTGTGTAACAGCGGGGGATGGGGAGTCTACAGTGGGGGATGGGGGGTGGAAGCGTGGGGGAAGGGGAGTAGTTAGGAGGGGGAAGGGGTGTGTAACGGTGGGGGATGGGGAGTGGAACATTGGAAGATGGGGTGTGGAAGTGTGGGGGAAGGGAAGTTTTGGCGTGGGGGAAGGGGAGGGGAAGCGTGGGGGAAGGGGAGGGGAAGCGTGGGGGAAGGGAGGGGGAAGCGTGGATGTAGGGGTGTGGATGTTTGGGTGCAGGGGAGCATGGGTGCATGGGTAGTGAAACAGTGGGGGATGGGGCGTGAAACAGTGGGGGATGGGGAGTGAAACAGTGGGGGAAGGGGAGTGAAACAGAGGGGGATGGGTAGTGAAACAGTGGGGGTTGGGGCGTGAAACAGTGGGGGATGGGGAGTGAAACAGTGCGGTAAGGGGAGTGGAAGGGTCAAGGAAGGGGGAATGGAAGGGTGGGGGAAGGGGAGTGAAAGCGCGGGGGAAGGGGAGTGGTAGCGGAGAGGAGGGGGAGTGGGAGCGTGGGCAGGGCACAGGGGAGCGTTAGAGCGGGGGAGCAGCGGGGCATGGGAGCAAGCGTGGTGCACAACGGGGGAGCAGCGGGGCGTGGGAGGTGAGGGGCTAAGATTCACAGGGGTTACCTCCCTGTCCGTCTCCAAGGGACAGGCTCCCTTGGGGGTGACCACAGTCTCACTTATAACACGTAATCGGACATTGAAGTGCGAGGACTCTCCCATTTCGATCACAGGCACATGCGATCGTGCGCAGATGGCAAACTGTTCGTTAGCGGTACGACCGTCAGTGGCAACGAGGTTGATACATGCCCGTTGGCGATTCATGTGGTGATGAAAGCAGTGTGGAGCGGGTTGATCGAGGCCTGGATGAGACGGGGGGAGCAGTGTACGCATTCCGCTGAGTCCTTGGAGTGCGATTGGTGTGCGCCGCGTGGTGCAATTTCGCCCCGTAATGGCAGTTAGGAATGCGCTTCCCTAATTGCGCAGCCTGCTGTGTGACGCCACTGTGCGGGCGAGTTAGCGTCACTACCTCGTCACATGTTGCGTACGCGGATTGTGATAGATCACGCTGTGTTCCCCTATGAACACTACTTCCCATCCCTAATCGCGTTGCGCGTGTTCCTGTAAGCCGTGGCGACTGTCGTATGTGATTTCGTAAGCCCGGCTCACTCCGCATCTGATGGCGTCTTGTCACACGAACATTTGTGCTGCATCGCTCCTTGCTGCTTGAAGCCATCGGTGGCTGACCTAAACCCATTACTATTTGTGAAGAGCGTATGTTGTCCTTGGTGTCACCACTTACCTCGATCAGTACTCGAGCCTGTTCGTCGTCGCCTTACCACCACCACACGGTCTCCCCGGCGTATGTACTGATTAGGTCCACTGCTGGTGGGTGAGTGTGTTGTCTCAGATGCATCGCTCGTAATTGTGCAAAACAGTTGACCCTTGGGCTGGTTTAGGCGTGCGACAACAAATCCGTCGTCACAAATTGACGTGTTGGTTTGTGTTGCGAAATGAATGTTCGGTGGCGAGACTCGTTTGCACTTCAGTTTGGTTTCAGATTCGTCAGCCAATCAGAACACCCCTGTTTCCGTCGACTGCAAAGCACTTGAACTACTTGAGACCCTGGCTTTAAAGGAGCGCGTTCGAGGTGTGCTCGCCTCGTTTCTCAGCGGTGACTTGTCCCAAGAAGCTGTTTTCCTTTCGATGACGTGCTAAGCCACTTTAGTTAGCCGTGTTCTTTCCACGTTTTTGCGGCGTGATCCCCTCCCTTACTAGTTCGCCGTGTTCTTCCACGTATCTCCATCATGGCGTTGCACTCATTCCTGCAGCCTTTCGTTCGGACTGGGTGGCAGAGAACCAAACAGAACAGACCTCCCCCAGATGCCGAATTTCCGGTCGTGTCTGAACCTACGCTTCTGACTGCCTCGTCAGCGTTACAACCAGATGAAATAACCCTCTCGTCAAATCCATGCCTTCTCCACGCTCTTACGGCATGATGAGATGAAGCGGAGCAGCAAGCTCATGGACTTTTAGAGAGTCAATGTAATCCAGGAAAGACAGTCGCCGATTATCGCCAGCGATGCAGCCATGTCCCCACCCGCGATCGCGGGCTTGCATTCGGAACTGGTAGTAATGCAACCTCCCCTATACCCTACTCCTACCGCCATTTTTTTTCCTCTCTACGAGAGATAGAGAACGAGGGAGCGGGACCTTCTCGGACCCCCTGAACTATTCTAGTGCCTTCTTTCGTGGTACAAAAGCAGCGCCATTCGGTTAGCTGCGCTTGTGTATACTGATTCCATATTTCACGTTAGGACTCCATCGTCACTCCATTCTCCTGGACTACACATTCCGCTCCGCTCTCTCGCGCTTTTCGTTCCTACCGACTCGCCTTAGCCGCCTTGACGATCACCCCAGCCGACAATGGCTTCCTGGAAGAGACAGCTGCTCGTCCTCATCTGCGTCGCAGCTTTAGCTTCCGTCGCATTGGCCACACCAAAATCTGACCCTAACGAAGTAAGTTTTTTCTACTGATCCCTTCCGACAGTTGATGTTGATCAAGAAGCGGGCTAATGTAACTCGTCTTTGTTTCCTTATCGTTGCGCTTGACAGCAACCTGATGACACCAAGACTCTCAATGCCAACAAGGCCGGCGCCATCTTCGTCTTTTTCGCGTGCAGTTTCTTGGGCGTGTGGGTTCCGTACTTCATCCCCGTGCACCCGCTGTTTCTCAAGTTCGGTATTCTCTTCTCCACTGGCCTCTTCATCGGCATGTCCCTCCTATACCTCGCTGTGGAGACGTTCGAGGAGTTCGAGGAGCTGGCAGGAGACGGTGAGTGCGCCGCTATCCGTATATTTTGAACGGAACCGTATTTTCTTCTAGGATTATCAATCACTTGTCACAAGAGGCTCTGAACTAAGAAGCACTTAGTTGTTTTCTGTTGCAGACTATCCGTACGGCATGCTTGTCATCGTGATGGGTATTTACCTGACGTGGGTGTGCGACCTCATCGTCAAGTCTGTGTGGATAAAGCGCACGGGCTCTCTCGATGATAACGTAAGCGTCATTTCCAATACACTCCTCATTGCAAGTGAAGTCTTGGAATACTCAATGTCTGCGTGTCACATGCCATGGTTTTTGGATTCTTGATTCGCTGAACGCTCGTTTTATGTTTGCAGGAGGACGAACTGGGACCCACCATTGCTGGCGCAATGGGAGTTGGAGAGAAGAAGGTGGTTGATGCAGATGCTGAGACTGCTGTTGTCAAGGTTGACATTCAGGCTCTCACCATTGTCGATGTCATCCTCGTGCTCTTCGGCCTCTGCTTCCATGCTTTCTTTGAGGGCATTGCTGTCGGACTTGCACAGACTGTCTCCAAAGTCTGGTCCATGACTGCACAAATCGGTGTGAATGAGGTAAGTTGGGACGTGAAAGTTGGTAGCTCAAAAGTACTAAATCATGACACATTCACTCGAAATTCCGCATGCTAGATGCGAGTAAGAAATTAACTTTTGATTCTTCTGTGTGTTGGCAGTTTTTCGAGGGCATGGCCCTTGGTGTCACTCTTCGTGTACAGGACACACGCCGCAGTGGTCTCAACCACTTCTTTTATGCCTTAGGGGCTTCCCTTGTTGCTCCTACTGGCATTGCTATTGGCCTGGCTCTTGACTCCGCCAGCGGCAAGGTGGCAAGGGAGTGGATCAAGGGTTTCGGAAATGGCATGGCTGCTGGTGTCTTCATCTTTATCGCTCTTGGCCATCTTCTCGCCAAGGGAATGAAGCCAGGACCCAATGACGCCGGGTGGTTGGTTTTTGCCAAGTGGTTTGTTGCAGGCCTTGGTGTGATGACCAATGCACTGCTTCAACTGTGGCACTAAAGGAACTAGTAGGCTGAGGTTTTAAGTTATCGATGGTTCTTTAGTAGGCTGTGTTAGAGGGGTTTGTGATTTCACAGATCTTCTGCTGCATAGAATCTGTTGGTGTAATAAAGTTGGTTCTGTCATAAGCTTGTGAAGCTATATTCCCGGGAGCCTACAGTAGTTTGGAAACCTCATAGTCGATTGTTTTTGCACCCCGAACTTCTTATTCAAATTATTAGTTGATTTAAAGCTGAAACAAGTAGCTGTAACCTGAGATCAGCCAAAATAGGTGGAGAGGTGATGATGTGCGTCTCTCGAAGATATACCGTAATTTGTTCCGGCATTGCCTTGCCTCGTGAATTTGAAAGGTGTGAAGGCCATGCCTGTTAAACTGCAGTTAAAAACCTCTCGACACACAGGAGGAGCTCATCTTTCTTCCCACTGACTTTTCCTAGCCTGTGCAAGGTGATGAATGCTTTCAACCTTGGAAGGGTAATATCCTTCAGCTTCCCTTCTTTAAACTTCTCTTTCACCTGAAAGATAAACCATGAATATCCTGTCGTACACCATGCACCATGTTGAAATAATTCTGCAACGCTTACAAAGGTGGAGATGTCATCATCTTCAGGCTTTGCCTCTGGTTTCTTCTTGCCAGGAGTCTTTGATTGATTGGAAGCATCCAAAGCCTGCGTAGCACACACAATTTAGGGACATATGGATTCTAGCACTTGCTTGCAAACCCTTACCTTTCCAGGGGTATGTGATGTCTTGGCTTTCTTGGGTGGTGGCTTATCTACATCCAACTGCCACAAGTGAAAGCATACAAGTACCGTACACGACACTAGGTTCATGATATGAGAAGCGGCAGAAAAATGCCTCCTTGCTCTCTGGCCCCCAACCACTCTCATTTTTCCTCACTGCCCTCACGCTCCTACCAACTCGCACCCGCATCCACTTTTTCTGCCGCACCTTCTTGTTTTTTGCTGCAGACACCGCTGGCTCCTTATTCTCCTTTGTGGAGGCTGTCAAAAAAGCATTCCACAGTGATTACCGGTATGCTGGGCACATTTTGTGGAATAACCAGGACAAGACAATGGAGTATACCAGCGGCAGATGACTGCTTAAACGTAGCATCCTTAGTGTTGAGAGTTGAAGACTTCGATAGTTTTGCTGATACCCCTGAAGAAGACGTACAGCTTGTTGAACAAAGAAAAGAAAGGATCAAATGGTCTAGCCTTAAGAAACCATAAAGTGGGTGGTTGAGAGGCCGAGAGGAAGGGAAGGATGGGAAGGGTTAAAAAGGGTACATATCTAGATCTATATGTTTTTTAGAGAAGAAGAAACGTACCTGAACTGACTCGCTGCTTCCATGCTGTAAACGTAGGTAT